TTTTTTTTTATAAATACTTTTTTGCGTTGCTATTGGGACACCCTTTATACATATAAACGAAGAAAAGCATGGATGGACACGAAATTGGATGTTTAAAAAATTATTTATTGCTCCTCTTGTTATTTTTGCTGCAATAAGCATAACTGCTTTCTTACCCTATGGACACTGCTTCATGTATCTCATGCAAGGTGACATTTCTATCATTGAGAAATGCCATACGAGTTCTAAGCAGTTTGAAGAGCGCAGTGATCGCTATCACAGCCAATGATATACTGTTTGATTGTTTTGAATTCGACAGGTAAATATTCTTCTGGAAAACTATGATTGCATTTCTTATATCTTTGTCATGGTTTATCTTCAGTTGTTAACCAAATGACGTCGGAAATAAAATTAGACAGTTCATCAAAGAATGTTTAGAACACATAAACGATTTATTTGGAAATTCCAAAAATTGTCGTACCTTCATCCAGAGTTGTAAAAGTGCAATTACAAAATTTGTAAGGTTTCGTGGAAGCCGTTGATAAAACGATTAAAAAAACATACAAAAAATATACGGATTTTGATGAAAATTGACACAGACATATTTTAGGAGATAAATTTTAATATTCACCAAGTTTCAAGTCGTGGCGACCTTCCAGAGCTGAGGAATTGCCGATGGAAAAAATGTAATTAAAAAAAAGTAATGATTACACGCTATGATTACTTTTTTTAAATTACATTTTTTCCATCGGCAATTCCGCAGCTCTGGAAGGTCGCATCGACTTGAAACTTGGTGAATATTAAAATTCATCTCCTAAAATATGTCTGTATCAAATTTCATCAAAATCCGTATATTTTTTGTATGTTTTTTTAATCGTTTTATCAAAGGCTCCCACAAAACCTTACAAATGCGCATGTAATTAAAATGGCTAAATTTACAACACTGCCTTCATCAAATCTAATTTAATTGATACTAACACGATAAAGTAATTTAAGGCGAATTAAACATGAATGTCGATTTATTTTTAGGAATTTTACTTGTAAAAAAAATCATCATCATATTTTCGACCTTAGAAGCTACTAAATGGGGAAACATAAATTGTTCATATTATAATACTGAGCCGATTTCCGTGTGCCCATGAGATGTTATCAAATTTGCGCAGTATTATATGTCAAATGTTGTTTTGCGATTTCGGCGTTTTGTTGTATCATTTGCTTGATTTCATTCAAGGTATTTTCTATGTTAACAATCCGATTTTTCAGTTGATTCTTTTCATTCTGTTCCCGCTGTTTGCTTTCCTTCATTTCAATGATTCGACGAGCTTCATGTACAACCTTTGGATGCACCCGTAGATGCTTATGTGAGCAAAATAAGTGACTAGTCCAACTATGCAAATATGAACCATTCTTATGAAATTCAATCGATTCTTGTTCAGCCGTTTTGTAGTCTTTTCGCAAAACTAAAATTCCATTGTCTGGACCGATATAAATTTTTGTTTTCGATGGCCAATGTAAAATGTCCAAAGTGTTGATTTTGGCAAAATATTTAAACAGCTTCTCGATTAATTTGTTGTGATATTTTCGATTGTTTTGAAGCTCGTTCGATACTATTCCTTCAAATTGTGAGAGTAACTTAACACGTTGCCGCATCGATGATAACTCAGCATTGGCCTGAAGTTTTTGTATATTACTAACCGCCAGCCCATTCATCATGTTCATGAAAACAATCGTTATCAGAAACACAAATGCAGTATACAAAAAAGAGCTCAGAACCGTGGAGTCAAAGTTACTGCCACCATTTTCCAATTCGCCTACCAACATTGCAACGACTTTAACCACCGTCGACCTAACATTACTAAATTGATAGTCAATTTCTTTTCCATTCATTTCACTTTGATCAAAGTGTTTCAACGAATCACGTCGAAGCAATAAATGGAAGGAAAATGTGAATGCAGGAAGAAGTATGAGAAATAGTTGACAACTTCTCAAACAACTTCGAGCGATGTACAAAAACATGACATAATACTTGGAAAAGGACCAAAACAATGATCCAGACAAAATGAACAGTTCACATGCTATTGATACAACGCAACCTGCAGCTAATATCGGGCGAATAGTTGGTGAGTTTACAAGGAAAAATAACATTATGAGAATAACGGTAGTTGAATCAATGGCACACTTTAAATAGTTGTAAATTTTATCACAAAAATTTAGTTCTCGATAAAATACGTAATAAATTTGATAGACGAGTCGTCGTACTGCAACGTAGCTCGTCATACCGATTGTGCCTACAGCAAGAACCATTTTAACACTGCCCGATACATCATTTACGATACACCATATATATCCCAATGTGAATGCCATGAAACAAATATATAAAATGAAATGCAAGTGAAACAAAAACGCCATTTGATTCCATTTCAAGAGTACAAATATTGCGATCACTGGATGAACTAGTAAATGCTTATGTTCACAACACTCTCCGATCATTTCAATTGCATTCATTTCATCCACACAAACGTCACAGGGTCTATCGGATGAATTCGGTGAAGAAAACAGGTTTTTGAGATCGATTTCGATAAATCGATCATCATCTACGCATTTGGTGATGCAATCGTTGAAATGCTCTTGAAGTACTTTTAAATTGGAACACCCAACATGTAAATCAAGCGGTGCACTTCCAATGAACGATCCTTTTTGTAGCAATTTCAAAATGATCTTACTTTCATTTCGGGCAACGGCATAATACAAAGCGGTATGATTTTGATGGAAACGATATGCTATATCCACATCCCAATCAATTAAAGTTTCAACACATTGCTCCTGATTGAAATATTCGGTTAATTTTTTGTGACGAAACTTTGGATCGGGTAAAAGCGCATCCAGTAAATCCACTACATTTGAGAACTTTCTGTCTTTCCAATGTTGAATATCATTTTCAAATGTTTTCAGTTTTTCTAGCAGAGGCTCCATACGAAAGCTGTTGGATGCGTGAAATTTTTCGGTTGCTAACACGAACGTACCATAGACCGAAGGATGCAGCCAGGTTTTCAATTGCCAAAGAATACATCTAGTGCACATCAATACGTTATAAATGTCAGTTGGTCGCTTTTCAGCTATGAGTCGAACGCCTTTAACGAAACATTCATCGTTTGCATACAGCAAACAAATGAAAAGTCGATTGGCATCCCAAAGAGAGTCTTCTTTTTCCAGAATCGATGGAAATTCATCGTACGATAAATTTGGTATGCGAAGGTAGACTTCTTGTCGGACATCTGCATTCAACTGTAAATGTCGAAGGGAAAATGGATTTTTGACAGAATAAAAGGAAATATAATCGTTAATCAATGTGCTACTTTGATTCATCTTACATTTTGTAAGTCAACGCCGGCAATTACAATCTCCTCTGCAAAATGCTGGAAATTATATTTCTTGCAGTAGTAGCGGGTTAAGCATTGTATCCTTTCCGTACATTTCCCACGGTGATACAACTCCCAGCGAAACGATCTTAAGTCTTCTAGGTAAACGGCTTCGTTAATACCATTCATTTTTATTGCGTATTTGATCAATTTTTATGACCCTTCACTACAACAAGCCGCATATATTTGATTCAAAATTTCTTTTCGAAATGAAACTCAAATGCGTTTTTAAAACCTACTTGTAAGTTTGATACTCTACCAAAATGAATGCCCCGAGATTGAAAAATCAGCAGAAAATATTTTGATCGATCGTGTTTTTCTCCTCTTATCAAATTCACATCAATGATTAAAAATTAATTTTGTTCTAAAGTGTAATTTTAATGCGCGTATACTACGGAAGTATTAAAGCGTTTACTCCATGCATGGCCATGAAAAATCAAGTTTTGCTATAACTTCGGTATTGTCTTCAGTATGAACAAAGTAACTTCATACAATTGCGTTTTGATTTTACTCGAATGAAATTGATTGGTCACAGTATAATAATTAGCGTATGTCAGAATAATTTGATAATTTGACCATTAGAAATGGCAATACGAATTCTAATCAGTCTAAAGGATAGAATTGATCGTTACCACAGCCAATAATGTATTCGTTGATTGTTTTTTCACCCATTTCAAAACTTCCATCAATAGAGAGGATAAAAATTGAAAAATATCCCCAGAAAAATGGGAATGGACGATTTTAAATGATTGTAAGAGCTAATTGCTGTCATCGCAATACATATACCAATATTTTACGACATATTGCATCAATAATAATTCCTTACTGTTGATATCAATCAAAATTAGTACGTAGAGTCTCTTGAATGGCTATAGCATAAACCAAAATAAAACTGCAATTGAAAATTTCCCTTTTCTAGATTTTTCTTCTGTAGATATTTATCAAATATAATACGATTGCCCTTATTAGAATAAAATGTGCAAACTTTTTTATAAGATGATGATGTGCTGTTTTTTTGCCTATATAATAGAATCTAACTTGTGCAATATTATTTCCAATTGATGCTTTGTGATTTCATTGTTTTGTTTTATCATTTGTTTGATTTCATCCAAGTCACTCTCAAGTTTTACAATTTGATTTTTCAATTGATTCTTCTCGGTTTCATCTTTTTGCTTCATATTTTTCATTTCTAAAATGTTATGAGCCTGTTGCACTATCCTTTTATCCACCCGGAGAAATTTATTAGAGCAACAAAAGTAGCTAATCCAACCGAATAAATATGAACCATTTTGGTCAAATATAATCGAGTCCTGTTCAGCTGTTCGGTAATCTTTGCGTAAAACTAATACTCGATTGTCTGAACCGATGTAGATTTTTGTGTTCAGTGGATGACATAGTGTGTCGAATGAATTGATTTTTGTGAAGTAAGTAAATGTTTTCATAACCCAGGTATCGTTGAACTTTTTTCTGAAAATGAAAAAAACTTCAGTTTACAAAAAAAAAACTGGATACATTATTCAAGATAAACTCACCGAAACCAATGCTGTTTGAATGATTTAACACCTTCGTAGTAGGCCAAAACTCTCAAGCGTTGAATCATACTCGTTGCTTCAGCATCCGATTGAATTTTTTGAGTGTCGCTAACCGCAAGACCATTCATCAAATTCATAAAAACAGTCGAAATCAAAAATACAAAGCCGATGAACAAATACGTGCTAACGACATTTTTATCAAAATTATTGGCGTCTACATCATATTCACCGATCGACATTGCGCTAATTTTAACAAACAATGATTTGAAATCACTGAAAGAATTCTCTTCTTTGTTCGAAGTGCTTACATGTCCATCGTTTCTGTTGTTTGCATTTGTGAGTTGTGCTCGATTCCGCAACAGTAAATAAAATGATATGCAAAATGCTGGTATCAGTATAATGCACAACTGTAAACTTTTCAGCGAGCTTATTGCAACGTCTAAAAACATGACATAATATTTGGAAAAGGACCAAAATAGCGATCCGGCCAAAATGAACAGTTCACCAGCTATTAAAAGAATGCAAATTGTTGCAAAAACCGAGCGATAGCTAACTGAAATGTCAAACAGAAGTATCAGCACGAAAATAACTATGGACACCGTATGAAGGCATTGCAAGTAATGACGAACTTTACTCCGGTGCTCTAAATAGATGCTGCTGAATATTTGATCCAATATTCGCCGTGATGCTGCATACACAGTGAAAATAGACGTGGTCACAGTTAACGCAATTTCGTGAAAAGTTTTTTCGCCACTTCTATTACTACTTTCAACCGTCAAAATATAGCTAATCGTTGACAACGTGAAGAGTGTGTATAAGATAAAGTCAATGTAAAGCACAAATGCCAAACGATTCCACTTTAAAAGCACAAAGAACGAAAACACGGGATGAACAAGTAAACGTTTATGGTTTTTCGAATTTGATAACAGTTCAATTGCTTTCATTTCGTCTGAGCAGGTCCCATCGCAGCGGTCGCACTCATTCGGTGGAGATATTAAATTTTTGAAATCAACTTCAATAAAACTGTCATCGTCCACGCACCTTGTAATACAGTTGTCAAAGTGTTTTTCAAACATTTTCGAGTCAATGCTGCATATGTTGGGTTCTGTATTGGATAAGCTGCCAATAAATGAACCTTTTGTGAGTAATTTGAAAACTGCATTCAAATTTTTTTGCACAACAGCATGGTATAGAGTAGTATGACCTTGATGGAGTTTCGTTGTTACATTTACGTCCCATTCAATCAAAACATCCACGACAGCAGTACGATCAAAATGCTCAATCATCTTTTTGTGCCGAAGCTTTGGCTCCAGCATAATAGCATCAATTGCATCAACGATATTTACATATCTTTTGCCTTTCCAGTACTTGAAGTAGTTTTGGTAGTTTTCCAGTAAATCAACCAATGAAAGATTCAATACATTGGTTTGCAGTGGCAATTTTTGCAATGATGATATCACGGTGTGAGCAACCGATGGTTCTAGCCAAGTTTCCAACTGCCAGATCAAAAATCCCATACACATGAACAATTTGCACAGATCATTCGGCCTTTTTGCAGCAATCAACTGTAGACCTCTAACGAAACACGATTCATTGCCATACGTCAAACAAATAAACAACCGGTTGAGATCCCACACCGTATCGTCACTCTCGCGAATGGAGGGAAATGCACCGAGCGCCAAATTTGGCACGTGAAGACAAACCTCCGTTCGAATATCTTTATTCAACTGAAAATGTCGAAAATGAAAATTAATCAGTTGTTCAACCAAATTCGAAAAATTTAACTTTTTTCTTAATGAAAATGTTTTTTTTTTCTTCTTTTTTTCACTTTTTCAAACAAATTTGTCTCACATTTTGTAAATCATATCCAGCGATTATGATCTCTTCAGCAAAGTGTTGAAAATTATACTTCTTGAAATAGTATCTGGTCAAGCATTTGATAACTTCCTTCGAATGTCTGTAGTGGAATAATTCCCAACGAAATGATTTCAAATCATCCAAATACGTGGTTTCGAGCAATTCTTTCATTTTACTTCCATTTGATATGATGTCCAAACTTAAAATAATGACATAGGTCGAGTTTCTACCGGAAAACCTTTGGAAAGTAAACATTCAATTAAATGTTTCGCAATAATGCGAATTATTCTTTTAAAAAATCCCATACATTTGTTTACATTAATTAAAATAAAAAAACAAAATATAAAGTTTGGCATTCTTCCATACCGGAGCACCGACTCCAAATATTGCTTATTCACCGTGACTGAGCAAAAATTCAAATTCATAACTTACCACGTAATACCGGTGCCTCCTTCGCGTCGAACACATAACTAGAACTATTTTATTGCGCTGAATATTTATTCAAAATCTCCTCTGGCGTTAAACACTTCGTGTAGAAAAAAACACAGTGGGAACTCAATCCATCCAGAAGTAAGCAAACGGCAATTGTTGTGCGTTGAGTACAACCACTTTTGATCAAAATTTGAATGTACTAACGAGACGAGGTGATCACTTCCACAGCCAAATACATACTCATCGAATAATTCGTTCCAATAGATAAGTACCTTTACGATTCTGATGTATATCGCGTCACCGTCACCGTCACCGTCAAGGTCAACCATACTACGAACGAGCACATGCAAACAAATTGGAATATATTTTTTAATTTGGTAAACAAAAGATACAATTTTTGAGAAAATAATCAAATTTATATCAAATTCGTTGCTTACGTCATCTATACCTAGCATTATTTCCTCTAATCGTTTACTTTGTTTCAACAGCACTGTTTAGTTTGCACGCTATTCATTGCATTTACTTTATTCTGTTGAATCATTTGTTTGATTTCATTCAGTTGATTCTCTAATTTCATGATGTAATTTCTCAGGTAATTTTTTTTGTTTTCGTTTTTTTTTGCGTGCTATCTTTTAGTTCCAAGATTTGACGGGCTCTTTGTGCGATTGTCGGATTGGCTCGAAGAAATTGATTGGAAAAGCAACAATGACTGATCCAACTATACAAATAAGAGCCATTTTTGTCGAATTTAATCGAGTCTTGTTGGGCTGTTCGGTAGTCTTTTTGCAAAATTAACACCTTGTTGCGCGGGCCGATGTAGATTTTTGTGTTCAACGGATGGCGCAGATGGTCCAGTGAATTGACTTTGGTTATGTATTCAAATATTTTCTGGATAAAAGTGCCATTATACTTTTGCCTAGAACGGTTTTGGTTCATGTAAACAAAATGATATTAAAAAATTGAAAAAATTGAAATCGTAAAAAACAACTTACACAATAGTATGATATCTCATTGATCTAACTCCTTCATAATGAGCCAGCAGCCGCACACGTTGTATCATACTCGTTGCTTTGGCATCGGCTTGGATTGCTTCTGCGTATCACTAACAGCGAGACCGTTCATCAAGTTCATGAAAACGATTGTTATCAAAAAAATAAAGCCGATGATCAAGTAGATCCAGTATTTACCACAAGGTACACAGCTGAGTGTCTATTTATTCCTGTTATAGATTAACGATTTACCCGAAGTACCAGATATTGGCGAGATAGTTCTCTTTGCCGATGATACTGGACTAATAGTTAAACACAAAAATACCAGAACTGCTGTTGAAATAGCGAACCGTGAATTGAAAAAGATTGAGAATTGGTTTAATGCCAACAAACTAATAACAAATGTGTTGAAAAGCAAATGGATGTTAATTGGCAAAGAAAATGGAAATGGAAATGAATTAAATGAGCTCGAATTAAAAATTGAAAATCAAACCATAGAAAGAGTGAAAGAAATTAAATATTTAGGTTTCGAAATTGATGAAAAATTAGACTTCAATGCACAAATCAATTCGATAACAAAAAAACTAGCCAGCAAAATTAATGTATTATACAGAATCAGCGACAAAATTACTTTCGATTTAAGGAAAATTGTATACAACTCGATTATTCAACCGCACTATGACTACTGCTCAACGCTCTATATTAATTGTACAAAAGAACAAATTGAATTAATGCAAAAACTACAAAATCGTGCAATGCGATATATTTTGAAATGTGATTACCGAACACCTTCTGATTTTATGTTGAAAAGTTTAAATTGGATGAGCGTAGCCCAAAGAATAAATTATAATGTGATGCTACTTGTTTATAAAATGAAAAATGATCTTGTTCCCCAATATTTATGTAACAAAATTAGATATGCGAATGAATTCCACAATAGAAACACAAGAAGCAGAAATGAATTTGGGCTTCCTGATATAAGAACTGAGAACGCAAGAAAATGTATATTGTACAACGGAGTAAAATTATTTAACGATTTGCCAAATGAACTAAAGAATATAGATAGTATTAACATATTTAAAAAGAGACTTGCCTTGCACATAAAAGAATAGGATTTAGGGATTTTATTAAATGTACAACCAAAAAAAAAGCGAAAGCTAATCACAAATAAAATAAATAAATAAAATAAAAGTATACACTGGATTCGAAGTGACTGCTGGCTACCTCAAATTCACCCACAGACATGGCGAACATTTTTACAATTGATGATGCAATGTAACGGAATAATTAATCATCATCTACGTTGGTATTCAATTCACTGTTTGTGCTATTTGACCGTTCGTTTTGAAAATTGTCCGCATCCAAAGACTGTTGTCGAAGTAAAAAAAAGTCGTGGAAGCGATAGTGTTACTGGTTTGATGGTGTCCCATAATCATCAAATTTATGTTATGTATTAAGGTTGATTCGAATCAGTCTAAGCAAATTTTTGAAGTAATTGGAATTTATTTCAAATAAAACAATGAAAAAAACCATTTTTCAAAGTACATTTCGAACATTTGGCTTAGTAATTTCCTAAAGCATAAAATGGTTCCGGTTTAATCTGTGGATTTGCAAAATTTTTACAGCATATTTTGCATTTCAGATAGATTTGAGATTTTTAGGCGAGTTCAGAACGGTAGTCATTTGTGATCACTAATTGTGCAAGCAAATTGGGGTATATATAGACAGAGCCATCTATTCTCTAAAATGATTTGCGTGGTTAAGTCCTTGCACCAAACATATATTATCAAATACACATGTAAAACATGAGCTTCACTATGTTGCATGATGTCATTTACTATATGGTATTAATTTTGACGTTGATTGCGAGTTTTTTGTGTTGAATTGTGGTGCGGCTGTCTGAACCATATATTCAAACAATTTGTGAATATAATTTTTTACAAAGAAGATATTCTTCAGATTGATTGAGTAAATAGAAGTTTGTAAAAAAGTGAATATATTTTGACTTCTCCTTTTTTTACAACTAGTCATTTCCAAATTGAATCCAGATTGGCATTTCAAGTCGGCCACAAGAACAATAAATCATTTTTCAGTCAAATTTTTGTATTCATTGTTGTTTACATTGTAAAAACTAATATTTCCAGTTTCAAAATCATTGAGACACAACAAAGCATCGACGAGGGAGAACATCATATTTTGATAAAATGGATTTACTTTGGAAAAAGGAAGCGGATGGATCATATATTGATATTTTTGGTAGATCCACAGGAAATTCAAATTTGTTCAGTAAATTATTCAGTGGTTTGCAATTGGCTCCTGCCAAAAATAATACGAAATCAACCGAATTCCGGCAAAATGGAAACGATCAAAAAGCCAAAGAGCGCTGGTATCATGCGATGAGATTCTACAATGAAAGCCTAAGCTATGCTGAAAACGGTTCACCCAATGTTAGTTTGGCGTATGCAAATCGATCGTTATGTTTCCTTAAGATGGAAATGTACGATAAGTGCATAACCGATATTAATTTTGCGATTAAAGCCAACTATCCGAAAGAAAAGAGGTTCAAATTAGACGAACGACGTGCGTATTGCTTAGAACGGATCAACAATGAAGTTGAAATATTGGCTCCAGCATTTGATTTTGATGCAAATGAAAATTATGTTGGATTCTCGAACGTTTTGGATATAAAATTCAATGAGAAGTTTGGACGGCATGTGGTTGCAAAGTGTGACATTGCCATTGGAAAAACCGTTTTGATCGAAGAAGCATTTGGACCGGCTCAGCTGATGGATGCAGGACAATGTGTTGTATGCAATACATGTTATAAAAATACAATGAATTTTATCCCGTGTGAGAAATGTCCGAATACATTATTTTGTAATCAAACTTGCATTGATAATAATAAATTTCATAAGTTTGTATGCGGTGAAGTGCCGCCACCACTTACTTCGTCCGTGATGTACGATATGACTTCAGTTTTGTTTGCTATTGATATTTTTCAAAACGTCGACAGTTTAATTCAATTCGTGGAAAGTGTTATCAATGATAAAAGCAAAACGAAAGTTGTACCATCTGCAATTGGTGATATGAAATCAAAATATCGCATATTTTTGCAACTCAATCTCTTGGGAAATGCTATGAAGCGTGGGATTTCCTTAGCACGTGCGCGTAATGTATACGAAAAATTAATGGGATATCCAACGATAAAAACGATGTTTTCAACGAAGGCAAAAAAACGTTTCTTCATTCATTTGTGTGTGCTGCATGTTTCCATCGTTCTAAGTAATCTATTCAACACGAACACCATTAGTGGAACGTATCTACTTCGAAGTTTCTTCAATCACTCTTGTGCACCCAATGTATTGTTCTACCACTATGAGAATAAGTGTATTGGCATTACGTCTCGCTTAATTAGAAAAGGAGAACAATTGTTCATGATATACAACCCAACTTGTTGGTCTACGCCATTGAATAAGCAGCCAATGGCACGTATTGAATATGAATTTCAATGTGACTGTGAAAAATGTATGAGTTTCATTTAGTTTCATTACTCTTTTTACATTGCATTCAATAGTTCGTCATTACCATTTATTAATTCGCATTATTTCCATTTTATGTGATTTTCCCCTAGGTAAGAGTACTAATTGGCCCAATTCATCAAAACGCATTAAATCTGATCCTGATATCCAATACATTGAAAGTTTCATGAGTGAGGCCAATGGACCTATAGATGATTTTAGTCATCATCAGAATTACTTAAACATTCAGCAAAGATGCATCAATGTGTTGAATAAATATGGCAACCTGCCCTGGACTACTGAACTAAACATGGTTTCTCGAAACTTCGAACTAATATTGAGTCAAGCTTGTCTATTTTCGCCAATAAATTTTGGCAATTTAAGAAGTCGCACTGAAAATAAAGAATGAGACAAATTTGTCAGGTATCATTTTTAAGAAAATATATCCAATTATTATTTCAAATATATGTATGTATTCAACTTAATAAGCATTTTTGGCACTATATAACGCTATGATCTTATATAATGTACTACAGGGGCCATTACAGATTCAATTTAGCTGTAACTTCAAATTTTAATACAACGAATAAACTTCATTTACAGAGATGCTCTTATATAGTGAAATATATAATTTAGATCGATTTTGTGATCAATAGACGGCTTTCGTCAATCCGTTTTGAATGCACAATCCCAAGAGAGGGATTTTAATCCAATTAGTAGAGTATATTTTGTTTTAAATAGAATTTAATCATGATACATTTGCCATAATCAAATACATAAAAATTAAAAATAATCGAAGAAGCACCCGAAAAATGAATAATTCAGATTTTCATTCATCTTATTTTGTTTGACTGTCGAAGTAAGACAGAAATGTTTTTTTTTCTTACTTGAAGAAATGTTTGGCCAAATTGAATAATCCAAAGAAAAGTGTTGATTGAATTTGATTGAGCGTCGTTCATATCATTCGGCAAAATTACTACCATTTTATCTTGGGGTTTTATGGAAACGGTTCTACTGAAATGTAAAGAATCCTCCAAAGAAAACACTTGACGAAAAACCAACAAATATTTTGGCACTATCATTTTATTAAATGCTTCGAAAATTATATTCCATTTAATCGATTAGCGGAAGAAAGTTTAACTATGTTGAATCAAAATCAAATCATTACTTATTAGCTATATCAGTAGAGAAATATAATTAAAAAAAATTAAGAAAAAATATTCGATTTTTTTTTTCAAAGATTTGTTCAAGAACGCATATGGTTTGAATTCAATGTAAGTCATTTCCAATGTACCGATGTTCAGTATTTGTTGAATCGAAGACCGCGAACGATTCCCACTTTGTCGCCATTCTTAGCCGGTTTGTCATGGAATTTGACAATGATTCCCGGTTCGATTTGCACCTTTGAGGATTTGAACTTGATAGTCGAGCAGCATGGAGACTCCAAGTCCAATTCCAATTGAATTTCGTACTTAATTCCACGTCTGATGATGATCGGTTTGGACAATGAAATCACAGTATCTCTTCCACCTGTGAAGATTACATTTTTGTCCACGTACAGAGCGTTGGGATCATCTTCCGTGAATGTGGTGGATTCATCTTCACTATCAATGTCCACGCTCACCTCTTCAGTAGTGATGACCTCGGTCTGTGTTGGCCCGCCAGATTCGATGATTGTCAATTTTGCAACAATATCTTCACACAAGACATTAGGACCTTCATATTCATCAAATAATTCGGTGCAAACGATTTCTCTCAACAAAAGAGTTGTACTGGTTGAGAATGTCGTTTTTTCGAATCCGCTAACATCATATTCTTGGAACAACATAATTTCCTTAGCAGGACGATCACACTTAAGCATAGCTGCTTGGTCCCATGTACATTGGCGAGTCTTTCCTTTGAATAGCTTGGCTTCATATTCCTTCGATGTGATTGATCGAACAATGTCTTGATATTCATCCGTTGAGAATAATGCATCGTTGGCCATATAAATCGCATCGAAGTCTTCCATTGTCATCGATCCAAAGCGGATGTCATAGAATGATTCACCGAGATGGGCCCCAACCAGCTCCTTGGTCAATGTATCTTGTTTGCTGGCTGCTTTGATCCATGCCATGCACGCGTCGAACACCTCAGTCTCTGAGCACGACAATGAATCCAATTTCAAAATGTTGCGCAATACCTTTTTGTCGCAGTCCATGAAACTGGGTGACTTGAACAATTTGCCTGTGTCGATGGCAATGGTTACTTCACACATTTTCTTCAGCTCCTCGTGATTCAGAAAAATTGCCAAGCCATACGCCAACCATAAGTTGTCATTTGACAAATGGTCCTCTATGAATTTGCCACAAGCGCTCAAACATTCGGTGACATCGTATTTGTGGCCCAAATTCATAACTTCAGCAACATTATCGGCTGTCAATTCGATTTCATCGAAGTAGAAAAACTTCAAGAATACCTTGAAAGCAGCCGGTGAAGCATCGGTGATTTTGACGTCATCTTTCTCTTTAATTGGTCCATAAAACATCGAATTGAACACTTTGCTTGTGGCTGCCAAAACGCTCTTTATTGCTGGAATACGCTGGATTTGGCCGTCAACTGATTCGAAAGTGAAGTGAACATCAGCCATCTTTGTATCCAAATACATCCGCTTGCCGGCTGTGACAATGGCTGAACTGCTGTAATTGCTATTTGACATTCTGTAGTCTTGGGGAATTGTCCAAAATCGACACAAATACCAAAATAATGCGCTGTTGAAATTGAGAAAATGAAAAATTTAGTCACACACTCACACATTTTTTTAACGAAATCATATTTTATGGCAAAATGTCCACATTCTCTCACCTTTTGATAGCTGCAAATTTGAATTGTAAAATCCAACTGAATCTATGTTGCTATGAAATTGATTGCTGTTGTGAAAAAAGACTTGTGAGCTGTTGAAAAAAGTAAAATAAACATCAAAAAAGTTGGATTTATTGTCCTTCATTGAATTTCCGCTGTTTTAATTCGTAAAATTTGTCAAAATACGATTTCTATTCGGTGCGATGTATTTCATGTGAATTCCAACATTGTCATCTATCTGAATATAAGATTTTCTTGAATAGAAAATTTATTTGATCGTTTTTCTTACCTTTTATGCTTATAGATAGAGAAAATGTTAACTGTGTAGGAAAAAAAACTCGTATTGAAGTGTGAAATGAATTTTAATTTGCAAAATCGTAAAAAAATAATGCGTAGCGGTTTCAATCGTGCGTCCACTTGTTTGAATCTGTTCTACGCCGTTTGAATTAGCTTGTGTCAATCGTACGCTCGTTTGAAAAAGTGTGCATCGCAAAAAACCATTTCATAATTAGGTGGCGCTGACGTTCGAATTTCGATCCTGTTCATTTTCGCCAATCAATTTCGGAGATTCGTGACGTGACACTGACAAGTCGAAATGGGCAATTTGAAAGGATACAATTTTTGGTAACCAATGAACAAAAATGTATGAGCAAACTTTTTCTCATTTTTTAATGAAGTTTTTGTGGTGAATTCCGATTTTAAATTGGATTAGTTTCCAATGGATTTTTTATGTACCGTCGATATGCACATTTGATAAATATTAAAAATGATTCAACTAAATACTGCTTTGGGGCACAAAATTTATCGATTTTAATTCCATTCAATATTATAACAAAATAATTTGCATTTACATGGGATAACAATGTTATCATATAACATACATCAGTTTTGTTAACAATGCTAAGATTGCACAAAAACATTAAATAATTACATCATTGAACAAACTCTTAAAAAACTGATCAAAATGTAAGAAATGTGTTTAAATAATGATTTCATTCTTTTATTAACAAAAAAAAAACGGTATTTCACTGCGCTGATATTTCATCCAGCCAAAATGACTTGGCTGTTTGGAAAATTGGTTCACTTTTTTCGAAGCTCTCGCCGTTTTTCAAGTACATCGGTGTGAATTCTCGGTACGCAATGCACACACGTCTTGATGTAATGTCCGTGCGCAGAACCGAATGTTCAAACTGATATCGTGGTGATCCGTATAAGACGATGAGTGATCGATTTGGCATAGGTACTTTGATTAATACATCATTGAATCCATTCAATTGTTCCTCCGAGGCTAATGGTGATCTCAATTGTGATGCATATGATTCAACTAAAGGCAAATTATAACGTTTCGGATCTCCGGTATATCTGAAAGTCAAGGAAATCAAATTAACTTCTGGTTCTGTTTGGTTTGATGACAAAATATTTTTGATCTTACCTAACTAAAGTGAGTACAGAGTCTGACAGACAATTGACGGTGACAACTCGTTCGCCCCAAATCCAACAGTCATCGATATGTGGATCAATTGATGCTCCTTTATCTGGATTGTATTCCAAAGAGCATTGTTCGATTGTTTGAAAATCGGCCAACAGTGGAACATCTTTGAATCGTTCCTGCACAAATTCGGAATATTCTGGAAAGCCTCTGAATGTACCGTGTGCCAGTTTCATTTTTTTAAAATTCGTTTTCGGTCCATAATTCTGCACAAAAGAAGTAAAATGACACATAAGCCAAACTCAATAGATTTAAAATCAAATTCCATCACTCACTTGTTTACGTCTGCCGCTCTGTGAAATGTCCCATGGCAAGCTGTCAATGCCTGTCATCAGTGCATTCTCTTCGTTCGCCGATATAAAATCTGGTGATACAAATACTCCGGGGAATTCGATACCGATTTGTGCACCATGCTCTGGATGTGATCCAATTGTGGCTGTTACATTGTCACCCGCATAAATTTTAATGCATTTATAACAAAAAACGTAATATTTTAAATTCTGCGCCGGGGAAATATTAAACACGCAATTAGACGAAATTTCGAAACGATGTGATTGTTTTTGATGTGAATGAATTTACCTTGTATTTGGTGATGAATGACTTCTCATCGAAATTATATTCTTTTTCGCATGCTAAACAAGTTCGCCTACCCTTGCAGCCACATGGACGTGGATAATCCATTTTTTTAAATGAATTTTTACCGAAAAATAAAAAAAATGTTTGTAAATGTTCACAATCACATTGAACCATTCGAATAATGTATTCAATCTGTCAGATTCGAAATAGCGACACAACGACCTCTGCCGTCAATATCGAATGGTGTGACAGTTCGGTCAGTGAGTTTCGAATGTTGACTATTGGCAGTTTTGTCGTGATAGACTTTTTTCTTCTTGCTTTGTTTGGCGGTATTTTAGCTTTTCTGTCACAGATACATCACATACACGATTGGTTCTCTGCTGAAAAGAAACAACGCATTTTGCTTGTTTAAACGTTTTTTTAGCGTATATCGTGTTTTTTTGCGGTTAAGGGAGCAAAAAGTGCAAATTTTTTCATTAATTTATAAAAATAGTGAAATCCCGTGGTGTTGGAAATATTCAAACACACAAATCGACACATTTGTGAGAATGGCACCTCGTCGCGGAAAGAAAGCAGCGGCTGCTGAAGTCGAAACTGTTGCATCGCCAGCTAATGACACCGAACAAGTAAGTGGTAAAACGTCAAAAGCCGACACCAAGAAAGCAAAGGTGGCAAAAGCAGTGAAGCCGGTTGAACAAAATGATGATGTTGAGGCTGCGCCGGTCAAAGCTGAGCCAAAATCCAAGAAAGCGGCTCCAAAAAGAAAAACAAAAGAAACCGAACCGAATGATACCGATGCTAATGGTGAAAGTGCAGCGTCAGCCACGGTTGAAGCGCAGCCAAAACGAGCAGCTTCCAGACGAATTGCGAAGCAAAATGATGCAGTCGCAAAGCCTGAAACGGTTGAACCAGTGAATGGTGCAACTGATGATGGTGGAAAGAAACCGAGCACCAGAGGAAAGAAAAAGTTGGAATCACCAACAGTCACACCGAAGAAAAAATCGAAGAAAGCGGAGCCCAAAGCACCAAAGCAAGCAGAAAACGAAGCCGGTTCAAGCAAACCGGAGAAGAAGGGCACAAAAGCCAAACCAGCGAAATCGTCAACAAGCGATAAGAAAGACGATGTGAACAAAGCCACCGTTGTCCCAGAAACAAAGGGGAAGCGTGGTGCACGGAAAGCCGTCTCAGCAGCTGTTGAAGCTGAACAACCGGTCGAAAGTGAACCACCAGTCCAAATTGAAAAACCGACAAAAGGAAAAGCAAAGAAAGTTGTTGCTGACAAAGCAAAACCAACAGCTAAATCAACGAATTCGAAAGAGGTAAAAGAAGAACCCGTTGTTGATGATAACAAGCCAAAAGAGGAACCCGTTGAAGAAAACAATGGAGCTGATTCAGCAAAAGGTCGCAAACGTAAACCAGCTAAAGTAGAGGCTGAAAAATCACCGGCCAAGAAAAAGAAAGAAACAGCTGGTGGTGATACGGTTGATGGTGGTTTTTCGTCCAAAGCGAATGGTTCACCGAAAAAACGTAAGGTCGCTGCAGATTCGACCACAAATGACACCGGCGATGATTTGGTGACCAAACGTAAGAAGCCATCGAAGACCGAAGCCAAGGAGACGAAAACAAAGATGAATCCGACCACAAACGATTTGTCGCAAATCAACTTCGATGTTGACAAAGAATTCACACAGAAAATTGTTTCGTGGAACGTGGCCGGCCTACGTGGATTGGTTGGCAAAGGTGGATTCGATTACTTTGAATACGAAAAACCAGACATCATCTGCTTGCAGGTAAAAAACTACTTAATTCCATTCCAATTAGAATTTGAATGGAACATTGAATTTTTTCGAATTTTTCAGGAGATCAAATGTTTGGAAGAAGAAGTACCAACCGAAGCAAAATTGAAAGGCTATCACCCTTATTGGTGCTCAACGCCTGGTGGACGAGGTGGTGTGGCGATTTTGACTAAATCCATGCCATACCACGTACAATACAATCTCGGTGACGAAGAAATGGATGAAGAGGGTCGCATCATTACGGCTGATTTTACGAGATTCTATTTGGTTTGCGTTTATGTACCGAATGCTGGTCGAAAACTTATCAATCTGGATCGACGATTGCGCTGGAACAAATTGTTTGAACAACATGTGACAGAGCTGAAGGCCAAGAAGCCAGTCATCATTTGCGGTGATATGAATGTTGCCCATGAAGAAATTGGTACGATTTTGATGAATTTGCTTTGCTTTATCTTTTGCTTTCTTTCTCAATTTTACCCTTTTATTGAATATATTCTGATAATTTCAAACTTTCTGTTGCTTTTTCTAATTGCATTTTAAACTTTTTTTTTCATTTGATTTAGATTTGGCGAATCCAAAAACCAATCGCAAGAATGCCGGTTTCTCCGATGAGGAGCGAGCTGGAATGACGGATTTGCTTGGACTTGGTTTCATCGATACATTCCGTGAATTCTACCCCAAACAAGAAAAGGCATACACATTCTGGACTTATATGGGCAATGCCAGAGCAAAAAATGTTGGATGGCGCCTGGATTATGCACTCGTTTCCGAGAACCTCAAACCAAAAATCGTCGACAGCTTCATGCGCACACCAATCCTCGGTAGCGATCATTGTCCCATTGTTCTGCTGATGCTCAACTGAAATCGGCCACACATAACCATTCACAACCGATGATTCAATTGAATTTAAAACATATATTACCGTTTCTCATTACCAATTCCATTATTTGTCTTATTTTTGAAACACAATTGTAACAATAGAACACAGAATCGAACTTATGTTCATAGAGCCGATTTGTGTTTTTTTAAGGTTTTCTTAACAGAAGTAAATTGTTTCTAATACGGTTCTTTATCAAATAAATATATAAATATCCAAAGAAACCAAAATCATTTGCGAAACAGACATTTTGAAGAGGTAAATTTTGACAAATATTTTGAAAGAATTCTTTAGCTTGACCAGAATAGGTGTTGACGATCAGCTACGGATAAAGTAATATGGTAGTCTTTCAAGACTGAATGACATGAGCTGTGACTTACGGGACTTTTCCACCCTTCACATTTTCAAATCATCAAGTTAACCTCGAATCAAGCATTTCGAAGCTTTTCTTTGATTTCAACCGTTTCGGTTGAATTTTCTGAAACCGGAAAATATTTCTACCGAATTCAATGGATGAAAATGAAAACCACGTTCATATTTTTTTTTGTTAAATAAATTTTTTTCAGTGTACATATACAATTTTAAGGCATTTACAGTTATTCCGTCTTAATTATAATGGTATGCATTTTTTGAAAGAAACATCAATCAACTAATGATATTTCATAGTCAAATTTTGAAGAAAAAAAAATTCAACTGTTTTTCTTTTCCTTTCATTTTCTCTAAGCAAATATATATATGTTCTTTTATACTGAGTTTAAACTAACGGAAACCTAGTCTATTGCCTATTCTATTATAGTTGACTCTTGTCATTAAATCGCAATACATTTGCTCTTGCGGAAATTGAATTCAGTTCAATTAACTAAAGTTTAGATATATTTGTTGTTTGTTTTTGTATTTATTCGGAGAAAGAAATCGTATTACAACTACAGAATATTCCCACAACTACATCTACACCATGAATGTCGAAAAATTGCCGAGTGTTTGTGCACTCAATTTTGAAAACATTTGGTTAGATATGATGAAATTTAATTCCAATTCATTTTTTTTTACAAATGATAACATTAAATTGTCTTCAGTCAAACCGAAATTTCTAAATGTTCCAAAAGTAAAACAAAAAAATCCAAATACTCCGAACAATGCTAGTCATCCGAACTGAATATCGATCTTTATACTACAATTTTGAATATTCCAAATTAAGGTGAAATAGAATTTTGCTTGATTAATTTGCATCTAATTTTAGGTTCTAACCGTAAAATAAAATTAGTTTTGAAATCGAGTAGTTGATATATTTTCTATATATCTCTGCTTTCCTTTCATTCTCTCTCCATTTCTCACATTCTCTCTTTCACCTTTTCCTCCTTTCTTTCTGCCTCTCTGTCACATTTGAATAAATCGTCACTCTAAAATTCACAGCACATCTTGTTATCATTATTTTTTTATTTTTTTTGTTTGTTTGATAAATTGACACTTTTCATTCTCTGCATACTCCTTACGAACAATATATCTTTGTAAATAGATTTCATTTGTTTTTTTGTTTTATTTTAAAACACTTGAATAGAACTCTTCTTTTCTCTCTTTTTATCGCTCAAAAGGAAATAACGCAAAATAAAGACTAAAAAAACAGAAATAGGACACAATGTATTATAAATCGTTGTTCGGATATTACGAAATGATCGCGTTATTTCGATTGTTTTTTTCTTCTTGTGATGGTTTGTTTTTTTTTTGCTGCGCTATGGCTTCTATTGAAACTGGTAAAGGCAGTGGTGAATTCGCAATTGTTATTTTGAATGTTTGCAAAAAACACGGTTTGATTTTTGTTTTAATTGATTTTTAAAGATGATGTTATCGACATTATGGGCTATCGAGAAAACAAAAAGATGGACGTGACTCATCACCGAAATCTGTAGACTCCACGTATTAAAATCGTACCATCAGTCTACTCAGTCACAGACTTCTTTCTACGATTGACCGTTTTCACGAGATAATCGCTTCGTTTGTTCGATCATTTCTAAGTCTGAATGCTATTTACTTCTATTGCAATTGGCTACGAATGGTCCAAATTAGGAACCGTTGAAACTATTTCGCAATCGAATGAATCATTTTGGCTATTTGATAGGGTAACGGCTAATCAATTTACATTAACGAGTAACAAATGAGAAATCCAAACAAAGAAAAACGAATCTAAGTTGACAAAATCAAATAAATATGCATACAAACACGCGCTGAGCCGATGCATACAATTAAATTGGGCATTGATGGGCTGATTGAGATTTGAACTAAGAGCAATTATAACATAAATTATACATTGGTAAGAAATGATACAATTGAATATTAGTAAAAATTCAGTTTTTGAAGAAAAAGCTTATTTCGTCGGGCTTCGTTCCGGCTGAGATATTTTATCGATCGATAAATTGACCTACGGGAAATTCTCCATTTCTAAATTACGACTAATTTAAATTCATTTGAATTTGTTGTTTCTCTATCTTCTTTCCTTCTCTTTTTTTATTTCCTATTCCATTAAATTCGGGCACCAAAAATCCGTCTCCCATTCTCTGGTGTTTATGTGTGTGTGTCACAAGTGTCAGTTCAATCGTTCTCTCGTCGGTTCGTCTGCATATCAGAATTATTGCCTAATAAAAGTACTTGTGCCACATCGGTCGAACGCTCTTCGGGCAAGTCGTTCCGTGGTAAAGAGACATTACGCGTGTGATACTGTGACTGCTGCTTCTGCTGCTGCTGTGAGTCGGTAGTCAGTGTGCTTACTTCTGAGGTGGATGGCATTGGGTTCAAAATGCGATTCAAGTCTTTTGAATTGGTTCGACGGTGTCGCAATATATTGGCAGCATCATCGACCAGCGATGACAGAAAGCTACTTTTGTTCAGATCCTTCGAATTGTTGCGTGAATGTGAGCCAGCACCCTTGGGAACAGGTGGCGGTAGTCCACTATCACCTTTGCTCAACAATCTATTGTCTAAGTACTCTTTGTTTGTGTTGATGTTAGCATTTGTCGTTTTCGGCACGCTCAAATCATTTTCAATCACCGGTGTCGATGTGGTCGCCTCCAGCGGTCGGTGTTTATTGAATTTATTGTGAAGCTCTTGATCAATTTTTATATTATTCGGCATACTGTAGATTTGATCATAGGAATGATTTCGACAATGCTTTCGTACGGCCCGTGCTGCCCCGTGTTCAGCCGCTGCAGCGGTAGCCATCATCGCGGCCGATGTCATTAACAGGCGATTTGTTGACGCATCCGGTTTCAAACAATTCAAAATGTATTTTATATTCATGGGCTCGTCACGCGAACCAGTTCGTGAATGCGTTGGATGGCGCTTATGACGATTGTCAAAGTCCAAGTCGTGCGAATAGTTGCGTGCATGACCACGCTTTTGGAATAGGCGCCGATTACGGTATTCCGGATCGTATTCACGCGAATTACTACGACCAATTTTTACATCACACGAATTACTGCGGATATGTTTTCGTTTTTTGATATTTTCCGGATCGTTATCGGCGTAACCGTCGTTATAGCTGCAAGTAGAGCAAATTGGTTGGTTTTTCGGTTAAACATTTTTTGAGTTTATTTTTTATAAAAAAAAAATTATCACAAGGAAGTTGATAAGGCTTTTTAGATGTCGTATACTCACCGAAACTCTAATTGAATTCCCTTTGAATCGTTTCGCGAATGACGAGATGCTATCAAAACTTTTTTATTGTTGAGGTCGTACGAGGGCACTTCGAGCGAACATTCATCAGACATCACATCATTGGCATATGAACTCGACTGATTTTCGATTACACCTTTTTCAATGAATACTGTGGATGGAACGAAATGGAAAATGAAACAATTGATATGGTTGTGAATATTGTGACATTTTTATAAGGTCTTTCCCGATTCTGTATCTCACTCGACTGTTTGCTATTAATTGTTAATTTTCTTGAAATTTCTTTAATTTTTTTCGTAATAATTCCGACGCAAAACCACTTACATTTATCCAAACTAATAATAGATCCAACTCCTGCCGTTGCAGATAAGGGTGTTGTATATTCTAATTGCTTTCGTCGACGTACCAACCACCAGTCGATTGCAAATATTGCCAAAGCCACTAATTTGATGCTTGCACACAGTCCAACATATCTATTGACCATCATAAAATGCATTAAATGATTATGTTCGATGTCACATTAAATATTATGAATTAAGGTGATCAATTGGGTAATCAACTCACTTGTATCTAAACGTTTCAATATCGTAGATGAGACAACGACCACCTTTTTCGCCGCATGTCGATTTCCACAAAAGGCACGTTGAATCGATTAAATTCCCAAATAAAATAGGCGCTGGAATGTAACCGAACAAACGAAATATCACGAACTGCATTCCCAATGCAAACGATCTCTCTTCTTCGGATACCGATCTAAATAGATGGAAGAACGAAAAATTGTGATGAAAATTATGTAACAAAAGGGATGAAAAATTGTCATAATGATATAGGGGCCAATTATACCTCAATACAATCATAAGCAAAGGCATTTGCGTCGAGGCGACAATGAATGTCATGAAAAACAGTAGAATTAAGAACGGATAAATAGTTCGACACGGAGTAGCACATGGGCCAGCACTAGCAACCGGTACCACAGTCACTTCGGCATATTCGTCATTGGCAATTGATGCTTGAGCCTCACTTCCACCAACTCCTTTGTACACACTGGCTGGTTGATTTGATTGTACACAAGCACAATTCGTATAATTTTCATTATTTGAAAATGCCGTACAACCCGCATGGCATGGACTGAAGTATGTTAAACCTGTTGAGAGTTGAAAGAGCGATGAATAAAAGGTGAAGCCACGATGGATTTTTTTTGGACATTTTAATGCAATAGAAATAAAGAGATTAAATACCGTTATTTCCGCAGACCGGTTCAACATCAGTCATGTGACATTCACAGCCGAAATTACATGCGGCCGTTAAATTCACTGTGAACGGCTCGGGTGTAGCGTGTGTTGTACTGCAATGGAAAAGAACATGTGTTACTTTCTTGAACATTATCCGGTTTCAATTTCTATTTTCTTGATTTCCTTCAAGATTTCGAAAAAAATCGCAGAAAATGGAATCGATTCAATTCAATTACCTATTGTAATAGGGAATAGTTGTTCCGGCCATTTTTAAATTGTCGCAACCCAAAAAGAACAGTAGGCCATAGCATGACAAGCAGATTAAATTGGAAATTAACACAAATTGAACGGCACCCTTTGGCTTCAGTTCGAATCGCTTGAGAAAGCATCCACCTAGGAAAATACCCAGGCATGCTCCGGGTATTGCTATCGATCCTGCAATGAACAAAAACAAACGTAATTTCAAATAAAACTTTCAATTTTTCGCTTTTGCGAAATTCAAATTCATTTACACACCCGTATAAACACTGGCTTCACTCTTGCCAAGGCTAAATTGAGTCTCCAAGTATTTTGGAAGAAAGACGATGAAACCGGACACAATCATTAGCTCCATGCAAGCGCCAAGACATGTGACGGTATAGATTGGATTTGACACAAGACGCCACATTGACAATGGAATGTCTTTGATGTCTTTACCTAAGGGGAGAATCAGAAAGAAGAAATGAAATTAATAGCAATATAACGAACTAATAGTGGTGATGTCTTGATGTCTTTACCATATCCGCTGTCGATTTTTGTAACTGTAGCTGTTGTATTTGTATTTGGAGCGGACGCATTATTAGGTAGCGTTGAAGTTGGTGGCTGCTGTTGCCGTGGCAAACTGTTGCTGTGTGTAGCACCAGCTGCTTTGAGATTTTGCTCTTCGATATTTCGTAACTTTTTCTTTTCACGTGTTAAAACTTTTGGAAACGAAAAGAACGGAATGGCAACAATCAACAACAACAAACCGCACAGTAAAAAGCCTCCCCACCACATTCCAATCCATCGACGGTCGCCAGGCGCTGAAATTGATAGATAACATTTGGAATGAGTAATAGAAAACAATTTATTCTCAGTAATTTGGTTGCAAATCGTTTTTAGTTGTTATCATCTGTTTCAGTTTCATGATATAAAATGAACACTCACTTATCGTAATTGTCGCAGCTGTGAAAGAGTCCATGTGGAATGAGAGTAGATAAGCACCGAGAAGGAAACCGAGTACGGGTCCAAACGCTGCCATACTGTACATAAATCCAATGTAAATCGAAGCGCTTTCAGTTCGAACATGATCATCGACATAGGTTGTGCCGAGTGTAAACAGTGGACTACCACCACTACCCAATAGTATTTGTGCTATGACAAACAAAAATACTGGACCAAATGTCGATGATTTCACTTTGATGCAATTATCTTCACGAAGATTATTATGTGGTGACAGTGGTGAGTTCGACAATCGATCCACCAATGAACCTTGGTACGGAACACTTCGACAAATATTGTCTGTACTATTATTTGCTACACTTATGCTAGGGTTTACTTCACCAGTAAAATGAGGCACCATAAATATCAATGAGCCTATTGCCATTACAATTGCACCTGCAATCGAAACGAACGGTAAACATCGATTAGAATTTGAATGGTTTTTCTCGCAAACACACCCTCTCACAGTGCCAGTGACTTACCGATTCCAATCCAAACAGGTATGTGCCTTCGACTTCCTAAATAGCTAACAAAAATGACTGTTATCACATTTCCAATCTCGTAACTCGATGCTATCAACCCCGAATAGCTAGATGGTATTTCGAAGCGCTTTTCAATTGTCGTTATAACTGAATTGATATAACCGGAACTAAGTGCTTGCTGCAGTGTCACTAGCATCGATAGTAGCAGTACGAATATCTGCAAAATACAAACAACAACAAGAACAAGAGAGAAACCGTAAATAAATCGTTGAATAATTGATGGCGAGTGCAGACGAAAAATCAATTAGTGATGAGTTTAATGGATTCGGTACATACTTTAATGCGAGCGAATTTTTGAAATGATTTCGGTCGACACGTGAGTATGCCGCAATCGACACTCATTTCAGCGTCATCATCATTGTATTCGCCCGTTTTATCACGTTGATCAATAATACCGGCCGATGGTTGACGGCTGTGGCATTTGATCACCGTATCGGCTACGTAATTAGGCACGACTGTTCCATCGACAACATGACGACTACCGATTTGGCTGCCATTTTCTGAATTCTCTGAATCGCCGGGCACATCGATGCTACTATTGTCGTCAATATTGTCCGAATACAAGCCGGTCATCGTGTACATTGACTCCTGCCTTCTAGCAAATGGAATGCGACAAAGAAGAGTGTAGGAGTTGAGTGTGATTAGTTAAATTCAATTAATGCTCACGCACTCGGCGAGCGAACGAGCAAATGGATGCATTGAGACTTGGTTAATATCAAAGTTAATTGTTACGTACCTATGGCCTTTACGATTATTGCTTTGACCTGCATTGTTTTCGCTGATTGGTATGCTCTTCATTATTCTGCAGAAATATTTGTTATTTCATGTAAAATAACAACTGTCCAATTGTATCTAGGATCCCATCAAATAGTTATGCGACCACTGTGTTGAAAAAAAGACACAAAGAAATCGAATTTTTTTTAACTTAATTCAGTCCACGTTCGAAAAAAAATCCGTTATGCGTATGCATCATACATTCATTTACATTCAAGCGCACCCGCGTACAAATTACGTGTTTTTGAACAATCACACACTGGCTAGAAAAAAATCTCAGTTTTTCTCTCGCAATCATTCCACAAATTAACTGCTCAACATGATTTAACTACAAACTAAACACACACAATCCAGACACAAATCGTTTTGTTGTTTTACTCGCTGCCGTCGTTGCCGTCGCTGCCGTCGCAAAAATGAGCCATTGCGAAATTCGTAATTTACGGCATTTGGTCTGTGCGCTTTTTGAAATCCAAAATAGAATACCAAGTATACGCAAATCGACACGATAAAACATGAATCAGTGCGAAAGATAAAAAAGCCTTTCATACTCGCACCGCACCAATCGTCAAATTAACTCGTAATTTAATATCATTGAGATACACACCATACGCGCTGATGATATTCGATTTGCGCCTTTTATCTTCTTTTTTCTACAACTCTTGGCGGCGTTTGCCACAGAGAACGCGCGCGCGTGTGTGTGTGTGTATATATGTGCTCAACTTCAAAAGTTCACAATTCACATTCACCATCAGATACACGCTCTAGTTCCGTCGAAATTTTTTTCTTTTCGTTCGATTTTATTCTGTTGGTTTGGCATTTCATTTTTCTCGAAAAATAATTTCAAATGAAACAATTTCTATATATCACTTGGCGCACACAGAAGAATTACAAACAAATAAACGATCACTATGCGAATTTAATCAACATGAATCACGATTCCCCTTTTTTGTGAGTTCTTAATCAAGTCGACCGAGAAATTGAGAACAATGTCTATTAACCGAAATTGAAGTCAATGTTAGGAAACAAGTTTGAGTCACTTTGACGAGATTGGAAAGAGAGCGACAAAAACACGAGTGGCAATAACAGGAACAAAGAGTTTCATTTAAACTGATTTAAACTGTGCGTAAACTATGTGCACAAACAATTACCACATCAATGCGCTGTGTGATATTGAAGAAGTGCGCAGTTCTTACATAGATTTGTTTATTTTTTTCGGTCGGCACACAAAGAGCAGGCGAGCAAAATAATCGGGCGAATTGTTTTGCGAACGATTCAAAATAAATGTGGCAAAGTGAATGAATTTTATATACATATTCGAGTTTAATGCGAGTACCAAGGCGAAAATTGCTTTCCGCCTTTTGAATTGCTTGAGCACACATCAAACAAAATTTTAGCGTATATGTGTTTTTTTCTCTCTCTCTCCCGATCTTACCACGAAAAATCAACAAATAAAAAAGTAAACATAGTAATCGCTCAGTGTCAGGATTCTTCTACGTATCGCACATGGGTTATCACTATTATTTATGTGCAATATGTTTTTGGTCAATGCTGACCCAGTATGATTCCTAGGTATAGTCAAACGAATAGATATTTTAAAAACAGAGAGCAAAAGACAAACATCAATCGATTGAATGTGAAAACGTGGCACACAGCAACACAACGCAGTGTGCAAATCGAAAATGAAAAAAAAATAATAACTTTCAGCCGATTTCACAGTGCATTTGAAAAAATAGAGCGCGACAAACGGAATACATTATGTGAATGTGTATACTATGTAGACGGAAAGAAAGAGAGCGAGAGCGAGAACAAAAGGCCTCAAAAATTGCTCGTCGCATACAAAGGCAGCAACAAAAGCAGCAGCAGCAGCAGTCATAGTGTTACAAAGTAAAAACAGTGCAGTAACTAAAAACAGAGGCAAGTCACAAGTCTCTCAATGCCTGTCAAATATTCATAGTTCATGCGAGCAAACGAACGAATCAGCGAGCCGAGCGAATGAATATTGCGAGGGAATGTAGGCAACAGCAGAAATTTTCACATGCAATGTGACCGAATCAAAATCAAATTGCTCTATTGGATATTTGCACATAAAGTGACGAGCACATAAGCATGGCACGGATTGTGTACGGTCTAGAGATAGAATGCGAGCGGTGGTGTGTGTATGCTTGGCAGAGATAGAGAGAGAGAGAGAGAGAGAGTTAGCGATACACTCGAAGATGTAATGCAGTAGAAGCATGATTATGATTATGCACAGCTATGTTATGTATCCTCGTTTGTTTGTTGTCTCTCTATTCCCGTTTTTGTTGTGTGTGCATTGAAAATCCACTTGCAACGGAGTGAGCAGCTGCAAGTCTTATTGTGGCCAATGTGTTTTTTTCCCTGCACACAGCATCACACAGCTGACACGTCAAATCGCGATGTAATTGAATGCGAGAGAGAATGTTAAAGCCATGAGTTAATTTCCAACCGAACCGAACCGAATCTCGGTACGATTCAGTCTGTTATAATGATTCTAATTCGCTAATGTAAATTGCACTCTACGAAGAGACGAGCGAAAATAAAAAATTCTTTGCACGAACGGAATGAACCGACAAACGCATGAATAAAATGATTTCATAAGCAGATTGAATTCACAGCGTTATGTTAGAAACATTGTACGAGCAAGAAACATATCAAATGTCTCAAAACAAAGTGAACATGAAACTCGAATAAAAACACACACACATATAACCATTACACTGGGTAAGATAAGTGAGCGAAGCCTTAGCCTTCGGGGCATGAGCACATCAATTAAGACACACACAAATTAGTCGTTCGAAGAACGTTTCCATAATAATAATTCCATTTTAGCCAAGCCAAGCCAAAACAATTCCACTGCAATCGATTTGATATTTTCTATGCGCTAGCAAGTCGACAAGACAGACACGCAGTGCACTGTGCACATTGGATGCTTGAGACCTTTTTTGTCATTCAGGTGAATGCGGTCATTTGAAATATGTTGGCATTGACGCGTAATGCACCATGCCAAACAGCCAGATTAGCTTAACGATTTTCCTAATCACTTCATATCGGATGTGAGAGCTGAAAATAAATGGTGAACAAATTTAAATGGAGACAAGAGATAGAAATTCAAGTGCCGCTGTATTTTATTCCATGTTTGTTTGCATCGCTATCGAGCTGTGCCATCAGCAGCTGAATCAGCACTACCACCATATTTTAAAACAGACAATATTTTTGTGCTGTGTATCGAGCTGATTATTTCAATCTAAATTTTTGTGGATGGTCTTTTGTTTGTCTTCATTCTCCATTTCACAGCACAGCATAGCAGCAGTCGGTGTGAACAACAATAGAATTCTATTTCAAAACATCGTCAGTGTTTTTCGCTCTCTCACACTCACAACCACACACTACAAACACGCACACCGTTGGCTGCTTCACACGGCGCACGTAATGCGAGAACGAACGATGATTTACATTCGAAAGAAAAAAAAACGATATAATCGAGTGGAAACATGGAATGACAAAATACAGAGCACGGAGAACATAATACCGAAACTATCACACATTGACATGAATATCGCACACACACCGCACTTACATCACTTTGTTGCTGTTGTTGCTGTTTGAAGCGAAAAACTAAACTGGTGCGGACAATCAACGAGAACAACGAGGGAAAAAAGAGAAGTCATTAGAAAGACACATGCAAACGCAACACCGATATCTCTTTTGGATTTGACGTTGGACGTGGGACAAATCACACGAAATATGGGAAATATTTTGACTGTTTATTTTTTCCACTCCAGTTTGATACTGCACCTAATGACATGGTACAATCTCATAAATAAATAGCACCACCCGAAATGAAACGCACCTATGGTTCTTTTGAACTCACATTTTTCCAATAGAATCGACCTTTGCCGAAGTAAGTCGAACATGAAACACGCGCTAGAAGCTAGCACTTCGAATATTTTAAAGAGGAACAAAAAAAAAATCAATAAAATCGACCTTTCATTTTCCCTGATAGATTGAATTCGTGGTCAATTTTAATCATGAATCCAGTAACATTTTCACTTTTTTTTTCGCTGCTGCTGCTTTGTTATACTTTGTCCTGGTGTGCGGCGCTCGAATTATGGTCGAATTGGTTCATTCATGGGAAAACTGCATGGCAAATGGGCTGAGAATAAAAACAAAGTGAAAGAAGCAGAAAATAAAAAACCACACACACACACAACAACGGGGCAGAATGAAGTACGCGGCCACGAAGAGAAACTGAATCATTAATCAGAATATGAGGCAAGCGACACGGAACGCGATGAGAGCGCGATTGCGATGACGATGAAGCCAGAAAACGGAGGAAAAATCAATATCAACTGCTCTAAATTCAATATAATAAATGTAATTACATGTGTATGCCCTGTATCGTATTCAGCAATAGCGACTTTGTGACATAAGTTTGTTGTGTGTCGTTTCTTTTTCATCTTTTTTTTTTTCTTCTATGCTTTTTAGCTTGATTGCGTTTTTCTTGACTCTTTCATATATATTCTCGAAATAAAGCAACAGCAACAACAACAAAATGCTCGTTTTTCTTTCATGCTTCAAACAAATTGCACTGACGTTGAATTATTGAAATGCTTGTTACACGGTGTGCATGCAATGCAGCTGCAAAGCACCAGATCGAATCCTGTATCGCGAGCAAAATCATATAAAATAATTAACGATTTGCAATCACACAGCGAGCTATATATTTTATTTTAGTGTGTCCGAGGCGCCGTAAACAAAAGACCTTAAAAATGCCATTTTTGATATTGAGCAGATTTTGACTGTGTGTGCGTATGAACGGTTTGCCAAGAGCGGAAAACAAATCGCCAAAATTTATAAATCATAGTTTCCTCTTGTTTCGTCAAATCCGCATTCATGAACAAACACGCGCGCGCGTAAGATTATCTTTCAGAGAGATAAAAATATTTTTTCGGTAGTTTGTGATATCGCGATTATATTCAGTCTGGACTTCATTATAAAATTACCTTGCAACGGAGTCGCACACTCATAATCAGTCCATGGGTATTAGTCTAATGAATTGCTTAGAAACATGAAACAGACTTTTCCACAAAATATTCATACATTGTTCCACAGCAAACAAACAAATATGCATGGTACGGTGTTAAGAAGACGCACTCCAGTGCTCATTAATGAGCAGACACATTTGGATTTCACCTTACGCGTGTCTCTGTCTCTTTATCTGAGAGAAAGTAAAGCGAATATCCAAAACGAACACCAAATTTTATAATCAATTGGGCGTTTGTTGTGTTAGTTGTTTTTCTTCTCTCAGATGCTTGTGTGTTTTCGTTTCGCTGATGCGCAGCCAGTTGATACATTCATTTTGATTAGTCATAAATTCACAACAACAACAACATCAACGATCAGAACGCCTTTTATGTCACATTCAATAGATTACACGTTCAACGAATTTATCACTCGAAAATATTTGTATACTCCGTCTCGCTGTTGATTCGATTTCAAGTCGAGTTTCCATATTTCATGAGCTAATATTTCGAGTGTGTTCGATGGTCTTCCGTGTATTTGTTTGCTTTTGAATTATACGATTTCAGCTCTCACTCTGTGTGTATCTGTTGCATGATTGTCGGAGACAAAAGAAAAGTCAATCGATTTGGGGGATTTTAAAAAATGTATAACATTTCCATGGCATTTCACAAAATCTTCCATTGAACATGGAGGAATGAAAAATGGTCGAAATACGACGTGAAAAATAATCCAAATATTGAAAATCAATAGCACCCCAGAGTACGTTCACATTTAACTCACGATTTGTCCGAATAAAATTATTTGAATGGAATAATTCATTTGGGTAATTTGGACATGAGCAGTGACGATTTATCGATTTGCCGTTCATCTAAAACCCACACATTACGTACGGAGCGCACACAGTTAATTCATTCAGTATAGGTATAACGTATAACTAAAATTGATCAAAATAAAACCATGTCGAAGCGAAAACCCCAAAATTGATTTAATGATCTTAATGAACCCTTCGTTTTATTTTACATCTTTTTCTCGCCAAACACTATTTCACGTTTCAAACACTCAACACTCGAGAAAAACAACCAGCAATTTCATTCGAATTACAAACAATTTTCGATCAGATTTTTTGTTTCGATTTGGTTTTGTATCTCGTACATAACATTTTCCACCATTTCACTTACACATTTGCTAAATTTTCACAATTGTCTTGAGATATTCCATTAGGTAAAAAGTTTCTTTTTCACCATATTTCACGTGAAAAAAAAACTTTATTCCGTTCTTCTTTTCTGAACGTTGTTGTTGTTCTTGCTGCCACTACTGCTTTAGATAATGTTTTAAACCAAAAAAAAAATATAATTTCTTTGTTTGAGATTTTTGTTTGTTTCACTCAAAATATATCATTCGTATAAGAAGTACGAATCACTCTGTAGTGCTTCTTATTATGTGACTCTCTGTTAATGAACTAAACTCGCACGGACATGAATTTGTGCTTGTATCTCATACAGATTTCAGTCATTCCCTATCATATGCAATAGATGAATACATCTATGCAATACTTTCACATTCGCATTAGTTTGTATTTGTGTGCGTATTGTTTGTGTTTCTTAAACGTCACTTATCGACGATTCATTCAGACACTTTGACAGCTGTGTGTTCAGCAGAATCCGATTCTGTGTGGTGTGTAAGGGATTTTTCACTGTTTTTGTTCATTTTTTCTCCATATTTTTTAATAATTTAAATATTTATTTCAAGAAAAAATCTTAACATCGAAATTGGCATAGGAAAACCAATGAAAACTTATGAAACAAATTCGTTGTTGACACTAAAGTTTTTTGCGTAGTTTCCGCTGATAAACTGATAGAATATGGCACTCCAACGCCATCTTTTGTCAGCGCCACGAAGTCCCATCGTTATCAAGACACAGGTGATTGATTGGAACACGAATCGTGTGTCTGTTTTTTTTTTCTTCATTATTTTCTTGTAATAAAACGCAATTCAGTTCGAATAAAATTGATGAATGAAAATTGATTTATTTCAATGCTTTGCGCTTCGCTACGAGCTTTTTGAGCTTAAACTTACGATGTAATTTACACAATGAATGAAATGACACATTAATTTATCGGATGTTTCTTATCAAAAATCTACTTGGCATTATAAATATGAAATTTGAGTCAATCTGGGTCATTGAACGATTGTATCAAAAATTCCCTATTAATTTACGGCTTACGACGAAAAAGAGAATGAGTCAGAGTAGTTGCAATGATTGTTTTTTTAAAAATGATCATCGGTGTGATCTGTTCGATTGTTATTGTACATGATAACCTCCGGTTCGCGTTCGTCTTGAGTATTTTCATTCGATTCTTGGTCATTGGCTTGAATATGCTTCGGTGGAACGTAACTGAACCATGCCCCGAAGAAGAAGATCGTGGAACAAAGTTTGGCCGTCAATGCAAGATAAAGCATGTATCTATAATTTAAAAAAAAAAACAAAATTGACACACATAAATTTTATGCTCCGTTCAGTTTGGTGACTTTAAACCTGATCAAAACACAAACCTGCTTAAGCTCATGTTATCGTAAACAAGACAAGCTCCGGCCTCGTTACATGATTCTTGCCACAAAATGCACGAATCGTCAATTAGTGAGCCGAATATCATGGGAGCCGGTATGGTACCCAGAATTCGTACAACGATCCATTGGATGCCCAGTGCAAATGACCGTTGCTCACTGTGCACGCATCTGTGAACATCAATGACAACAAAACAAGATGAATTGTTTCCTTTTAGGCGTTAAGTTGTGAATTTGCAAAGTGTTAAACATACCTGAGTGTGGCGGAAAGAGCTGGCATTGTGCTAAGAAAGGTGAAGAACATGACAAAAAAGCACAGACTAACAAAATACCATAGATTGTTGCATTCGGTTGTGCACATGGTGTTAATTGCATCGTAGCCTCGATCTTGAGTTTTATTGTTCGGCGCTGAAATACATTCGCAATCGAGATAAACTTTGGAATTGTCCATATTCAATTCTTTGAAACAACCAGCGTGACATGGACTGAAGTATAAGATGTTGTCAATACCACAAATCGGCTCATAATGCGATCGACTGCATTTGCACATGCTGTTGCATTCACTTTCCAGACGATATTTCTCCGCAAAATTCGGCGTTGGTCTGATTGTATTCGTTTCAAATGTTTGCGCCTGTGTTCGATATGGGCCAGTGATGCCAGCAAAATGCATATTCGGACACGAAATGAAGAAACAAACTGTGAAACAGGTCGCGATTGCCGTTGAAACCAAGCACATTTTGATGATTCCTGAGCAGGCCAGATTGAATTTCTTCACCAAATATCCGCCAAAGAAAGTGCCACCACCTCCAGCTGGCACTGTAATTAATCCCATAATCAATGCGGCAGAGATCGCTGTTACACTGAATTGATTTTCAATTTGCTTGGGCAAAAAAGCTGCAAACCCAGCAATAATCAAACCCTCCGACGCTCCGGCCAAGTTCAAGAATAAAAGCGTCGGATTCTGAAGCAAAGCAAATATTGCTTTGTGCATTTCACGTAGTTTTGAGTATTGTTTTCGGTTACTACTGCTGTGCGCTTCCGAGACTTTAACTTGTTGCAGCTTCTCTGAACCTTCAAACATGGGAGAGGGAGTGAGTGTGTGAGGGAGATGTTTTATTTAATCAAGTTTTGTTGTCACGGTGTTTTTGGTTACCTGGCAACGAAGATGGATAAGCGAGAATCGGTATGCTCAAAAGTAAACAAATTAACGCAATAAACACGAATCCAATCCACCAAGCGCCAACAAACACTTTGCTCTGCGGCGTCAGTCCAAATCTGTCGTAAGGTATGAAACGAAATGAAATATTTACTCACGTTAACATGAATCATATTCGGTTAAAATTTGTAGTGCGATAAGCGAAGCTGATGCAAAGCGAGAGAGACTTGCAACGGAGGCAAATGATTTTCCATTCGTTGAACCGACGATAAGAATAAGGAGAGAGGGTAATCAACAACGGTAAACGGATTATGTTTGCATGACTTCAATGTTGCATCTATTGCAAATGCACCTTATTAATCCGCTCTGTTGATCACGATATCACAACATTTGGCTTTTTAACCTACTCGAAAAACCGTTTGCCACTTTTTCCGTCTCATTCTCACCCACTGTGTGTTTAACAAGTTTATGTTTGTGTGTAAAGCAAAGCATCCTCATCATATCTCATGCATATATTTATGTCTGATATCACGACGACACACACACACACAAGCAAACGCAACTTGCATAATAAATGCTCCCTCGCAACCAAAGTTTAATATAATGAATTGATGATGTCTCTGAATAAGCTTCTGTGATATGCCATATTTGTTGCCATGGTTCGTGCGACAGAAAAGTGCTTGTTTCGTTTGTTCTCGAACGTCTTTTATTCGCTTTGTTTCATTCCTTGAGCATCACACCACACAATAAACAACTGCTGGAATTGTCGCTTATTTGTGAACTATGCGAAGAAAGAGAGAGGGGGAGGAAAGAGAGAAAGACGTGCACCACATGAAAAATCCATCATCCAATATTTTTATATAGCGGTGAAAAAACGCGGAATATTTTTCGATATTACAATTTACCACCCGAACACAAATTATATGGAAGGAAGTCGATTCGTATAGTTGTTTTTTCTCTTTTCTTTCTCTCTGTGCGCGAAGAAAGGGAAAGGGAAGTACAAAGTTTGCAGAGGGCAAAATGGCACATGAGAGAAAATTGGCTTTTTTCAGAGTGTCAACAATATTTATAAAGCCAATTACATCTCAGCATATCCGACGAACGAGCGACTAACATAATTTTTTTCATACTGCTTCTGCCGGTGCTGTTGTTGTTGCTACTGCTGCTGCTCTTGTTGAAGGTGTAGGTATGCATTTCGGAAACGTTTTAATAATAATCATGTCACAGCAGCGGCGGTGGCAGGAAATAGGCACATTTACCAGAGACCAAATGGTTGTGAATGTTGCATAAATGTTTCCCCGCAGAGAAATAAATTCCAGCAATTTTTCGTGTTATTGTTTAGGAATGCGCTTGCCACACACCACAAACGAACCCGGGCTCCACTGCGCCGTTCGTTTATTAGTATAAAATTCAATTTTGTCGGTCGACACATCATAACCATGTAATTGGCCGAAATGACTTAGATGAAGAATTTTCATTGAGTTTTTTCACGCTTTTTTATGCTCTCTTTCTCTCTCATTTCTGCGGTGATAGAAGCAGAGACCGCAAAAACGCATTGCTGTTGCTTCTTTCTTCGGCAAACGAGGGGGAGACCGAAGCCGAAGAAATGTACTGCTTATCGGCGTTTTTGTCACTCGTTTCACCCAAGCTTGCCATTCCATGTGTATGTGTGTTGTTTAGGCATGACTCTGCTGTAATAATGATGGAAATCCACCGTTGTTCTAATGATAGACTCTCCCATTTGCCGGTAAGGTGGTTTTTTGTGGAAAAAAAAATTAACATAAAAAAGACATTTTCCTTACGTCAATGGATCCACCGTTAAGAAATCCGTGTAGAGGAGCAGTAGTTGACCTCCAACGACATAGCCCACGGCTGGTCCAATGATTGTCATGGTGTAGTAAATACCTGTAAAGCATATTTCAAACATATATCTCACATGATTTATCTGATGCACACCGCTTAAAGCCACAGCCAACCAAACATGCCAACCAATTTCAAATTGAAAATAAATCATTTGATTCATTGCATTAACTCGAACGAAATGTACCGTAAATAGAATAAATTATTTTGGATTTGTCCATGTTTTCCAAATGGAACGAAAGGAAAAAAGGTCGAAGAACTATGCATGGTGAACGTGAGTTTCCCAACGAAATCGTTCACATTCACTAAACCAATTAAACACAATTACTTTGTAAACATTATATGATTTATTTCCGTTTATAACTCGAACCCTCCGCCGTCGCCACCACCGTCGTAAGGCGGCGCACATCGAAGCTCGCACGCTATATAAATGGGGGACGACCGAAGGAAACAGTTTAAGGAAACAGTTTCAAAGAAAAAGCGGAAAAATTGTACTGTCTTGTTTGAATATGATAACGATTGCTGATCGACGCTCTATTGTTGCGGTAGCAATATATCAATTTTTAAGGGTTTTCCATAAGTAAACAAATTGAAATCGATTGCACGGAATGTGCTCATGCATTAATGAGATGAAGGGTAAATAGAATAGCATGTAAATGGTTGCAATTGTCAATACAAATTCAATACTCACCCAAATAAACAGAGGACATCTTTTTCGAAACATTCTCATCGATGAAGGTGACACCGAGCGTGAACAAAGGTGCAGCACCCATTCCGTGTAATAGTTGTGCCAAAAAGAAGAACCAAACATTCCATGAGAGATCATCACCACTTGAACCGGCCATTTTTTCCGTGCATGTCTGCGAATGAATTGTTTTTAATAAAACAAATTTTTTCGATTGAAAAGAACACATTTTTGATTTATCACAGTTTTTATTTGTGAAATTTGATCTAAATTAAATTCCTTTCTCCTTCCGAATAAAGTATCATTTGGTGACGACGGAACGATGGTTCAAATCGTACAAGTGGAAAAATGATCCAAATGATTTCGCCTGCTTTTTTCGTACGCGCTCAATTTGCCGTCATTTCAGGAAGAAATTTGATTTCATCGCATCAAATTCAATATCACCTCCCCCATCAGAACGTTCCGAATGACGAGAAAATTGTAGGTTAATTCATAAGAATTTCATTTACTGGAAATTCGATGGCGGCACACAATCAAGGTTGAAGAGCATTCAATCAACACGAGGAATGGAAAAAATCGGGTGAAGTGTTTATTTTCAAATCAACGACGACTCATTTTGCTTTCTTTTGTTCACAATGTTTGTATGTGGAGGTGTGGCGTGGAGTGGTGTGGCATACAGAGGGCAAATGCATTTACCAATTGCAGGAAAAATATCCGGCGTCATGAGTCACAAACAATGCACGTTTACCGAAAATCGACTTTGTTCTTTAATAAATTCCCATTCACTCGCTCATTGTGTGGCCCGTCAATTTCAATTTCTTCAGATTTTTTCTCCTCGACGTCACGTATGTGATGGTGTGATCTTTGAAGGGAAAGTGTCACCACTTACTGTTATTGAATTCAAGGTAATAAGAATCGATTTTTTTTCTTCCTTCGAAATAACTATTCCTAAACATTGCTGTTGCATCCTCAAAACCTACTCGACAGTTTGATCCATTTTTTTTCTACCCTTCATTGAACGACACTCGCTATTCTTTCAGAGTGTTGTTATGCTCAACTCGACCTTTTTGCTACACTTTGAACTGAAGTCATCCTTGTTCAGATTCAATATAAATAGATTGCTTACAAATAAAATCGATTTTCGTTTTTTCTCTTGCGATAAATTGCATTTTAGCGTTAGTTTGTCTGATATTCCGTTTTTTTCGTTGCTTTTTTGCGTCATTTTCCATTGTTTAATGTTTTTTTCTTCTAGCTTTGTGGTGTTTATGAAGAGTAGTTTAGTATTTTCAACGTCAAATTTCCCGCAAAATTCATTCAATTTTCAAAAGGTAGGTAAAAAAAAGTACTCACCGTATTTGCATTGGATTCGGTGAGGCAAACGTTTGCTTCGACACTTGTTGCACGATATGAGCCGACCAAAAAATGCGGTAATGAAAATACCATTGAACCCAATCCCATAATAATCATGCCGATCCCAATCCACCGCGGTTTCGATGCATTTGGCCTGCCTCCGAAATAAGTAACTGGCACCAGGCATACAAACGATGCAATGTCATATCCACTCGCCACCAATCCAGTTTGTGATGAACGCAATCCGAATCGCTTCTCAATCGTGGTGATCACAACATTAATACATCCGTTTACAAGCAAACCTTAAAAAAAGAACCATTGAAAATTGTTACATGAACATGAACCGCCAATGACTTTTTGAACTTTATTTTTGTCTCTAATCTCTCATACGAGGAAAACCCATTCTTATCAAGTAAATTTCGTTGGGGAACCGAAAGCATGGAGTGCACGTTCAAAATTACGAAACAAAACAGTATGAATATGTTCGATAAGAATCAGCGTACAGTGAAGTCATGGATCCAAGGCAAAAAGTGACTAAGCGCAAACCAAACATGATTGACACACCGATATCGAGGATAATATATGTTGCTATTAGGAAGAGACAGCGAACAAAAATCACAACTCAACCCATTTGACTTATTCTCTCATCCCTTCGATGCCATCAACCATATTTCATTTGACATCTCAATCCCATTCTTTCTCTGTGTCGATGCGAATCTATATTTTTCCATTTTTCTTATAGGAGTCAGAGAATTGTTGGATTTTTATCAGTAGTTTTCGTGGTGTTTGTTTCCATTTCGAGTCCTTTGTATTGGGTGATGCCAAAATGCGATGATATCGCCATGCATTGCACTGTAATAACATGGCCAGTGGCAAGAGACCGTTTAAACTAGTTAAGCAAATCTATGTAGCCAAAGTGCATGTCATGACGCATCCGTTATGTTTGCGGACTAGTGGTGAGGGGGAAAGTGTGTGTGAGAGGGACAGAGTTTGAGTTTCGTGATTCGTAATTGTATTTGCGATATGTTTGTCTGGCAGATGAAGATAGCATAAATTATTCCGGCGATAATTGTCCCATTCATCTCCTTGTGTGTGCACTTGATTATTATATGAAACAAGTATCAAATGACTGTGTCGTTAAATGTTGAAAATGCACATATGCGGTGGGAGACATACACACACACTCTTTCGGCTCTCGTTAATTGAGTGAATTTGCATGAACGAAGTGCAGCAATGAATTGAACAACCGAAAATCGATGATTTATTATCCATACACAGAGAGTCGATAATAGCAATTGTTTTTATCGTGGGTCGCTGTCATGTACATTGTGCCCATATATACGGAAAGGTCACATATTCACGCGATACAACTAGCTACACCTTGAACTTGAAATCGCTTTGTATCGTAACAGCAATATGGCTCTTTATTTATTAACTACTCTCGAGTTCAATTTCCGACTAGAAGGTGTACAGTGCACATATCGTTCCCACTTATCGTATACATTTTTTCTATCGGAATTTCTTTTTCCATCAATTAAGTTCGAATTGGTTTTTCTCTGTAGGTTATCGGAATCGGGCGATGTGTCAAATGCACATTATTTATTGCGAAAACAGTGACCGCTATTGCATTTTTACTGTAGAATGGCGCATTTAATGTGAACAATTTCAAATGGGACATTTTTTTAAAAACTGATTTAAAATGCACTGGGAAAATCGAGATCGAGAGAATCGTGTTGTGCATTTTCATGTGAGAACCAATAAATTTTTTTTCACGAAAACCGCATTTTTAAAACGGAAATTTTGACTTGCTCAAATTGTGCATTCGATTTTAATGGAACTCTATTAGATTCTTTACGCATCACTGGGCAAGCCTTCATGCATGAATGTTTACAAAGAAACTTACTTCCATACGTGTTTTTTTTGTCATCAGAATTGGCTATTCCGTGGCTGCTACGAATCTTGGTGATGCAGAATTTAAGAGAAAAACACACACTCTTTTGAAACATGAATTGAATATGAACAGAATTTGATTATGCATCATCGTAATTAATCTGTTTAGCGTTTGCGTGAGCACAACACATATTTTGTCTTGAGATTTGTGTTTGCGTCGCGAAATGACGATAGACATTTCAAGATGAAAGCAAATTGACGGGCTTGTCATAAGAATAAAAGGCCTTTTGTTTGGTGGAATCTTTATTGAAATTTTCGTGTCATTTTAACGATTCAAGAATTAATCTGACGTGACTTTGCACAACATTATTTTTATATAGATATGTGAGTCCCGGTAGATTTCCGAGCGTTTTGTGTTAATTTCCGAATTGAATGCCGTGGAAAAATGTACAAAATTTGTAATAGGAATGACCGATGGAGTAGTACTTCATTGGAGTACGACCGTTGAATTAAAAGCGGTTTAATCATTTTACGAAAAAGTAGGAATTTCCGAATTTGAACTAAAACAAGATTGATTTGTTTACCTTGTAATGCGCCAGCCCAACACATCCAAAACAGTGCCCATTTAGCCGACAGAAAATTCTGTAAACACTTCGGTTGATAACCGCACCAGCCGAACGTTTTTCGACCACATTTAATTGAATCACTAACCGTTGGGCTGCTTATCAAATTTTCGTCCGTTTGGTCACAATCGGAAAAATTGGCACCGTTCGACTTGTTACCATGTGATAACGACGGGCTATTTGTTCCTTCCAAATCTTCTGACGACATTTTCAGAACAAACCGAGTGTTTTTTTTTTACACTTTCAAACCACAAATTATCTTAAGAGAACGAAATTCCGCCGAATATTTCACTTTCAACACATAATGCAAACGAAACCTATGCACCAAAAGAACGAAGTGTAACCGTCGGCTGCCAAATTCTAAGTGCAACCGTTTCCTCCAGATTCAAATCAAAAACTGAGTCGTGTGGCTGTGAGGCGTTTCAATTGAAGCTCAAAGAAGCACGGTTACCCATCCAATTCTTTGGGATAAGAAGCACGTTCAGCGAACGAGCGCGTAACTCAATCAATTGTTCGAAGAGCCGAATATTTTATTTTGCGCATGCCTTTGAATTAATAAACGTAAACAATTGACAGAGAGAGAGACACACACAACACATTATATGCGTGATGCGTTCATTCAACGGCAAACGAGCACAGAAATCGGTCTCCTTTTGGTGTAAACCGAAGAAAAAAGGCGGCAGACAGGAAAAAGCGGCAAAATATAAAGTATAATTTCTAACCCATGGGTCGAACTAGTCGTCAAAAAAATTGTTCAAATTACCGGTTCGAAATAGATTTAATGCGGCTAAATGAAGATGGACTTATTTCGGAATGTGTTATTTGTGTCGTCGCCTGCTCCCGAAACAAAAAAATGACGATTGATCAAAACATAAGGAACGGACACGGATTTAATTGAATAACGCCAATGACATCGTGGTGATAATGACGCCAAATGTCAATGAATTTGTAGCGAAAGCACTTCAAAAACAACTAAAACAATTGACGAGTACACTTGTGAATCATAGATGCAGTCGCCGCCGCCGCCGTTTTTGTTACGCAGCGGAGAAAACGAGCGAGTAATCGAATGAAATATGTGAATGAATGTGGGCAGTATGCGCTTAAATTAACCGAAAATCACGTATCAAACATATTATTCATCAATTTATGATGGCGATTGTGGTTAAGTAAGTAAACACAACTTGAATACATTCATATGTGTCAAACGAAGAACATCATTAAATTAATTGAGATTTGTTGCCTCCTCTCTATCTCTATCTCTGTCTCTCGCTCTCTCAATTGCTTTGTGCCATTCATGGCTAAACGATAATGTTTATTTCATAAAATATTCAGCTGAAATGTGCCGTTAACCGCAAAGGAACATTCGATACCATTCCAAAATTACTAGTAACTACACATTCATTTGAATTTTAATTTACTTCAACCTGAACAGAAACGATGAATTAGAGACAAAACTGTCATTGCAAAGTGCTAATAAAACTATTTTTTTCTGACGCGGCTGTTGTATTTTCGTCCGATAGCTATAATTGCGGTTGACCTTTACGTCATTGTTTATGGAAAGAGGTCTGTTTCACCTGACCGAATGTAAACAATTGCGTAATGCTGTGATTGTGATAAATCGACTGACGATGACGTAGTAGAACGTACGACGAATACTTTCGTTATCATTGAGCGTGTTTCTCTCCGTCTCTCTCTCTCTCTCGCTCTTCTTGTGCACGAAAATTCACCAGAATCAATTCATTTACACAACTGGTTGAAGAAATTTTTCCTGTTTTTGTTTTGTTTGTTTGTTTTATTTTTTCATATTTTTGGGTTGAATGACGCGCCTCTGCTTTTGCGTGAATTGACTCATTTACAGTCATGCGATTCATTGCTGCGAATGAAATGCAAAACAGAAGAAAAAATCGTACGATCGGTAATTAAAATTGAAACCACGACGGGAGCTACTTCGCTTTGCCCACGCAATTAAGCGTATTGTATTCAACTGTTTAACGTCGAACGTCGAAAAGAAGAGGAAAAAACTTCCATTGGTTTTTAACATTGTCGTCATTGACCTATGGGAAACAAGCGGCTATTTTTCTACAGTACGAATGTTAGTCCGTTGAGTGTATTATAGGTAATTTGCCTATCAAAATCAATATTATCAGCGATTGGAAATTACGAGTGCGTATCCAAGTATTATCGACATTAATAATAAATGACCAGTCAAGTATATATCGAAACCACAAATCGTTGTGCATTTCTTTAATGAACTATCGATTTTGGTGCGAGTTTCGTTTATTTTATTCAAAAGAATTCGAAATATTTGCATTCGAATGAACGATGTTTGAATTTATTTGTAAATTGCCGCGAGCCACTTGGTGCATTCCGTATGTCTTTGCATGAATCGATCGGTGTGTGTATGTGTTTGTGTGGGTTGCGTCAAACGCAGTCGTTCCACTGACAAATTTAAAGAGGCGACTGCACTAGATGCGATTTCCTCAATTTCATGCTATCGCCAGACTCTCGATTTAACAAAAAACACTGAATATGGTTTGAACATGCTTATGTGCAAACGAACGTTCGACAGTCGACACTATGACTTATCATGCAATTACGCTGTGTGAGGCATGCTGATATGTCGATAACAATAATAATGGGCTTTGGATAATGAATGAAAATTATTACAATTGCATCGCACACACTACGAACGACGACAGCGGCGGGGGCGACAACCGACGACGAGTTCGACCGCGACTTCGTGGTGCATTCAGTTGCCTTGCGATTTCATAACAATAGACACATTTGCGTGTGTTTTATGAATGATGCAAAAACCGTAATAAAACCATGTAAAAATTCGCTATGGAATTGAAGTTGCTAAGATAATTTGAAGCAAGCGGTACGATAACTGGGGCAATGGCTTTCGAATAATGATCGCATTTGAACGAAAAACCACACATTAGGCTCTTCATTCATGCTTCTGACGCACGTTCCACTTGTGTACACCGCATGATCACTTGTTCGCCTCGGTCAGGAGTGTAAAAAAGAACTAAATTCAGCGATCGAATGCATGAGAGAGACTGAAATCTGGTTCAGTTTGCAAGTGATATGTGAACATCGGCAGTGTGTGTATTTTTACTGTTTTCGCGGAAATCATGAGCCTACTGAATAGTATTCACTGAATACTTCAGTCAAGAATTTTAATTGAATCAGCACATACACACACCCGCGTAACACGCAACTCGAAGAATTGAAACAAAACGAGAAAGAAACGAACAACAACAGCAACAGCAGCAGCAGCTCACGCCAGCAACACGCTGCACTGCATCGGCTGTACGATTAGTTTTTGATTCGCAATAGTATTGGTATCGGTGACGTGATGACGATGTTGTTTTTGTTGTCTCATTCACGCGCGTATGGTGTTATTTCGACACTTGGGCCAACTTGATGTGTTTGTGTTTGTGTCTGTTGCTTGGCGAATAATGCTCGATACAGCTATTCGAAAAATTTCTTCGTTTAGTTTACGCACAGGTGTTTTACTGAAACAATCGTTCAATCCGTTAAGTCAAAATTGTTTCACATCCAAAGTTCAATAATTGTTTTCTAGTTCTATATTTTGTTTTTAGTTTAAGTCGTCAATTGAAAAAAAAAACCAAATTATTTATTATATCAAAAAGAATGTTTATTTTTAAATCCGTTTGAATTAATTTTACGGACAACTTTTAACACAACAACAACAGTTGCGCTTGTTGAAATTTTGTGCGAAGATTGTCACATCATCTCTTCCCGTGTTGAGGGTTTTAATTATTCGTAAGTGTGTTTTTCCCCTCTGAAAAAGATACATTACCTTGTTTATTTTAGTAGTTAATTGGTCTGGCTTGGCCTAACTTGGACAGAAAAAAATCACCTCCAAAAAAAGACAGCGAATTTCCAGTTTACAATTGCACCAAGTTCAAGTTTAAAACAATATGCCTTTTTTCGCCGTTTATCAACTGAGGGAGAAGAAAAGACGAAGTGTGCATTGAAGCATAAAATGTGGTCATTTCAAAAATGCATTTGTGAACATTTGAGTCCAGTGTGCTTCAGAGTATTTTGTATGCAGTGCGCGCACACATCGCACTTTTTTTTTAATCCAAATCGTCGTCCAACAACAATATTTACATGTTTTGCGCGCTGTGTCTCCGTCTCCGTATTTCTCGCTTGCCTCATATTCGTATTCGTCATCGCGCCTAGTGGCGTGATTTCGGTACGTCGCGCGATACAGAGGTTAAAACAGTATTATCGACACGTGGTGTTTTAGACAAAGACAGAACAACGACAGAACAACGACAACACACAATCATACACACAGGCGATAGAGGCACACAGGCAACCGGGGCTAGTGTAAACATCAGACTGGCTAAAAGTGGAGCGCAAAATGAAGAAAAAAGAGAGAAAAAACAACAACAACTTATTTCAATTGAATATATGTGAAATTATTTATTGTGTGTTGCTTTCATAAGGCTCGGCGTGAATCGTCAAACGCAAAATGCAAGTATTTATTGAAAGAAAGAGAGACGTATGAACACTCTCTCATACAATATACTCAGATATCAGTTTTTTGCGTACACACAAACTTCAGCGTACGGCTTACTATTCGCATATTGCTTGATTTTTTTTTAGCTTCAGCGATATGACTCTCACTCGGTCGTGTGTTGTTGTATTCATGCGGTTTTCATTTCGTGAAACACAAACATATTTTTACGAAACAATCGACAGTTGCTCGACGGTGCTTTGACGAATAACAAGTGTGTGCTCGTTTTTTTTGCTTCTGATAAATAAAATCGGTTCTCTTCTGATAGAAATTTTTTTTGGAGAGTGGAGGAAAAAAAAGAGAATAAGTCATAAAAATTGTGTTATCACGAAAGAATTTGCGGTGGATTAAGTGGTCAAGAGTTTGTGTTTGAGCCGAAAACGAACGGTAATTTTCAATTCCAATTCAATACTTTTTTCTTCTTCGTCTTTTTCGTGTACAAAAAGCGCTTGAATGTGTTGAATTTTTGAAATATCCGTTTGAATGTGTATGTGTGTGAGTGTGTTTCTTCGAAAGAATTACATCTTGTTGAGTGTGCACGTTCCAGATTTCAATTATGTGTCACTTTTAATTTACGGTAATCAGCAACCAGTCGCTTGAACTGCAATTGTTTTAGTTTCGTTACTCTCTGAATATCTGTGCCACAACGTGACGATATTTCACATACATGCAAAATCAAACGCAAAACATACACAAAAAAATGAATTGCAGAAATAATTGCATCGATAAGAAATCAAAACCGATCAAAGGTAACATTTTTCTGCGGCACGCGGTTTTCAATGTCAAACGGTACTTTTCGAAATCAAAGTACAAAAACACGTTCGCGTTTCACTGCAACGACAGACAGAACGAAAAAAAAACAGATACTCAGTATTCTATACTTGTGTTCGATTCAAGCAAGTCATTGGTTGTCATACGATAAATACAGAAAAAAAATGGTTTGAGTAAATGAAAAATTCAAAACTTCAAAGACGAAAAACGACACTAAATTGCATATCATTTAATGGCAATGTTTGTTTATTTTTCATTTTTTCTGCTTTTCACTTTATTCTAACATGGAATTAAATGCAATACGCTAAGTAATCTTCCGATTTTTTTCCCTCTACAAAACCTGCCTGAATTCTGTTTTCGATTCGTTCGTTCATATGTCGATATTTCAACTTCATTTCAACAACATTGTACGCACTAATTGTTTTCGATCATTAATATTGGCAAGAAGCGTTGCAAGCATGCAGCCAATCGTCATCATTGCGAAGCGCACAAATAAATTAGAAACTGATGCATGGATCCATGACTCGAAAGCCAACTTTTTTTTCTCTCTCTTTCTTCATTTCGTTTGAAAAGAATATGTATCTAAAAATAATTTGAACAAAATCTGACCCTATTTTTGTTGTGCTAAAATCAAAAATGAAACAACAATACCAACAACAATAACAGCAGCAGCAGCAGCAGCAGCAAAACTTCTTCAAAGACGTTCTGTTCAACGGTCGACTTTGACTATACAGTATAGTCTAATGTTGTTGTGTATATCTGGCAATTTGTATCTATTCGAATGAAGAGAAGAGAAAGAAAAATGAGGCGACTGCGATGCGTTGCATATGGGCTCGTCTTGCCACGCACAACCGCAGCCTTCCTTTCAGAATCAACGATTCGTTTCTTTGCGACTTTCGTTCATCGTACACTGTGTGTTTTTTTCCTAGCTATTTATTTTCGTGTGTGACTAAAAAGAGAAAAGAAGAGATTTGCCGGTACAAAAGAACTCGTTTATAGATATATCTCTTTGTGAGAGGCGTTTCACAGTTTGTCAAATGACGAAAATTTGAGAACACAAGCAACACAGAGTACAATCGGCTATCCTACGATCTTACTCGCTAAATTCCGTTTTTTTTCTCATTGAGATTTTTAGAATCACCTTCGAACGATCGCCGAGCGAATTTCTCACAGGTTATCGACCAAAATGGAAAACAATTCTGCGCTTGAAATACGCAAACTTGTTCATGCGTCAATCGATTTCAATAACCATAACATACTTTCTCATACTTGAGAGCATGTTTGTGTGTGCGTGTGGTTTTTGATTAGGTCAATATCTTCATCGGCGTTCCCACTGTTTACCATTTCCGTACATTTCTTTCTATTCTTGGCGCTGGTTCGCATATTCGCATCGGGCCAAATCGTCGAAAGCGTCAAAATATACAACGAAAAAGAAAAATAGTTTGACAAAAGCAATTTGACCACCGACAATATTAATCGCATTAGTATTCGCACACATGAGCGGCGCTCATTCAAATGGATACGACACAAATTTTCGAGAAAAAAAAATTATTGCTGAATTTTTGTTGTTTGATGTGACGAGAAAAAAAAAACACCACCAAATGTTTATATTATATATAAATTGTTGTTTGCATCAGGGCATATTTTAAGGAATTCCGAGGAACTACCGGAAAAATATAAAAAGATGAAAATGCGGCAAACTATAGGCAGGGTACACATTTTTTTTTAAATTTACTTCGGCCTATATGGGCATATACATTTAAAAAGCTCATGATCGTAACATGAAAAATGTGAATTTTAAATACGTTTTTCCTGCGAAAATGATAAGAGATAATGAATTAGTGTGTTCAACAAAGCTTCGGAGCCTAACTAATTCTATAACTTTGTTGGAGATAACAATTCGTTATCTCTTATTATTTTCGCAAATTTCATGTAACGTTTGACGTTTCTATTGAAGCGACAATTCATGTTACGGTTTTAAAAAACAAATTAACTGTAATAATGCGAATTTTATTCTCAGCTCACGATTAAACTATCAATGTCGCGTGCATCGCAATAAAATTGACACCGAATGATTTGCTACTTTCAATATCGCATTATTTTTTCGTATTCTGCTCGTTGAGCATTGCAAAGTGTTCGGTAGCAGTACCGTAACTCTTTTCGGAAAAAATCTCCATTTCATAATTTTTTTAATAAATCGCTTTGATTTCTTTCCAGCAGATGCAGCACTCTTTATTTATCTTTGCGGTCTCCGTTATCTAAAATAATGCTCGTCAAAATGCATAGAACCGATATAATATTGCTTCTAAATAATATCGGCTTAAAATAAGTTTTTAGCATCGTTAGAAGCAAAATGTACAGAAAAGGTTTTCAATTATATGTAAATTTTCAACTACCGCATTTTTCGTTGAGAACTATTGGATTAGGATTTGAAACTACCGGAATCCGGTAGAACTACCGGTTAAAATATGCCTTGATTTGCATGTGTCTTTGTCATTTTCCACCATTTTCACATACATTCTCGGTGAATCCATTCAGAATTTTGTGTTGCACATTTCGTCACAACTCGGATATTGTACTTTGAATGTTATCCTCTCGTTCGCGTTATTCTTTTTTCTCGACATAATATACACATAAATTTTCTTTCTGTGCCGCGGGCGGTGTATTTCTGTTTGATTTTAAGTGGTTTGTAAACAAAACGGCGAGCAGTGAAATCAAGTTCGTTCAAAGTTCAATATCCAAACTCTTAAATGCGCGACACATCGCTAATTTTCTCAATCGCATTCTGGGAAATAAGACTGAAAATGTTAGGAGAAAATTTTATGAAATCAATTTTCCAACCATTGACTTTTGACAATTTTATTGGGAACAAAACAAGTCATAAGCAATTTCAAGAGGACACACTTGAAAGAAAAAGATACTCCCATATGAAAATTCACACCGTTCATTCGAATCAAAATACGTTGAATTATGATCGAAAGACTGTCAACGAATGATTTTTGTAAGAAAAAATACATCGAATCAAATCCAAAAATATTCCGCTGTGTTACGCAATCCATGTTCATTTTTAATCTCAACATGTGTATGTGGTTCAAACGATAATGCGAGGTGGCATTTGGCGCACTATCTATTTATTTGCTTGCTTTTCACTACATCGGACTTGAATAGCGTATGTAGAATGAACAATCGATCTAATCGATTTGCCATCAACTCAAGTGCACTTGCCTATTACTTCATGTATATTCAATGTTTTGATATAGTGATAATGTCGGAATGGCCCATAGTAACGACTCGGGCAGCGATCACGAGTATACATGAGTATGGGGAATAGATAAAAACCATGTTTTTTCCCCGAAAAGTCACAGAGTCAGCTATATTCATGTAAAAATGACTGTTTTATAACGTCCGACATCAATCATGTATGGCGGTGATTTCGGATGCCACTGTGATATCTCACAAAAACTATAACCAATAAACAAGTAAGACTATAAAACAAATGTTGTAGGAAAAATTTCGAAAATAGTTGTAATCTTTGAATATTTGTCACGCTACGAAAAAAGGCGGATATCTGCGCGTCTGTTTTTTTTCAGTCATTTTTTCTCGTTATCATTCTTTTTTTCTGACCGAATAGTCGTGTACTTTCATCGATTTATCACGCTTTCAATGATTTACTATCGAACTATGTCGCACAGTCAAAACGCAACGAATGCATTCATGACTTAGCTGCAATTTATTACAACGTCACTTTCATTCAAGTCACTTTCTTTCGTCTTGATTAGAGATCAAATTACCCTTCTTCGTTGTCGTTTTTATTCTGAAAGATGTGTGGCGTGTTTGTTGCTCAACGTTCAAAAAGTTCAAAATCGACTTTCAACATTCTATACCCATTTCAGTTTACACTCGTAAAAGCCAACCGTATTTCTGTCAACGTTTGACTGTTGCTGTGACTGTTAGAATACATGCATTGAATGTGTGACCTGGGCACGTAAATCGGTGAGATTGTGTACTAGTGATAAATTCTAAGCAAGAAAAGCGCCAGCCAATCGTCTTCGTGTTGTTTTTTTTGTTGTTGTTGTCCTTTTCTTCTTTTTGAGTATGTTTGTGTGTGCGTGCAATTAAATGAGTGTGTTTGAGTTGTTCATTAAAAGTAGCGCGGCTTGAGCGTGTAAATACGTATTAATTACCAAATCAGATCAGTTAAAACTGTCGTAGCGACCGGTCGCATTTTCCAAGTACACTTCATCGTAAACGCGGAATTTTGTGTTTTTTTTCCTTCGTCTTCTTCTTCCAATTTCTTCCCCTCACTTCCATTCGCAACCATTCGACGCAACCAAAAACTAATCAAAAATCAACCGAATCAGCAATTACAATTAAGACTATTTGCATTTTAAGTAAGCATTTACAAAAAAATATCCCAAGCATTTAATTAACTGAAGCAAAATAAAAGTGAGTGACCGCATAGCGCATACAACGGTGGGCTATTAACTGTATTTCATCGCTTATGGAATAATTTTGAATTGAAAAAAAAAGCAAAAATCAATTGGAAAAGATCGAAAGTGCATGTGAATTTAAAGCCGAGTGACTATTAGTTAATCTGAACCGTTAGCCTATTGAAAATATTAAATTGTTCCTATGCCAACTGAAATTAAAAGCAAAAGAATGTGGTTCAACTGCTGAGCAACAATATCAAGCGCTGAAGTTATCGAAGAAATCGAACACAGTCGTTTATTCGACTTGATCAAGAGGAAGAAACACATAATTAGTAGATATTTATATATTGTGCCCAATGATTATTCGAATCATTTCATAAAAAATACGCGGAGAAATGCGTCATAATGACGACATTCTCACAATTTCTTCAAAGACTCGAAAATTGAATGCTCGACTGATTGATTGATTAATTTCTTGATTAGCCATTGGCGCGCACACGTGCCCACCATCAATTGATTGTCAATGCATTATGAATCACAAATATTAACGATTTAGTGATGAAAAACAAAATGAATGAACAACACGAACTAAAAAATACAATAACAACACAACAGCTAATCATTTCCGATTACAAAATTATACTAAGTATATCAGCAGTATAATTACATAAAACAAACGCAAATCAAATCGATTACAATTTGAAATGCAAAAATGTTATGAGGTGGTAAACATTGACATTGCAAACGAGGTATGATTATAGCACGCGCGAGCGAATAAGTAATATTTTCGTTCGCCGGTTTAGCAGATGGCCTCACTGGAAGATTTGCCAAAAAAAAATCGGCTGATGCATGTGATTATGTTTTTTTTTTCGTCCGGTTTCAATGTACTTGCTGCGATGTCAATGCGGTCGGTTATTCAACAAAAGCGATTAGATTTGATAAGGTTCATTGCAAACAGAAGATTCAAAAGATAATAATTTCGGTAGTTGAATTTTGGCTTGGTTTCAATGCATTCGCAAAAAAGACTGTATCGTCTGGAAATTGTTAAAGATAGTGCAGTGTGGATTGTCCAAAGCAAGCTCTAAGGTCACAGAGAAAAAAAAAACGAAAAACAAGCGGAAAGGGCACAGATTCACAGCAGAGAAGAGAGAACAAAAAAATCCAAATCATAAAACCTGTCATACATTCAACTTGAACCTGAGTGTAACATGTTCTCAAACTCATTGGCAATGTATTTTTTTTATATTTCAAGTCATTTTGCGTATTTTTCCCTGCTACGCTTTGCACTGATAATACACACGGCTACGCAACAACAATCTGATCGCGCACATTTCGCAGTCATTAGTTTGACCTTCACTTTCTCTCTCTCTCTCTCTCTCTCTCTCTCTCTCTCTCTCTCTCTCTCTCTCTCTCTCAAAGTTCGAAAGTTAATTTGTCTTTCTAACATTATTTGTAGGTACGATTTTGTTTTTATTTTCAAATTCATAATCTTGTTTGTTTTCTTCTCTTCTTCTTCAAATTCGACAGCGTTAAATCATCGTGAATTTTTAAAATAAAGAAATGGCGAAGGAGATTTCCGCTAAAGTGCGACCAGCATCGGATTATTGCACAACAAAACGTGAAGAAGCGGTTAAGCTTCGTATTGGGAGCGAAGGTGTTGCCGCATTAGAACCGGTCACATTACCTTATGTGTTGTACCGTACGGCCAAGAATCATCCAGATGTGCCAGCGCTGAAACACAAAAATGCCGATAATGTTTGGGAAACCGTTACGTACAGTCAATATCGGGAAAATGTTCTGAAGACCGCCAAAGTATTCATCAAATTAGGCTTAGAACCAAAAAACACCGTCGCCATCCTGGCATTTAACTCACCCGAATGGTTCTACTCGGAATTAGGTGCTATTCATGCTGGGTATGAAATTGATTAAATCTCTTTTGAGCTCTAGAACAACAGCAATTGAAGATATTTTATGATTGTTTTATCGTTTTATTGGCTTTATAGTGGACTAGCGGCTGGCGTATACACAACAAATTCCCCAGAAGCTGTTTATCATGTGCTTGAAAGCTCGAATGCAAACATTGTCATCGTGGATGACACCAAGCAAATGGACAAAATTAAAGAAATTAAACATCGTCTGCCAAATCTCAAAGCAGCCGTCCAATTGTACGGACCATATGAGCCCTACGTCAAACGAGAAGACGGTTACTATCGGGTGAGTGATGACATGTTTTCGTGTTTATTTTCGTCAACTTCTGAATCACTGAAAAGATTCTCGGAAGCTGAAAAAAAAGTCAACGGATTACTCATACAGAAAAATGTAATCATTTCATTCATATTTACAGTGGTCAGAGATCCAAGAATTGGACTTGAGCGATGTCGAAGAAGAGTTGGAAAAGCGTATGGAAAATATTTACTCAAATGATTGCTGTGTTTTGGTGTACACGGTAAGAATCAATTTTATCGCAGGTTGAAAATCGATAGAATGTCATTTTTCAAGATTAACCGCAACAAAATCGTTAACCACCCGATTAAAATTACTCTGAATAATCAATTTTCCTCCTTGCTTTCAGTCTGGAACTGTTGGAAATCCAAAAGGTGTGATGTTAAGTCACGACAACGTGACATGGGGCTCGAATGCGGTGGCTCATTGTTTGACAAATATGGTGATCGGTGGCGAGAATTTGATATCATATCTTCCGCTTAGCCACATTGCAGCACAGATGATTGATATTTTCATTGCGATAAACTATGCGGCAACCGTTTATTTTGCCGACAAAGATGCTCTGAAAGGTTCTCTCGTGAAAACGCTTCAAGAAGCAAATCCAACGCGTTTTGTCGGTGTGCCACGTGTTTACGAAAAGATTTATGAGAAAATGACTGCGATTGGTGCACAAATTACCGGCATCAAAAAATTGATCAGCACATGGGCCAAGGGTGTTACATTACAGCATTGGCAAGAAGCGATCGAAGGCAAAGATTGTCAATCGCTTCAATACAAAATTGCCAAAAATTTCATTTTGTCAAAAGTAAAAGGTGCACTGGGATTGAGTCAATGCAAACTATTGATCACGGCTGCCGCACCAATGTCCCCAGAAATTAAGCAATATTTCATGAGCTTGGACTTGCCACTGTTTGAAGGTGAGATTTTTTTCTTAGTTCACTTCCTATCTTTTGCTTATTTTCTCTTTTTTGCGTTCAGCGTTCGGTATGTCAGAATCGGGAGGCGCTCACTGTGTGTCCACGTCCGATTACTTCAATTTAACAACGATCGGAAAACCATTGCCTGGTGTCGATACATTGATTGCAAACAAAGATGAAAATGGTCATGGCGAAGTTTGCATGCGCGGACGACACGTTTTTATGGGCTACATCAACGAACCGGATAAAACAACAGAGGCACTTGACGAAGACGGCTGGCTACATTCGGGTGATTTGGGATGCATCGATCAAAATGGTTTTATGTACATTACGGGTCGAATCAAGGAGCTGATCATCACAGCCGGTGGCGAAAATATCCCACCGGTTCATGTCGAAAATTTGGTGAGAAAAGAATTGCCAGCTCTTAGCAATGCATTCCTCGTTGGTGACAAACGCAAATTTCTCACGATGCTTGTGACTCTTAAGGTGAGACTTTTTTCTTGGTTCACTTCTTTTCTTTCCTTCAGCTTTTGTATAAAAATGTCATTTTTTTCTGGTTTTTCTCTTGAATCGAAACATTGAATCATCAAAATAAATTCTATCAATATGTTTGTCTATGGAAAAAGTAAAGATATTCTAAAATTACGAAATTTCTTTTGCTCCACAGACTGAAATGGATCTGGAAAGTGGAGCACCAAAGGATGAATTGGCTCCAGACACAATTTCATGGTTCAAAACATTAGGTGTTGAATATAAAAAATTGAGTGAAGTCATTGAAGCTGGACCCTGTCCAAAGGTAATTATTCCGTTCCAAACAGACGTGTGCAAGGTCAAAAATTCTAGGGGGGGGGCAAAATGATTTTGCCAGGGGGGTCTGGAAATCGATTCTATCTAGTGTAAAACCAGTCTCCGAAAAAAGTGAGGACTAAAAAAAAAAAAAAAGGTCCTCACTTTTTAAAATCCATTCTATCTAGTGTAAAACAGTCAAAATTCCACAATGGGGATCTAAAATTTTGTCAATGGGTGTCAAAAAACAAGTGAAGACCTAAAAAAAAAAAGGTCCTCACTTTTGAAAATCGATTATATCTAGTGTCAAATTTTCCAAATCGCTGGGGGGGGGGTCCACATTTTGGAATCCTAGAGGGGGGTAAAACCGGAATACCCCCCCTTGCACACGTCTGGTTCCAAATCGAACATCACTCGTTTCCATTTCAAATAACACAAGATTCTATCAATATTTTTGAACATTCAAACTCCTTACTTCGATTTCCATTTGACTGTCCAATTCTAAATCTAAATCTTTCATTTCATTCCAGGTATTCGCTGCAATAAATGAAGGCATTGCTCGTGCCAATAAGCATGCAACATCGAATGCGCAAAAAATCCAAAAGTTTACAATTTTGCCAGCGGACTTCTCCATACCGACGGGCGAATTGGGGCCCACACTCAAAGTGAAGCGTAATGTTGTATCGAAAAAATATGAAGATACCATTGAACAGTTCTATGTGTAAACCGAGTACTGCGTGTGTGTGTTTTCGAATTTATGTCACACTTTTCTATTCGTCGATAAGTTCTGTCTTAGAAGATAGTCTGTCTTGATAGTTTCAATTTCCTATTCGTTTTTTTCTCTCTCTATCGTTTCTTTCTTTTTTTTCCCTACATAAATACACCTAGATAAGCTCAAAACCCTTGTACAAAAAGAATATATACAAATCAAACAGCGCACACTAAAGCCAATTAATAGTTGTTTTTTAACGTGAAAAAAGAGAGAGAGAGAGAGAATAAGAAGAAGTTTAAGTCGCAAAAATCAAAATTCATGGCATGAAATATTTGTGACGGGGCTAGTTGTAGAACACAAAATCTAGTTTATGGTGTAATATGACATCGCTTGTAAAAAGAGTAGCTACAAAAGAAAACAATCGATACAAGAAAGATCGTAAATAATTTAGCCAAAATAAATTCGCACAATTGCCATTTCTACTTAAATTGTTGTGTTAAGTATTTATTTATTTTTTGTTTGTTCATTAATTGATAAGCGATAGATCGAGCGCATCGATTTGGTGGATCAGTGTACCTAAGTTTTTTTTTCGTTTCGTTTTCGGTCAAGAGCTCGTGTTTCTTTTTATACATAATTATTCATAGATGGGCTTGTTTTGGTTGAATATTTCTCATTAATTTGCATTCACTTGTTGAATGCTCGGAAAAACGAAGAAGAAAAAAAAGCACAAAATTATCATTGATGGTCGTCAAAGTTCACTTTCACTTTCATTGGCGGCCATTCATTGACCAAATAAGCCAATTATGTTAAAGAACATAATCAAGAAGATTTACATATCAGCATATTACTTAACCGATAACCGACTGCTTTAATATTTATAGAGAAAAACAAAAACTAGAGAGAAAGATGTCAAAGTATAATTGTCAGAACTGGTGGTCATTCTGGCCTGGACAAGAAGATTTTGTATCGTATAAGAAGTGAGTCGCAGGGTAAATTAAAAACAGCAATTGTTACAATATATTATAGCGGATGATAGATTTCTTATTTTAAATGTATGGCAAATTATTTTCTAATGGGAACAATAGTGATTAAGGTTAATTCAATTCACATAGATATATACTGAAAATAAATATTGATACATAATCTACTGGAGTCCGAATGCGTGTTTCATTCATGAAGATAATAAACATGTTGATTGTTTTCCTTCTTTCTTTCATTTCTTGAACATTCATTCATAATGTGATCTGTTATGATTGAACGTTGACCGTTGACTTCAATTCAAATGAGAGAAAAAAACACACAACGAAAAGAAAAATCCGCTCAAGAAAAAAAGCGGGAGCAAACGACGCCATCTCTGAAATTCTGCCGCCAACTAAACGAACATTGTCAAATCTCATTGAAATGCATGTGAAACAGCACGAAAAGCGAAACGATTGAAACGGCTGAAGATGGACGATAGTTGTGCGGCCAACTTCAGTGTGTTTCCTACAGTTGTGTGTGTGAATGCTTTTGAGAAGAAGTGAGTCGAAAAAGAAATTGTTATTTTTGATTTTTCCATTCAAATTATCGCATAATTTTCATAAAATTTCATTGCAAACGTAACTTAAAATTGATTGGTAAGCGCTGACAGTGAATTTGGTGTAAATCGTGCGCGTTTCGCAGTAAAAATGGGCAATAGAAAAAATACGTAGTTTTTCTCTCATCACTCGCATATATTTTTTTCTGCTGTTGCTGGTGCTGCTGCTACTTCTTCTTTTTTTCTACTACTGCTTCAGCTGCTGTTCTGTGTGTTCTTCTTGCGTACACAACGTACTTTAAATGCACACACTATACACACATTCGCTGCTATTTCGCTCCATTTGTACGCGGGTCGTCATAAAAGCGTGTGAGAGATTGTGAAGACAATATTTTAGACACACACAAAAAATTCATACAAAATTATTCATTTTCAACTCAATTTACTTTAACGGTAATAAACAACGACGATTGAAAAAAAAAGACAGCGCAGTTTGAGTATTTTCATGGGATTGCACAAATCTCGTAATTATTATTGACGCATCGCGGAACGAACAGTGTGGAATTTCGTAAATTTTCATTCGAAATGATGTTCGACATTTTTTGCGTCCTATGACATACCGAAGAAGAAGAAGAAACAAAAAAAAAACGACGTCTCCGTCAGTGTTGTCTAAGTGGATTTGCGTCTGGAAAGGTTAGGTTCGACAGTGTCGAACGATATATCTTCGTTTCTCATCCGTCAAAAAATGTGCTCAATTCACTAATTGAATTGTGCAATTTTTCAATTTACCCCATTTTTCCCACTCGCCGAATCAAATCACAATCAAATTGTAGATTTTTTTTATTTTCGCATCGTCGTCAACCCCACAACAACAACAACAACAAAATTTTGGTATTTTCCAATCAAACTCCGTTATTTTGCTGATGCTGCCAACTGCTGAATGTGTTTGTGTTAACAGTTAAAATGAACAATAGAGCGCTTTTTTCCACATTTCATATACAAATATACCATACGATTTTTGTTGCTTCCTTTTCACACATGAAAAACGTCAACTTTTCATCAATACCATGGCATTAATTCCTTTTTTTTTCTTTCTCTCTCTTTCTTTTTTTTCTCTTCTCATTCTTTCATTTCAGATTTATGAATTTTTGTGAGTGAACAGGAATTTTGCGTACATCAATAAATATTTTTGATTTGCTTTGATAACCATTCGAAAATTTTTATTGGTTGGACAAAAATTTTTGTTGTGTGTGAAAGAGTGAATCTAGTTTGTAGTAATATTTTTTTTTGTCGTAAGCATAAGCAATCATCGGTTATCGTAACATTTCATCATTTCGTGCAACATCTCGAACACACACGTGCGTGCAGGCGAAAACAACAATTTCTTCTAGCGTCTGGTGCGCGCCTTTTTAAAAACATAACCATCCAACATAACCATTCGATAGACAATAAGCAAAAGAAAAAACGAAGGAGAAAAAAAAATACGCAACGTTAACCCAATCCAATTTCAATTATTCCGCAAAGAGTCCGGGAGTAGTAGGGGAATAAATCCGAAGGAAGTAGTAACATTTTGTGCGGCAGCAACAATAGGCAACAACGTGCTAATTCGTTTATGATGACAGCTCAAGTGAATATGGAGGAAGCGAGCAAATTGCTTGACTTCAGTCAAAAATTGGACATCGGTTTGCTCGATAATATTGTTGGTTCGGTGTATGTGAGCCAAGGTGAGCAGCTGCGTTTGGCACAAGACGTTTTAACAACACTCAAAGAGCACCCCGACGCATGGACGCGTGTAGATAGTATCTTAGAATATTCATCAAATCAACAAACCAAATACTATGCACTGCAAATTCTGGAAGAAGTGATCAAAACGCGCTGGAAGATTTTGCCGCGCAATCAATGCGAAGGTATAAAAAAGTATGTCGTAGGCTTAATCATTAAAACATCATCCGATTCAGCGGTGATGGAAGAGAACAAAGTCTACTTGAACAAGTTGAACATGATTTTGGTGGAGATTTTGAAGCGTGAATGGCCGAAAAATTGGGAATCATTCATCAGTGACATCGTTGGTGCGTCGAAGACAAACGAAAGTTTATGTCAAAATAATATGGTTATTCTTAAGCTGTTGAGCGAAGAGGTGTTCGATTTCAGTTCGGGCCAAATCACACAGACGAAGGCCAAACATCTCAAAGACACAATGTGCTCCGAGTTCTCACAAATCTTTCAGCTGTGCTCATTTGTGCTGGAAGGATCGATGAATGCGCCGCTTATTGCCGTCACACTGGAAACATTGTTGAGATTTTTGAACTGGATCCCATTGGGCTACATTTTTGAGACAACACTCGTCGAAACATTGATATTCAAATTTCTGAATGTGCCAATGTTCCGGAATGTGTCGCTGCTGTGCTTATCCGAAATTGCTGGTCTCACCGTGCCGAACTATAACAACATATTCACAGATATGTTCAAGAAAACGATGTCACAATTCGAGCAAATGATCCATCCGGGCACGAATATGAACCAAGTGTATGCCACCGGTTCGGATGCAGAGCAAAATTTCATTCAGAATTTGGCCGTGTTTCTGAGCACATTTTTGAAAGAGCATGGTGCATTGGTGGAGGGCCCCGAAACGGCGGACGCATTGAAAAAGGCACTCATGTATTTGGTTATGATTTCCGAAGTGGAAGACGTGGAAATATTCAAAATTTGCCTGGAATATTGGAATAGCTTGGCTAGTGACTTATACCAAGATTCCGTTGCACTGGCGCCGAGCGGTGGTATGTCGCTATGGGGCGGTGCCACAAACAGCCGACGACAATTCTACGCCGATATCTTATCGAAAGTTCGATATATTATGATCTCTCGCATGGCGAAGCCCGAAGAAGTGTTGGTCGTCGAAAATGAAAACGGTGAAGTGGTGCGCGAATTCATGAAAGATACGAATGCCATCAATTTGTACAAAAATATGCGCGAAACGCTCGTCTATTTGACGCATTTGGACTATGCTGACACCGAACACATTATGACCGAAAAGCTCAACAATCAAGTGAACGGCACGGAGTTCTCGTGGAAGAATCTCAACACACTGTGCTGGGCCATCGGTTCCATTTCCGGTGCATTTTTAGAGGAGGACGAAAAACGTTTCCTGGTCACGGTGATCAAGGATCTGCTGGGATTGTGCGAACAAAAGAAGGGCAAAGATAATAAAGCGATCGTCGCATCGAATATTATGTATGTGGTCGGTCAATATCCGCGATTTTTGCGCGCGCATTGGAAATTCTTGAAGACCGTTGTCAATAAATTGTTCGAATTTATGCACGAGACACACGACGGTGTACAGGACATGGCGTGCGATACATTCATCAAAATTGCCCAAAAATGTCGACGACATTTCGTAACCATTCAACCCAATGAAGCCTGCACATTCATCGATGAAATTCTGGCGTCCATGAGCTCAATCATTTGCGATTTGCAGCCACAACAGGTAAGCCAGACTAAACCAAAATGCGATGAACCAACAATGGTTTTCTTTGATTCTATTCGTGCAATTCGAACTTGATGCATTTTCCCACTTTCAGGTGCACACATTTTATGAAGCCGTCGGTTGTATGATATCAGCGCAAGTGGATCAAGCCGCCAAGGATGCATTGATCGAAAAGTATATGGCGTTGCCGAATCAGGTGTGGGATGAAATCATATCGCAAGCATCAAAGAATGTGGACTATTTGAAGAATATGGCAGCCGTCAAGCAATTGGGCAGCATTTTGCGAACGAATGTACGGGCTTGTAAAGCGCTCGGTCATTCGTTTGTATTGCAGTTGGGCCGCATCTACTTGGACATGTTGAATGTGTACAAAATCATGTCGGAGAACATTATCCAGGCGATTACGGTCAATGGCATCGGTGTAAACAATCAGCCGCTGATCAAGGCGATGCACGTGGTGAAAAAGGAGACGCTCACATTGATTTCCGAATGGGTGGTCCGATCGAGCGACAACAGTGTGGTCATTGACAGTTTCATACCGCCACTGCTCGATGCCGTTCTACTCGATTATCAACGATGCAAAGTGCCCGAAGCACGTGAGGCTAAAGTACTGAGCACAATGGCAGCCATCGTTGGCAAATTGAAGGTCAGCATCACATCGGAAATACCACAAATTTTCGATGCCGTGTTCGAATGCACGCTCGATATGATCAAGAAAAATTTCGAAGACTATCCACAGCATCGAGTCGCATTCTACGAACTCCTGCAGCAAGTGAATGCACACTGTTTCGATGCATTTTTAAACATACCACCAGCACAATTCAAATTGGTATTCGATTCGATTGTGTGGGCCTTCAAGCACACACTGCGCAACGTGGCCGATATGGGATTGCAGATTCTCTATGTCGTACGTATCCAACATGAACTTTATTTAATCGATATGTTTACGATTTGACATTTTGATTTTTCTTTTTTTTTCTCTTTTTTGCGCCTCGCTTTCAGATGCTCACAAACATTGAACAAAGTTCACCGTCAGCAGCACAAGGCTTCTACCAGACATATTTTACGGATATTCTGACACAAATATTCTCGGTAGCTACAGACACATCGCATACAGCTGGATTGCAATTGCATGCACAAATCTTGGCGTACATGTTTACATTGGTCGAAACGGGCAAAATCACCGTAAATCTTGGCCCAATTCCAGACAATACCATCTACATCCAAGAGTATGTTGCATCGCTGCTGAAATCCGCATTTAGCCACTTGACCGATAACCAAATCAAAGTGTTTGTTACTGGTCTCTTCAATTTGGATCAAGAAGTGTCCGCCTTCAAAGAACATCTACGAGATTTCCTCATTCAAATTCGAGTAAGTTGATACATTTTTTGCCGTGTGTTTTTAGCCAAATTTGTATAGTTTTTTTTTATTTCTTTTGCCTGCTCGAGTAGCATTGGGCTCCACCTTCAGCTTATTTGTAACGAAGATATGTTATATTTCGGTTGTAATTCGATCAATTGAAACCAATTCTGTTACAAATAAGTGGTTTTCCAGAGTGACAGTTAACTACACTAGAGCAACAGTTATAATAACTTCAATTCGGTTGCTTGCACCTACTTGCAACCATTTATGTTGTGAATTAGTTGTACATCTGTTGCTAACTTCATTTTTAGAAGTTATTCACCTCTTTCCTCGTATTCTCCTTCATTTTATTCGCTCTCTACTTCCACCTTCTCCCTCGTCATTTCCAAAATGAATCGTAATTTAATTCTCTTTTTCAAATAACCGTGTTTTCCTCCATTTGCAGGAAATAACCGGCGACGATGATTCCGATTTGTATCTGGCTGAACGTGAGGAGGAATTGAAGAATGCACAAAACACAAAGAGGCTACAACAGATGGCGGTGCCTGGAATCCTCGGTCCTCACGAACAACCCGAATCAATGCAAGACGAATTAGATTTAAGTTAAATTTAGTCTTTACTCAAGTGCAGCCGCAACAATAACAAAACAAGAGAGGAAAAAAAATTACAAATGAATACTAACCGTAACAGCATCATCATCATTTCTAAACAAACAAACAAAGAAACAAGAACAGCAACAGAACACAAAATGTATTTTGATAAGGTTTAAAAAATTTAGAGCGATCGTTGAACATAATTCAATCTAAAAAAAACCATTTGAATACGAGCAAAATACATGAAGAAATTATGAATGAGAAACAGAGAGCGATAGAGAGAGAGAGAGAGTAAAGGAAAAGCTACACATAAATCATTTTCAAATACAATTAGATTTTTGTCGCATTCACTGTCAAGAATCAAGCAATTTGCAACGGAGTGGGTTCATCCATTTTTTTGAAAACAGAAAACCGTAACAAAAATACACACACATCTAAATGAAAGAAAAAGATAGATTTTGTAAGAAAATCAATGAATTTAATCTAAGTAAATAAGAAGAAACAACAACAACAACAACTGAGAATCAGCATAGTTCACCGATGCAACAGCAACTTGATATATACAAATGAAACACATCGCAAATAGAACATAGAACATACAATGGAATTTTAATACAAACTATTAAAATCTAAAAAAAAAACTCGATGAAGAATAATGAAGATGAAAACTTTTTGTAAGAGAATCTAATCTATGTTAAACAGAAAAAATGGCAAAAAAATGAAGCAAAAAAATTTTTTTTATCATTAATAATTCTGATATGATTCTAGGTTGGAACATAAGTGATCTTTGTTGTGTTTACAATTTTGATTGGTATCTAAGCTAAAAACAAAGAAACAAAAAGCCGAACTTTTTGTGTTGATTGAGCGTGCGCGCGTGAGATTGATTGATTGATTTGAATGAGCAACACAACTAAACCAGTTGTGCCAAGTATATGTGAGAGAAAGAAAATATCGATTGAATCAAAAGATCACACACATTTTTTTAGACATTTATTTAGCCAAAAAAAAAACACAGAAAAAAGCGAAAATGTTTTGTTTTCCTCTTTTTATTTTTCGAAAAGATGAACATTCAACGAGAAATTCAAAATGAAGCACGCAAAATCCGTTTGAAGTGTATCTATTTTGCATTTGCTCTTAGTTTAATTTTCGTTTGTCATTTCATACCAACATCAATACCGCCACTACTACCAAAAACTAAAAGCAAATATAAGAAAAAATACTGCACCATCGTGTTTCATAAGATTAGAAAAAAAGGAACAAAAAACATGATCTTATTTGAATCCATGGAAATCATACTGGCTGAATAAAGCGATTGAATCTGGCGATTGAAATATGTAAAATAAATTCACGGCTGTCAATGAACGACCCTTTGCATGGGACTCAACTCTTTGGAATTGATCCCAATAAAGGAAGCATCGCATCGGTGAGCCAACATGGAATAGATTACGGTTTCAGTTTCATTTTCTTGAGTATATTTTTCATATAACATTTACGTTCTGCAGTTATTTTCTTTTTCTTTTTGGAACATTCTTTGATAGCACTTGTGCTTTATTTACTCACACGTTTTGTAGCAAAACCCCAAACTGAACGAAATAGAGCATACTTTTTGATAGAAAAAAACAATTTCATGAATAAAATCAGAACCGAAAAAATGGACCAATTCGTTTTCTTAAAATAAACTTATATTGAAAAAAAAAATACCCAAAAAAAAACCAACAAAAAAACAAATATGAAAATGGAAAAAAACACACACACATTTTGTGTCACGAAGATTTTTCTGTACATTTTTTTCTGTCTCAACTAGCAACTAGTGTATATTCATTTAAAAACAAATGAGCAAAATACATTCGCAACTGCGAATAACCCAATTTGTAGATGATAGAGCCAAAATACAATCCACATACAATAGTGACAACCGACACAGACACACAGCATACACACAATTTATATAACCTGGAACAGTGAATACAAGACAAAAGTAGTATGTAATTTATGCACTCTTTTAATCATTACAAATCATATAATGGAATCAGCAAAAGAAGAAATGAGAGAAAAACATAGAAGAAATCCACTATAGTGCCGTAGTAGAAGAAGAACAGGATGAAGGAAGACAGCTAGAAATCGATTAGAGATCAAGTGTACAATAACAAAAAAAAAATGAATAGATCATCGACTCATGGACAACACATTATATACATATATATATCATTGGATAGAGGGACGAGGGATGACAGCATTCAACATCCATAAGCCAAAAGCTGCAATTTCAATAAAAGAAAATCTCTTGGAAAAATTTCCGTTTGTTTTTTTTCCCCAAATTCAATAATTTCATGTGTATCGTTTAACTTTACGAGTAAAGAAGGAAAATTTGAAATAAATTCACTTTTATTATGAAAATGACGCAGTTATTTCTTTTTTCTCATGCTATCTCTGTCAATTTGCACAAAATGCAAGTCAACTTTGAAATTAAAGCAGGAATGTGTGTGTGACTCACGGAGTGAAACCGATTTTTCTTTTCAAAATATCAATTCGGATGGGTTTTATTTATAGGACGTAATAAATGGTTAAGTACATTGAAACGTGAACGGTTATGCTGCTAAGCGGAGAATTTGTGCGTGTTTTTTCTTCTTTCCTTTGACTCTTCAATAGACTGCGCCGAGCGTGAGCGCGCGCGCGCGCGCTCTTCGACAGAGAGCAGATATTGTGACGAGCGATATGTGACGTAAATGGTTCATCAACACCGTTCTACACAATAGATGTATATATAATTACTGTTTCGATGCTACAGCACGACACAAAAGCATTCTGTACATTGTCGCATTGATATTCATTCATTATGCATTGAAAACCAAGTACTTGCTGCTAATGTTGCTGTCATTATTCAGCAGCATTCCCATACATTCGTTCGTTTCAAAGCACCGCGTCTATAAATCGCGAAATTCTTTTCTCTCTATTTCAAAATGTGTCATGCTTGCGAGAGAAAAAAATGCGCGTCTATGAATCTATCAAAAACTGTGTACTGTACAACACCGATGTGTATGTCGGCATGTGTGTATGAGAGCGAGTGAGAGCGTTCTTGTTGATTTGTTTGACACATACGAATGAAATCGAATGGAAAGTGGAACGATTGCTTTGCATTGCATTGACAATTCGACGTTTGACACATACGCGTAAACTAACAAAAGAAAACCTACCAAATAAATTCTTTTATTCGTCAGAATAAGGTGACGAAAATAAAAACAACGAATTAAATCTGTCTTGAAAACACGGTCTTCACGGTTTATTTGTGTTGTGTTCCATTTGCTCTCCTAGTAGCTGAGGTGAAAAAAAGTGCTGTGAAATTGTTTGGGGCGAATAGCACGGTGTCGATTGAATATAAATTGAACAAATGCTTTGTTTATATTGGAATTAATGGTGTTTTTTTTCTGGTTGCCGATTATTTCGATGACTCAAAGACGCTGCTGATTCAATAGGTCTTTCGCCTTTTGTTTATGTAAGGCATTTGGTGGAAATCTGGTTGGAAATTTCGCGGCAGAGTGATTGCTTTTTGTTTCATGAACTTGACTGTGGCATCGATTCTATATTTGTATTTCGGTTGACGTGCACCATTTTCAGACACACCGATAGACGACGACGACGACGACTATGAAAACACTTCATTCCGAGTGAAATACACAGAGGATAGAGAAGGACACAAGTAAGTATGTTTTGTATCTTTGATGTTTGCTTATGTATTCTTGAAGACGACGACGACAACGATTGCAATTCGGCTCAATGAGTGCCACCACGTACGGATTACATTTCGAAAATTGTACAAACGGAAAATTATAAGTCTAATGAGTGGCATTTTCATTGAATAGAACATGTGTGCTGGGCATGCGAAAATTCCCAGAGTTATTATTGTGAAGTGTACGGCCCCAATGACGTGCAATTTCAATTGCACAAAATATTTTCAATATTCGCTGTCGGTCGATTAGATTTATAAATTGGCCGCAGCCAACAGCACCAACACCAATTGCCAACGATAAATATCCATATACGAGTCGAAATGTGTAAACAATCGAACAGCATTCTTTGGCTTACGGCTTAGCAAGCAATTGCGGAGGTGGTGTGGTGAACTCTCTGTTCAATCCATTATTTACCACTTATATGTAAATTATTTCGATTTTTTTTTGTACAGTCAGAATATTGTGTATCGCTGATTTCTGAGTAAGCATCTGGTCGTTCGATTCGCTAAACGTTTGGTTTTCTTAAAAGCTATATTTTTATTGAAACCAGGCTAATTCGGTTTTCAGACATATGCTTCACAACAGCCACGATAAATGGGCAAACGAAACAAAATTGAATGAAACAAACGACCAGTTGAATGTGCGCGCTCTTTGATGACCTACCTACGGAATGACTCGTGGAAAACGTGCGAAAAAACACTTCAAAATATCTAAACATATTGACTATTTTAATCTCTCTGCCTCACTTCTGCATTTTCTAGAGATGTCGCATTAAAAGATAATTTACTAACGCCGAAATTGTGCGACAGACAAGAACAAGAACATTGAAAACACATAAACAACCTATAACGTATCGTGTTTTTTTTCGCTCTTCAATGGTGTTGTTGTTGTTTGGTCGAAAATTTTGTGTGTACTACAAACAAGCCATACTGATTTGTTTAGCTGTGAGAATTGACGTTTTTCGTTTGAAAATTCGTTCCACCTAAGTCTGCCTGACAAAATCTTTGGCATCTAACCAACAATTTCTGCGATCCAATTTTATTTGTTGTTCATTTTTTTCTCTCTATTGCCTCTGAATTTTCCACTTTTTTTGCTCTTGCTGAGCATCTCTCAGATGCATTCACTCGTTCTCGTTCAAAACTAATAATTATTAATAATAAACAGCCCATCGAAATCGTGTATACCGCGAAATGTTGTCAATTGTGTACATGTGTACGACGAAAAAAAAGTGGATGCCGTACGTGCTCTGTATGCATAAAGTTTGAGTGCCGAATGTGTTGCGTGTGCGACAGCATCGTCGATAATTAAACGGAGCCCGAACGTGTTTCGGTACGCGGACGCGACCAGACGTGAGAGACGTGAAAAAGCATCAGAAATTCGGTCTCGGTAATCAAGGCACACACGAGCACGCGAGATACCAAAACGAATGAGCGGAAAAATAAAGGCAGGGAAAATCAGTTTATGTGCGGCACTTGATCGCGTCTGATTTGAAAAATACGGCACAGGAAAATCGTTCGTTTCGTCAACGTCGCTTCTGTCGTCTTTGTCGTCGTCGTCGTCGTCATTGTGAATATCATCCGATCAAAACGATACGAATGCCAGTTTTAGCACAGTGATTCTTAGATTTTGATTTAATTTTCATTTTATTTTCTCGCGTGTGTCGTTTTTGTGCATATTTTTCGGAGCGATTTGAATGAAAAATCCGCAGCCAAGTGTTGCTTTGAGCCGTTGCTCGTGGTCATTTGAATCGATGGAATTTTTCCAATCGTGGACATTTGTTTTGAACGATCAAAGTGAACCATAGTAGTAGATTCTAGAAGTGTAAAAGTTTCGATTTGAATTTCTCGGCTGGTGCAAAAGGCAAATCTTGCTATTTTAGCAAGGTATCGAGCCCGAAATCTGTTCAGATGCTATTAATTGATGCGCAGTGAACAAGGTGATTATGCCATAATCAAGCAAGAATTAAATACGGTGCCGAAATAACAGTAAAATGCATTTTTCGCAACCAAAAAAATATATTGCTACATTAAAGCAAACGAAAGAAGACGAAAAAAAAACGTATTCAAATTCATTTCCCTTCTTCTTCTTCATGATTCCCTTGTACATAAACGCTCGCTCTCATTATATAGAACGGAATACATAATAATAAACACGCTCGAAATTATTTAAAGTTGAGTGTCAAGCATGTGTGACTCTTTAGGCAGTAGCGAGAAAAGCCGAAGCCAACAAAAATAGAATTGGATTGTGTGTGACGAATGAAAGGAAGAAGAGAAAAAAAAACGAAGCGAATATACATAGAGAAACGCCATTCGGCAAATACAAATGAATGAAACTGCCCAAATGGAGATACAGGAAGAGTGAAAAAGAGACGGAGAATGAACGAAGTGCGTTGATTGTTGTTATTGAAAATTTGGCGATGGAATCATTTGTTTGGAATGTTCACGTGCCAAGCATACCTTTGAACTATTTTTAATTGTTATAAAATATGGGCAACTATTTCTTTAATGGCATTTAGATGAAGTATGAAAATAATAATATTGTCCTAAAAGTGACTCAAAAATGCATCGAACGACTAGTGAAAAACAATTTCATAGTGATTGCAACTAGGATTGCAATGCAATGAGTAATTCAAAGACCAAATGAATAACACTATGAAATCATACATATAAGTGAAACGAATTCAAAAATTTAAGATAGAACACACGACTCATTCAGGGCGAAAGCAAAACAAAAGTTAAAGTTTTGCGTTATTTTCGCTGAAAACTTGTTGACTCGGATGTGGTTATTAGAGCAAAGCAAGCTCAAAATAGTCGCACAATTTTCGTTTGGCATGACCGATTTGTTTGTTTGTTTGCTTCATTAGAGAGAGAGAGAGAGAGAGCATTGATTCAGCACTATGGAGCCATACACCGTGCAAGCGGAATACTCGTTTCAAGGCGAAAATAATGACGAGCTACGTTTTAAGAAAGGCGATATCATCACCGTAACACAACGCGAAGGTAATTTTTTTTAAAATGGAGATGCTAAAAAATTCGAACGATATTTTTGTACGCTCTTGACAGACAAAAAAACGGTTTGGTCTTCACCTTCATATGCTATACACACAGTAAATTTATACACATACTCCATCGTGATCGCACAAATAAAAAAAAACCGACAGCAAACAATTTTTCCGATACGAATCGATGCGTAATGGTTCTACAGTCGACTAAGAATGAATCGGACGCGTCTTTTTCACCATATGTTTCGTTCTGTATTGGCGCTCAAAGCTTGACTGTCAAACTGTTTGACAGTTTGTATGTCTACACAAAGCAGCAGCTAATGCAGTCGTGTCGAGTCCGGTAAATCCACATCAACAACTGACAGCATATGAAAAATATCGTTCGAATTTTTTAGCATCTCCATTTTAAAAAAAATTACCATTAACCAAAAAACTTATCAGTAACTTTTTTGAAGTCGTGGAAACACATGAAGAACTTTATTTCTAATTTATTATTGTTTATTGGCATAATAATTTACACAACGCGAAGATGGTGGCTGGTGGGAAGGAACGCTCGGCGAAGTAACTGGATGGTTTCCAAGCAATTATGTGAAGGAGTATAAAGGTAATTGTCGTGCAATAAACGAAAGTTTCCGTTTAATATCCGGTAATTTATTCTTCCTCTCTCTTTCTCTGTTCCGTTTTCCCTCGACAACAGCACCGTTGCCATTGGCCGAAACGGTACGAACACCGGAAGAAATACAAGCATCAAGACAGGTCGTGCTCAACGATTTACTGGAAAGTGAACGAGCGCACGTAGCCGAGATCCGTGGTCTGTTCGAAAACTTTTTAGAACCACTGCAAACAAGTCAAATGTAAGTATAAGACAAAAATCGTGATGCAAAAAATGACGACGCAAAATGTTGCGGGAAAAAGTTTACTTTTCCTCTGAAACCGCGCAGCTTTTTTTATGCAAATGTTGTTGTTTTTCTCACAGTGTAAATCCTGACGAATATGCTCAGTTACTGGGCAACTTTATCGAAGTTGTTGAAACACACGAAGAACTTCTGACGGCAATGGAGTCCAGTAATGACCGCATTGGAAAGTTATTTTTAACAAAGGCAGCCACAATGAAATGTATTCATCAGGCATATTGTGCGGCTCATCCCCGTGCAATTGTTATTTTGGACAAACACAGCGAACAACTTGAAGCGTATATGGAGAGACAAGGTGCTGCCTCACCCGGGCTGTTGGTTTTAACAACAGGTTTGTCAAAACCATTCCGTCGACTTGATAAATATGCGGCAATGCTTCAAGAGCTGGAGAGACACATGGAAAGTGGCCATCCCGATCGGGGCGATACACAACGAAGCATATCCATTTATAAGGATATTGCGGTAAGTCGTTTAACTTATGTTTTTTTAAAGGTTTCACTTGTGGTTTTGAAGTAAAAGTTTATTGACTTTTTTATGGTGCGGATTTTTCTTCTGACATCACATCATTTTTAAACATTGGAATATGAACTTTGTTGTAGTTTCTTCGCATTTTTTCATATTGTATTTCCATTGGTTTCGTTCATCTAGTCAATGTGCGCTGCGACACGACGTCAAAAGGAATTGGAACTGCAAGTATTAACTGGCCCGGTGCGAAATTGGCAGGGGCAAGACCTAAGCACATTGGGTGATATCATACATATGGGAAGTGTTGCTGTTGGATCGGATCATCGTGATCGATACTTTGTACTTTTTCCACACACATTGCTTATCTTAAGCGTTAGCCAAAGAATGAGCGCCTTCATTTATGAGGTAAACATTTTCATATTTCATTCGTGATTCACGAATCGTGAATATGATTTAATTTTAATTTTCATTCCGCTTATTTTAATTCGAAATGATTCATTCACGAGTGAATTTTTCACTCGAATTATTTCATTTGATCAAAGTTCACAGCGGTTTGAAGTTTCGAAATTTTTGTTTGAAGAACTGTCGCGAGGCCTTTTTCTGGTTCTTTCGTGAAACTTTTTCTGGTTCTTTCATGAAAATCAATCATTTTCTTCATTTAAAACGATTTTATTTCCATATTTTCCATTTTTTTTTTCATTTCAGGGAAAATTGCCATTAACTGGAATCACTGTGAATCGATTAGAAGACACCGAGACGATAAAGAATGCGTTTGAAATTGGTGGGCCGTTAATCGAGCGAATAACGGCAGTGTGTCAAGGGCCAAACGAAGCGAATAAATGGGTTGAACTATTGTCACCTGACCCGATTGCCTCTTTCAAGCCAAAGTCCAACGAATCGCTTAAGAACATGAGCAATTCCGCAATGTCATCTCCAATTCATGTAAGTGTTGCATAATTCATTTCATTGAACTAAATTTTCACAGAATTACTTTTTATGTTCGTTACAAAATGGTAAACAAACTTCAAATATTCAAATCGATCAACAATCGTAAATCACTGCAGAAAGAGAATTTACTCGATACACGTGGTTATTGTGCACGAACGTCGATGTGTTACTATAGCCTTGGTGTGCCAAATTACAAGATAACCTATCCACCGAAGACGTATCCATCAACAGCGTCATATACGAGCCTCACAAATCATTACAAAGCATTGGTGAAGGAGGGTTTAATGCATCACATTGTCGTCAAAGCACTTTTATATCCAGAATTTCATCGAAGATTCAATACAGGCAATGTTCGTTTGCGTCGACATCACCGGGCCACATCACTTCGTCGTCGACAATCAATTTGTTCGTCGAGTGATTTGTCGCGCCAGGATTCCGAGTCAAACGATGGTTGTGATACGTCGGCTGCTAGTTCGATAAATTTTCTCAAATATTCACCCAGCAAACAGTCTGAACCATCGTCAACGGGCACATTCGTTGACAATGGAGCCGGTGTGGTTGATGATTGTACGCGCGAAATATTCGCCAGTTTTGAAAATATGGATACAAATTCCAATTTGGGACGAGTTCCCGTTACTCGTGATTCGGACGGAAGTATAATGTTTACGCATGCAGTTGATTGTGATATTGGTAGCAGAGATTCATTACAGTATTATTCCAAACCAGTTAGAGTTGTGATTGATCGTCGTAAAACGACCGCTGTAAATAGTGTTGTACATACAACGACCGCTCAAATGATAATCGGCACAAAACAAGAGGAAACGATTTCGACGAGCAAAGGTAGTCCATCGGAAGAGTCGGAAATATCGGGTTACAATCAACGGCCGTTCCGAGCGAATATGGCCTGTGAAGATCTCGTTAATTTGGATGATTCGTTAACAATTAAGGGTGAACAAAGTAGGGGCCAAACGATCGATGAACGACACAGCATGCCCACATTATTTGTTGGAAACCGTTTCAACTGTTCTTCCCTCACCGAAGTATTCATTCCATCGTATCGAGATAAAATGGATATGAATTATTTGGAAAGCTCATCACGAACCTCTGAAATGGGTGACAACGAGACGGATGACAACAACCGACACTCAAATGTATCAACAGCAACGCATTCCAGTTCGATTGACATAGCACCCGTAATGCCGGCTCCAGATCAGCTATCGGTTGAATTGCTTTACAATTCGAATGGATCACCACCGGAGAATGGTGGTTGTGATGTGATCAAGCCGCCAAGTATGTTTGGCGCAAATAGAAAATTGAGTAGAGAATTGAATTTGAAACTCAAAACCAAAAGTCCGGAAGAAATGCAACGTTGCACCAGTTCGCAAATGATTAATTTGCAAACGAATCCAATGGATCGACATTCAAAACCGAGTGATAAGTCCACATCGAATGTGATGAAAAAATGCGGTTGTTGCACTGAATCGCCTTGTGCAAGTCAACGATCGAGTGATTCAGGCATGGCTGGCAGTTACACAATTCAATTGACGCCAGAGACTCCGATTCCAAACACACACAGCGAATATGAACGAGATCAACAGATTTTTCCAGATATTGAGCAACGCTTGAATGGCTTGATGCTTTCACAAAGCACACATGACTTTGGCCGATTTGATAATATTCCGTTTGCTGATAGTAATCATGATAGTGGCCAATACGGTTGCAACGAAGAGTCAGAAAGTGAAGCCCAAAATCGTGATTCAGCTGCTGCTAAAAATATGTTTGAACTGTCGTCGAGTCAAGATACCGTCGTGAGGCGAAAATCAAGATGCCAAAGCGTTGAACCATTAGAACCCGTGAAAGATGAAGAACAAACACCAGCCGAAGCACATGGCGTGTACAAAACTGGCTTGTATGCACATTGGTGGAAGAAGGAGCAGCTTCCACCGGGAATGCTGAAAGATATTATAAAAATGAATAGACAATCGAATTCAGTGACACGTCGAACAGCTGATGATAGCAGGGGTTCAGGCAAGATTAGTTGTGTCTTTCGTTTAGACGTGTGTGGCTTTTGTTGATTATTTTTTGTTGTAACGTTGTCTGTTTTTGTGAACACGCGCATACGTCTAACAAACATCATGCAATGCTTGGAAGCCGTTACTCACTTTGGTCACAATATTTTGCTTGATATTTCACTATCTCTTTCTCTCTATATATCTATCACACAATCTTCACAATTCATATCATTTCATCAACAAATAGAAGCTATCACAATTCCCTTGAATCTCATATATTTCAGCAGAACTAACTCAAAGCGTTCATTCATCGTAATCAGCCTGAGCCCCTTTGCGACTGTTTTTGTTTCTTTTTTTCTTGACAAAATAATCAGTGTAGATGCCACATTCATTCAGCACGGTTATTCGAATTGTTTCTTACTAATCATGTATATTAGCGTTAAAACGAATTGTTAACAAATGTTAAACAAAGTTTTTTTTTTTTCATAGGAAAAAAATCTGACTGTTTTCCATCAGAATGTTGTTGAAGGAAACGAAAATTGTTTTGTATTTCGTTGAAGTGCTAATTGAACTGTTGTTTTGTATTGCAGACGGCAACTCACGCCACCGTCAACAACGTCGGCCAAATGAATCGGGGAGCGGCATCAATGCAAGCATCACAGCACAAGCGCAGCCTTTCATTCAATCATCACCTCAGCTACAATCAGTACAGCAGCCCGAACGCGAACAACGCTGCCACATTAAACCACAAACTGATGAACGATCCCAGCCTACCGCCGCACGTTCAAATGCGCGAGAGGTCCGACCAACCGGCACCCGTCCCAAAGACTAATTCCAAAGGTGAGAATTGATTCACTATTTTGATGTGAAAATGAGTTTTGATTCTTTTCATATTCGGTTTCATTGACATAAATCCGACAAAATTTTAACTCCATAAGATATAACAGATTTTCCAAACGAATCTGATGGTCAAGTGACAAGTCTTGATGCCAAGATTGGATTGATCCATCCAGAGTTTTCAAAAGCAAAATGTTCTCCCTTTTACTCAATCCAAATCTCGTTGTCGTATCATTCGCAGCCAATTGGAGTATAGTCAATTTGCGGCCAGCACCACCGCTACGTCCCACATTGATAAATACGAATTCGTCGTCCGGTAGTAATGGTGCCATTTTAGCAAACACCAAAAAGTCTCAGCCAACCTATGAAGAAGATGCCCTTGTTTTACGCGTCATCGAAGCGTACTGCACCGCTTATCAAAATCCAACTCGAAATGCCCTACATTCAGGTTAGTTTAACCATCTTTTATGCTCTATTCAAAGTTCGGTGTTTCGTTCTGTCGAACACATTTTTAGGCATATTTCTTTAGGTTGTGGTCAAATGTAGATGATATTGATAATGAATGCAGGCACATTTTTTTTTCTTCATGAAAACATCACAAACATTTACAAAACAACAACAAAAACAACACCAACAAAATTTTCATACACACACTCACTCAAAATTGATTTTCATGCCAACATTTGTTTTTCTGCATCACACATTTGCACCTACATTCATTCTCCTTCAATGCATGCATGGGTATGGTTTTGACATAATTCTATTCTTTCGTTTAATATGTGGTTATATGATGAAATTTCTAGTCAAATTACTAACACACAGAAAATTGTTCCGAACAACATCCGAACAAAAGTAATCAATTGGCATTTTTTGTAGAAGATTTTTATTTAAGGTTTTGGCCGTAGTTTTTCTTCTGGCTTTCTAAAAAAAGGTTGAAATTTTCGGAGAAAACTATTGTGAATGCTTCGAATTCGAACCGAAATTGAAACTGGATATTTTTCCAGTGGAAAGTTTTCAGTAATGAATAATGAAAATTGTTCCAATCGCGAAGAGTTTTCACATAGTTAACCGAAAATTGACCAAAAAAAACAAGTTTTAACAATATACCCACACATTCAAACGCACATTCAAAGCCATCGGAATAACCGTGAAAAATCGTTACAGAAGCACTTGAGTAAATCGAATATGTTTTGTTTTTCTCTGGAATTAACCGATCCTTTGTTAACCTTATTAATAGAGCGCTTCGAGCGATTTAAAAGAAATAAACGTGAAAAATCATCCCATAATTGTATCCACATTGGAAGTTATATTGTTAATTTGATCATTAAAATTGGTTGAAAGAATTGGCATACAGACATAAATTAATTGTAATCATGAATCATCAAATTGGAAAGGAAGCAAAAATGGAATAAAAGTAAAAAATTAGTCGAATCAAATGATCAACATAATCAAAATTGAATCATATTCAGTGTCAGCCTCATATAATTGCCATCGCATTCCATATATCCGTTCGTCATCATATGTGTTTCACCAACAAAATCGATAAACAATTAATACAATCCATCCACACAGTCTCTCTCTCTCTTTGTCAGTATCCTATCAGGTTATGTTTTGAGATTTCTTTTTTGACCCAAAATTCCAAACGTTTGCACTTAATTTCTTTTCTTAACAAATAAATCTTACAATATAAATCAAAGCAAGGAAACCAAACCGAACCAAAAACAAATCCCTATTCTAAATTGAAATTGAAATTAAAAAAATGATCACATTGACACATTTTATATATAAAACACCCGACATGCACCACCTCAACCAATCAATACAACATCAACAACAATGTAAAAATAATTAAAAAAAAACAACAGCTTTACAACCCTGGACACCGTGCTTACCGATCCGGGGTGGAAAATTGAAAACCGCAAAAAATTATTCAACCTCAAATCCGCAGCTGTCGTTCACATCATGCGCTTCGAATGCTTACATGCACAATAATCGGACGGGCAATACATCGTGCAATAGCTTAAATTCATCGTATATTTGGCGTGAGGCAAGCCCAAACAATTTCAATCTGTATTCATCGTCTGTGTCGTCGTTGAATGCGGGCGGTGGTAATGCTTCGTTGCCGACAAGTGTTTCGAATTCACCGTATCGTTATTCAATTGGATCGAATAGTCGATCGCCGGAATTTCGTTCGGTGTCCGAAGAAAAAGCCATCACCAATAAAAAATCCTTGGCCAGTAAATTCAAAGGATCATCACACTATGAAAATGTTTATATGACACCATTATTACCGCAACGCAAAAACAAACAAACAGTGAAAATCGTAAAAAGCTCACAGGAAAATGTCTATATGCATAATGTAGGCAGACGTCTATCGAATGATACCGATTTAAGTGATGATCCAATGCCATACGGGCTTTATGATCGACGTACGAATCGCTCATTCGAAGCACCATCACGAGATATGATTCATCCAATTGATCCGAATAACAAACACTTGCGACGCTCAACACCACATCTGCTCAGCGACGACATTTACACGGATACTGACCAAACGAGAAAATCCAAACGACACTCAGCCACTTGGTGCTGCGGCAATTTTATGCTCAAACAATGGAAGAAAGTTCATCAGTACGATTGAAGTGTTGAACATTCAGTCGGATACTTGGTAACCGTAGCGTATCTGTAATGGAACTGTTTTTTTCTTTATTAACTTTATTTACTCATTTTAACGCCTTATATTCTGCTTCACAAAAAGACCATACGTTTGCCATCAACCAATTTATTTCTTCAACAACAATGTTACTAAAGTATCTAAATTGTATGTGTATACTCTTCAAGCAGCTACTCAAACCATAGTTTTACTGTTAGATTTTCAAGTTGCCCAAATAAGTTGTTTCTGAAACTCTTTTGTTCATTTTCAAATTGTACATAGATAAGTATGAATTGATTCTCGAATCTCTGTGTAAATATGTTGTAAGTAAATATGTGCCATTTTCGGTAGAACAATTGTTTTTTGGATGACAAAGGATAAATCACCATACCAATTCATTTGTATTGTGATCTTAATTGCTATTATATCTCTATTTATTTTATGCATACATAATGTAAAGCACAGTCACACTGAAACATGTTGAGCTTATTTTAATTGATCGCCACTTTTCAGTTTATAAGTAGAACAAATATCATTTTAACGATATGCCATTGAGATTTACAACGTACCATTATATGCTTTGATATTTTTTTCCCCTCTTATGAAGAGATTCACACGTCTGTTCACCATTCATACGATATGAATGGAATGCATACAATTCACGATATGAATAAAATCTATCAAACTATGAATAATAAACTTTCATACCAAAACATAAATACTCCAAAGGATCAAAACCAGTCGGTTCACTCAAATCGAAAGTGAATACAAACAAAATAAACATATATGGTCTATGAATAACTTCATTCAATATAACACCCACTTCAATCTATTTCACTATATGAGATTTCCTTCGAACATGGAAAATGTTTATTATTGTTGTTGTTCGGCTTGTTTTTCGACATGCTCAGAAAAATGAGTTCAATGAATGTGCTATTTTAAACGAGATTATACCATTTTTGATAAAGATGTTTATTTCTCTTCTTTTTGATAAAAAGGAGAACGCAAACCAATTCAAATGTTTTCGTTGAATATCGATTTCAGTAGCCAATTTGTAAAACTAATTATTATTATGAATTGAAATATCTTGGAAATACAACTCGATGTTTCGTTTTAATTTATTATTCTATCAAGTATTATTTCAATCGCTGTATTTTATCTGTTGAAATTTCCTAGAACGTAGCTCATTCAGTTCGATTGCGTTTTTTTTTCCCGTAGAAATTACAAAAATAGAAACAAAAGAAAAAACCGTAGTAACCTAAATGTTATTCTAATATTCTAACTACAAACATAATTGAATAAATCGATGCCAAAAAAAGCGGAAGTGAACAAGAGTGTCTTTATTTTCATGATGAGTGCATTCAGCTTGAGGTATTTTCTTTTTTCTTTTTTTTGGCTCAAAACATACCGTGACTTCAGTGGTACATTTTTATTTCATGATTTGCATTATTTCGGTTCTTTTTTTCGTTTCATCAACTCCTCCTCCTCCCTCCACACATAAGTACATATATATACTAATTTGATGTTTGTTTTTGCTTACACTCCAAAAACGTGCATTGAATACTTCACACTGCAAAGGAAATTGTTGTCTAGATTGAATGTAGTTGGTAGTTTTATCTGAGCAAAATGTGACTGGTGCTTCAGAACACTGTAAATTAGCTTGTGAAACAATATGACAACAGAACCGTAGTAGTTTATATGATATATTGTAAATGTTTAGCTAGAAATGAAAAAAAAAACAATTATTTGGTTGTATCCAACCCAAAACACTTCCAATGTTATTGTAACCACATATTTCCCACATTTTTCCTTCCACCGCAAATTTAAAAAAAACCAACAACAACAACAACCACTACCATCGCACACACAAATGCACCATTTACAGGCCTTGAAAATGAGGACATGACGCCAACGTTGAAACAAATCTGGGTTGCCGTACGACAATTGCAACAAGATATGAATCAAATCAAAATTCAAGTCAACGAAGAACGTGCACTTCGCAGCTATTTACAACAATTGCTGATGGGTCATCTCGAGGGATTGAGCTCAACCAAAAATTGCTAAATTGCGCCAAAATCTAGAGTCACTCACGACTCACATCGTCACAACTTCTTTTTTTTTCTTTAACAATGCATCACTGTCTACGGATTCATATCACACAATTTTTTCGTTTTCTTTTTTGGATGTCTGTCAACTAACTCGCTGTCACATCAATGTAATATTGTAAATGTTTGTTGTAACAAGAGAAAATTACAGAAAAAAAGAAATATAAATGTATAGCTCGGGTCTAAGTGTGCCTTAGTCTTCTAAATGTATTCAATTAAAGTGAAATTTTTACAAACAATGAGATTTTCTCACTCACACCTCCCATATACTCCAACGATGAAAAAAACACCATTGAACTCGTGCGGAAACAATTAAATACATGCACCAATTTCTCCATGGTCAGAAATTTTTGCGTGTTTTCAACATATTTGTTTTTTCGTTCAATTCGATACCTTTTCCGATGATAAACCGATAGTATTAAGAATGAAATGTAATTTTCGACGCGCAACAAAACATACACTTCTATATTACTCTGCATGTTGTATTCATCTATTTAACACGTATAAAGAACACAGAGAATCGCACTTGTTAACCGTCGAAAATCATCTTTTTCTCTTTGTTTAAGTGAAGTTCATTAAGAGTTGTATTTTTTTTCTGCGTAAATAATAAGAAAGAATTCGTAAGGAAGTATTTATCAAAAGAAACAGAAAAAACGGTCGCTGATTATAACGATGAGTAATGTCATTATCGCATCCGATGATTGATTGTATTTTGTAGTACAAAGTAGAGGAAACAAATAAATAAAAACTCGTTTTGAATTGTATTCTATGTTTATAAATTTAATTTCAAATGGATTTGATAATAAAAACAATGACATTTATCTCCAAAAACGAACAAATGAGTGTTTTCCTTTTTATTTCTTACTTTTAGGAAAAATCCGAAAAAAATGTATCAACAATTCTGTATTTTTAGGCCTTTGGGCGACTACCCTATGCTATATAATATCGACAACTTTCAGTACTTTAGGTTTAACGAATTGAAAAATGGCTTCAACTCATTGAAGACGGCCGCAATAAACTCATTCGATTAAGGCAAGAAAATCACAGTTGTTACACATCAAATTCAACGCCGATTCGTTTGGATCCAGAAAGAACAATAGCTTTGACAAACATTTCTCTTCATGTGCCACCACGTTTGATTGAACCTTCTTCCAGAAATCTTCCAATGTGCCGCTGTATGCTTGCCTGTAATTCAATGTGAAAAAGAGGTATTGATTACTAAAGCCGTATGACGTTCAATAGAGGAAAGAAATGCATGAAATTAAATATGAAGTAGAAAGAAGAAACGGAAAAAGAAAAAACAACAAAAATTGAAAGAAAACAAAAACAAAAAATGAAAAAAGAACCAAAACAAAAAGAAACATAAATAAAAACATAGAAGAAAGTAAAAACACAAACAGAATTTATTCATTCATGACAAAAAACGATGAAAAAGAGTGGTAACTTACTGAAAACCGCATTTGCAATGCAACAAATGATTTGTGATGTGCAATTCACAGATTTGACAAATTGGACACATAACCAAAATTGATTTCGTATCGCCGGTTAAATCAATGTCATGCAATGACCGTTCATACTCTTCAAGAATCCTGAAAAAGATGATGTAAGCAGAGAGAGAAAATCCGTATAAAATGACGTGAACAAAAGAAAAAAAAAATTGCGTAAAAATGATTCATACCATTGGTATTGCTCTTCGATGAGCTCTTGCAACATTGTATCTTCCAACAGTAGATCCATCTCGAGTTCGGTAAGTTGTCCTTTCAACATGTCCGTCAGCCATTGCTGCAAAATGCGATTAAATGGTTTAATCAACACTCGTTTATTTAATGCTCAATTCATCGGATCATACCTTTTCATTTTCCAAAAATGTACGTGACACATCGAATTTATTTGAACGCGATTCTCGGACGCGTATTCGACATTTCTGTGACAAAAGAAAAACAAACGGCTTAGACAAAATGGCCAAATGTTGCAACCAAATTCAATGTTAAATCATTACCTCTCTTAACATATCACGCAATTTGTCGGCATTGATTCGGTGTACCATAGCATCAAAGTGCTTTTTTGTTTTCGGAATATCCAATTCCATTGTTTTTTGTTCTTCCATTTTCCGTGCTGTGTCCGTGGTGCAACAAGTAAATTAATAACAGTTTTATGCACTATCAATTCGATCAAAAGCAACTAATTATCCTAGTTTGTATGCTTCAAAACCGTTCACTTTGAATGGAGTGAGAAAAAAAAAGTTCGGTTTGATTTTTTAAACGAGTCTAATACCAATAAGACTGTTTTAGTTGGTTCGAACGACGTTCAAATGTCAGTTTTGCGCGCCTAATATTGTCGTTTTGACAGGCAAATACACATCAATTCACATTTGAGGTTAGTTTAACACAGTGATAAGTTGCACGCATACACACTCAACTGATGGAGTTGTAGTGGTAGATCCGAATGGGTTTGAGTGTATGTGTTGGTTTTATGTCAAAATGACTATTTCACAGCAACTAGTCCATAGAAATGGGAAAATCGAAGACGTACTCAGTAGGCACAGACACTGCAAACTGAAAACATCGTTAGGAGGCCGCATTCGAATTTTCATACTATATACATATTTTTTTGAAAAAAAAAAAAAAAAAAAAAAAAAATTTAAAATCAAAACCGAATTCATCGAAACCGTTGAAACGCATTAAAATTCGGATTTGGATCGAACAACGTCAACGCCATCCATCGCATCGCATTTTTCATACGATCAATCAATTTGCATTTGTTGCGACAAGAAAAACAAAAATATAACTGTTAACTAAAAATTGCAATCGTATTCAATTCCAATTGCACATACATATATACACGTCTACGCCGTATTACGAACGATACGTCCACATTTTTGAATCACGACCACATTCGAAGACCTGTGTGGCTGCCAAAGAGCAGAAAAATAGACAAACACACGTATTCGTACACACGGCGAACCGAACATCCAAAACCGAACGCAGAACAAAAAACCCACATCGCACACCGAATAATTCGCCAGCATACCGTGCTAATCGACTACAGATCATTGTCAACAAACACGAAAATTTCGTTCTCGAATTTAAATTCTGAGAGAGTGTGGCTACTGCGGCGCGACGACAGTATCAAATACAGTATATCACTGTGCCCATGTGAATTGGTTGGATGTAATCAGTGTAGTTGTGTATCCGTGTGTCCGTGTCGTGTGTATGTGTGTATCACACCGTTGCAATCGCGCGGTACACATCCATTGGTGTGTGCGTTCGATTGTGTGCCAGTGTTTCAGTGTGAACGAATACCGAGCATGGAACATTGATAGAGCTCTGTACATCATTCGGTTCGCATACGGTGTGTGAATGTTCGCACGAACAGAAGCAAAACGACAGCGAGTGGAGCAACAGAGTGACAACAGCATACAGAATTTCTCTACTGTACATTAAGTATCTGCCTGCTTTCTACTCTTCACAATCACGACGTTCGACCGAAACAGTCGAAGAACGGAGACGGACGGGCAATTGTATTGGTTGTTGAAGTGTGAACCGTGTGTGAAGTAAAGTGTATGTGTATGTGTGAGTGCGCGCTATTCAATATACACAATTTCTGAATATGCTCAAGGTGTTTCACATACGAGAGTATAGCGAAAAATTTATCCAAAGCTAGGCTCATCGATGTATGTGACAATTTTTACGTTCGGTTCGGATCTTAAACAACGTTTTTAATTTCGCCTTTTTTTATGGTTTATTTGCGATAATGGAAATACCAAAAATCCCATCGAAACTATTCACATTCTCATCGATCGACCTTAAGGATGATAATGAAGAGGTAAGAGTTGTGTGTTCAACAGTGCGACAAAAGTGTGCATGTGTGTGTGTAGTTTTGGAAATTGGAAAGCAAGAAAAAAAAAATCGAATCTCATAAGGGGATTCATTACAAATGATTTCTTCTTTCGTTTTGTCTACATTCGGATGCATATTGAGATATGTGTGTGAATTAGCGTAAAGAGACAGTTCAGTCGCCATTTTTGTTTTGCTTTGCACGAGAGTGAGAGCTTTATTAAATCGCCCATTCGAACAGCGATCTATGTGTGCTATAGAGCGAGCACACACATTCTAACCGTGTCTGTATATATATGAAAATGTTCTCCCGTGTATGACATTCAAAAATGTATGTTATGAACCGCGTTGGTGCTTTCGGCTACAAAAATGCGCAAATTTTGAATTAATGATTGCACAATATTCCAATTATTATCTCGACACATTGAGTAATCGCAATTTTCAAAAACATTCTCACCATAATGGGATTCCGTAGTCAAAACACACTTCCAATTAAAAATGTTTTCTTTTAAATCGGCCGTTGACCTTTATTCCCGATAAATTGACACTAATTGTGTAAATATTTTGTTTCTCTGTTTTTTCTCTCTCTCTCTCTCTCTCTCTCTCTCTCTCAGAAATACGAACGCTCATATCAACACATACAACAGTTAACAGCAAATCTAAACGATAAGGAATATCATGATTTACTCAGCAATCTAATATCCAAGAATGAAAAGAACCACGAAGAGGTATCGATTGCGTTAATCTATCAAATATTGACCGATCCTAATGCAGCGGCCAAAGCGTATCGTGATTTAACGCTGCTCACCCGAGATGGCTTGACATTTGTCACAAATAGTTTGTCAATGCTGATTGCCGATAAGTATACAAAATTTTCGGATGTGGCACGACGGCAAATGCTATGGTTGTTACGTGAATTGATCAAAAATCAGGTGCTGAATGTGGATTCAATCGTATGGAATGTGCTGCGACAGGCGGGTGCTGGTGATTTGTCACCAAAGAATTTAGCTTTAATTGATGGCTTATTGGACATTCTAATCGAACATCGGCAATGGCTTGACAAACATGGGTTCCTAATCAGTGCCGTTGTCTATACATATGTACGCTTAATTGAGGACCATCACAGCATTGGCCTGGCAAATTTACGAAATAAAGAAGTGAAATTTGTCATTGCCTTGATTCGCGACCGATTCAATGACGTCGTTCAAATTGGACGCGATTTTGTGCGGCTACTACAGAATGTGGCACGCATTCCCGAATTCGAGCAATTGTGGAAAGATATTTTACTGAATCCAAAGACTTTATCGCCAACATTTACGGGCATTTGGCAATTTTTGCAGACACGCACCAGCCGACGCTATTTCCAATGTCGGCTCACACCGGAAATCGAACGGAAAATACACTTTTTGACGAATAGCGTCAAATTTGGGCAACACAAACGCTACCAAGATTGGTTTCAAGACAAATACTTTACAACACCCGAATCTCAAAGTTTACGCTCCGATTTGATTCGCTTCATCATCAACGTGATTCATCCGACCAACGATATGCTTTGCTCCGACGTTACGCCACGATGGGCCATCATTGGCTGGCTGCTCACGTCGTGTACGAATCCAATCGTATTGGCAAATGCAAAACTCGCACTTTTCTACGATTGGCTGTTCTTCGATCCCATCAAAGACAATATTATGAATGTCGAACCCGGCATTTTGGTTATGTACCATTCGATACGTACGCATCCATTTGTCAGCAGCTCATTGTTGGACTTTCTGTGTCGCATAATCAAAAACTTTTCACCAAAACATGAGGATAAAATACGGTCGGGAGTTTACAATTCGCTACGGAAGATTCTGGAAAAACAGGTAAGTTCTTGGAAATGATTGTCGAAGAAGCAACAAAAAAATTGATTGTGTTTTCTCTTTGATTCCAGGTTATACCAAATTTGCAACCACTTTTTGAATCGCCCAAATTGGATCGAGAGCTGAAGACTTTGGTGCGAGATACTTTCCGTGAATTTTGCAGTGGGCCACCAAATGACATCCCATCGGATATTCCGAGTCAGTTCAACATCGGTGACGACGGTCGACCTGCAATCAATAATTTTGGCAACGAAAACGATACACGACCAACGCTCCATCGCTTCGATAGCTCAAGTGACAACGAAGTGGAAGGCAAATTCAGTGACGATGAAGACGAAAAGGAAAGCGCAATCAAACACGATGAAACCGATGACGATGACGATTTGCCACTGTCAAAGGTGCGACTCAAAGAGAAACCAATACCAGAGAAAGTGCAATTACCCGCAGCGATAAATAATTCATTTGAAAAGTTTTCAAAATCTAAAACCAGCAGTACCTTTGAAGTATTTTTGAACGATCTGCGAACGTGTACGAGTAATTTGGACAATGACCAAGAAACATATTTGGTGGATACAATGGTGACAACGATCAAAGACACATTGCCCGCAACACTGTCGACAATATTTCCGGAAACGAAAAGCGATGAAAAAGTGCTGGCACAATCGATTGGCTACCCATTGTTCAGTATCTACAAAGTGATGTACCAGCACGAGGAAAAGTGCAAAAAGTGTTTTAATAATATCATTAAGCTAGTGTTCAATAAATTGCCAATGATAGGCTACACAATACTGTACTTCTTGAAAGTGCACACCAAACTGCAATCACGAAAGAATCCAAACAGTAATGTTGCATTCAAAACTAGCTTATACAAAACCGTATGTGATTACTTAGATAAAAAATTGGACGATCAATTGGTCAACGATTTGGAGACACTGGAAATTGAACGGACAAGCATATTTTTATGGTTACTACCCGATATATACCGTGAATTCAATTCGATCATGATTAACAATAAGGATGTGCTAAAACTCGTAGTCAGCTGCATTGATTCGAAGAATCAGCGTGATATTATCTATAGTATAACGCAAGGGAAATTGACCATGTTCAAGAATGATGGGATTTTGGAGTGTGTACGCGAAAGTCTCAGCTATGAAACATTTGAGCAAGTCTTTTTATGGCAATTAGTACAAGCTCACGACGTGCCTATTGAATCGTTGCAGGTGAAGACTTTTTTTTAAAAATATCTTTTTTCTCAGAACCATTTTGCTTAAATCTCAATGAAGCGGTGGTTCATGCAATGATAAATCTAAAATTAGAATCGAAATGGCTAGAACAAAGGCTGAACAAAAAAAAACAGTTGAAATAATTGAGAACATTTTTCTTTGCAGAATATTTTGCCTGAGCTCGAATCATCGAATCATTCAGAAGCTTTGACATACATGCTCCTTTTGTTGCGAGGCGAGGAACCAACCAATGAGTTGATTCGATTGTTGTTGTGTCGAGAGGCAAAATCACGTGGTGATCCATTTGTTACATCGGCTCTTAGGTAAGTACTGAGAATTGAACTCTACGAAACTGAATATAATCACCTGTGTTGAATAAATCAATACACTCATCATGAATATTATACGAGGTATCTAATGTAATACAAATCAATTTTCGTGTCCATAGATTTTGGTGCCAAGATTATGAGGAAAAGTTGTCCGAATTCATTGCCAATCTGTTAATATCGAAATACCAAAACAGTTCACCAAATAAGCGGAAACGCTCGTTAAAGAATAACTCGACACAGAACACGGCACCGACAGCGGAACAGGTATGATGAACGAAGCGCATCCACGCAATAATCGCATGTTAGAATACAAAAGAACGTCGGCTTGGTTTACGGAATTCCATTCTATTTTTAGCTTCTTTGCCATCTGGAGCATTTTCGGCGAAGTTGTCGTCATGGCAACGGAACTGGTACCGGACTATACGTACAAGATGTAATGCAACGGGCGCTACAGCAAGCTTTTTCAAACAGCAGCGATAGCACAAAGGTATTTTTAGCTGACATCGAGGTTGCTTACGGTTATGTGTTAATCTTTTGTTGTGTTTTTTTTTCGTCCTTCTACAGAAACAATACACGGACTTATTTGCATTAGCAGCGGAGGACGATACAAGTGGTGTGGGTCGTCGTGGCACAAGCGGTAGAGGTAGAAAGACTGCACCAGCGAAAAAAGAAACAAATAGCACAAATAGCAGCAACAAAAAGAATTCAGAACCAGTATACAATTCCAGCGATGAATCCAGCGAGGTATGGAATTCGTGCAAAATTTCGGCATTTAAAGGCCATAAAGAAAATTCTCTTCTTCTATTGACAATTGAGATGAAAAACCCTAAAGTTGCTTTTTGATTTGCAGGAGGATTGGTCGAAGCCAAGAAGTGGTAAGCGACGAAAAAAGGCATTGAGTGATTCAGACTGACAGCCTAATTTAAATATTGAATGTGCGTACATCATGATCAAGAACTAAATCAATTGAAGCACAACCGCTTCTGTGAGATCGAAGTCATTTGTTCTTTCAAGAGAAAAACTGAGAAGAAGACAACATCATTTGTCATAACATTACAAATTTCAACCCCGCTTGCCAAGAAGTATTGAACCATTTGTGTGTGTTTTTTTTTCACTTTCTCTACATCCAATTTGTTTTCATCAAATATAGCTTGTCGAATTGGACACTTTATTTTCACCCATTTACATTTTGATGTATTTTCATACGGAAGCCATTTATTTTACCGATTGGTACTTAAGGCCATTGTTGCACACCGGGCACATAGGTGCTTTAAGTTCATATGATCCGAATCACAAATAAAAAAAACCGTAGACTATCGCCAATCAGGTATAAAGTAAGCATAATTCACTTACTTTTTACTTACATCACTCGTTCGGTAATAAAAATAAATCGAAATTAGTTTAACACAACGAAAATGCTTCTGCCCCAATAGATAGATACTTTTGTTTTAGTAAATGAACGTTGAATGTAGTCCATCACCTCTCCTCTCCTATCGGTATAGCTAGATTTGATTGATGAACACAAAAACCCACATACACACACCACTACCACCACAACTATGCTAGTGAAATAGACACCTCCTTCTCCCTCCCCTCAGCCAATTTACATTTCGTGCGCTTAATCGTTATAGTTCAGTGTCTCTTAATTCCGTAAAAAAATGAATTAATTATTAATTTAATTATTATTACTATGAACATAAGTAAAGAAAATTTAATTACAGACAACAATTTATACAGTTAAGAACACAATTTAGGATTGTAAATCGAACCTTTTTTCAATAATAAGAAATCAAATCAACTTTTTTTGGACAACAACAACTATAAAAAGGAAAAAACAGAAACAAAAAATCGATGAACTAGTTAAAAACAAAAAACATACAGAAAAGCAAGATTTTTCCAATAAAAATATTTTTATTGTAAAATTCAACTGAGAAGAGAAAAAAAAACAGCAAAAGCAACAATAAATTCAATTTGTAAATTGAATAGATTTTTATTTTTAAAAAAATATTATACAAAAAAAATTTATGAAATAAAAAACAAATAAATACAACACAACGTGGTTTAGTTTTGTTTTTCATTAGACGGATTAATGAGTTGAATCGGGCCGAAAGATTAGGTAACGTGCACATATTTCATAAAGAAAAGTAAACTTAGTTTTTTTTGGCTATTCGACTCGTTAAGTGACTATGGAACTATATTCGTTCGCGCAATATAATCTCTCGGCCGATAATTTCCATTCATATACACGTCGCCTGGTCGTGGTGCCACTTCAAAGGAAATAAAACCATCGCAATCGTTGAGCTGCTTCGAGAAAAACTTTGCTGCAAATGTTGCACGACCGGAATAAGGTGGTATATACTTGAATGTTGACGATGCAATTCCATCCACTGGAACATCTGGTATCTGTTGGAAGAAGTACACAATTTTTGTTTTAGGACTCCTAAAGTAATAACTTACTACTCCTAAATTAGGAGAAATCTCTTCTTAAAAATGTTCATTAAACTAATGAACGATAAAACGATTTGCTCAGCTATATGCCCAATGCGTTAAGTAGAGATGAATGGATGCATAAGTCAAGTGACAAGTCGTTAGTTTAACAAAATCATCTCAAAACTCACATTGAGCTGCAATTGTCGCTCCAATCCAGTGCCTTGCACATGGAATATGCAATTTTTCAATGGAGCTGGCAATGGATTGGCCAATCGAAGAATCACATCAATTTCTTGATCGACCTCAGGTATGCCTTGCAATTTAATCTTGACATCTGGCTTACGCACTCGGAAATCATCTTCAGCATAGTAATCGAAGTCTGTATCATGCACTTTGGCTATACATGAAATACTGAACGCAGCTTGATCCAGTAGCTTTTTGAAATAATCATAAAATGTCACTTCCATTTCGATCACTTCAATCGATTCCGGCGGAATATTTTGGTCAAAGTCAATAGATTTGACATGGTCCCGATTCTTGCCGGTGTACAGAACTGTTTCGACAAACAATGAACCGGAAACACGATAATAATCGCGCGTTGATCGATTTTTTATTTGCAACAGCACCAGGAAAGTTTCACCGATTATTATGTCGTCCAGCAGTTCAAATGTGAAATGGATATCGTTGAATTCTTCGTTCAAATAGAACCTGAAATGTAAAATGATACATGTTTTAATAGAAACAGATGTATTTGTTTTCGGAAAAGTAAGAAAAGTCCAGTGTTAGTGATATTAAAGGTAGATTCTTACCTCGAGAAAGCGCTATTGGCTTGTTTCAATGCCTTGAGCATTGTATCACGTTCGTCTTGACTTTTTTCGGGGTATTTATACGTACTGGTAATATCTTCACGATCAAACCTTCCAACGGCTTTTGTGCTAATCAATTGGCCAATTGCTAGCGTATCTTTGCGCATCAATTTTAGCGGCTGAGATGGGCCTCGATAGAGCCAAAATAATTTATCGGCGTTCACTTCGGCGTATAAAAAGTTGCAATCATATGGACGAAGAACTTCACCGTATTTAACCGCTTTCACTGGAGCTGGTCCACAACGATAAATGCCATCCGACATTTCTTGGGGTGTTGAATCAACCGCTTGCCATCCATTGTAAGTCAACGCATTATTGCTTAAATCAGGACGTTCCATCCAAAGCTCATTCCACACGTGATAATTCCAGATCGAGTCTGAATTTAGTTCTTCCAAAATTTTGCCATTTTCATCTACAAAATAGTCCACGGTCAACGAAGCCTGTGTATCATGTGCACACGAGTAGGTTGTAACGATTCGAGATGGAATACCAATTGCTCGAGCAACTTGAGGTGGGAAAAAATTGAAGAATTTGAAGGGAAAATGTAGCATAATATGAAAATATCAAATGAAAAAAGAGGAAAAAATCAAGAAAGAGTGGAAGAAATCAGATCAAATCGAACAAAAAACGTTGTAAAAAGTTAATATAAATTCAGTTTTAGTTCATAATTCTCACTTGTATTCAACGTTCCAGCAAAAATCCAACATTGACCATATCTAACAGGGCTTCGCTTCTTATAATACTGTTGAAGAATCTCAACTGAGCCGACCCACTTTGTGGGAGCCGTACCGCCAGAAAAATCTTCACTCCAATTCCCCATTACAGCACCGTCGTCATCCTGTGAATTCACAATGGCTGAAAGAGCTCTCGCGATTCGCACTGGATCACCGCGAAACGGTGGTGCGACCTTTCCAACTGCTGATATGAGCAGCAAAGAGCATTCGAGTATGTTTCGTTCGAATTGACCGACTTGCCATATTGTTGGCCGGATTCTGTTGTATGATCCACGATAAATTAGCGTTGAGTCTGATAGAACGTATTCTTCACGCTGGGCAATATCTAATTTAACCACAGATAGACACATGAAGTAGAGAATTGTTTTTTTTTTTGGAAATCGTGCTATTTTTAAATCGCTCATTCATTGATTAATTTAATTGACTAACTATGGTTAATTGTATAAGCATTTTCGATTGAAAGATAATTAGCGAATACTTCGATCGAAATTGCCCAAAACTGACAGAAAAAATTATGTAACAAACCTCCCATGTAAACCGCATCATCCAGACACCATGGATTAAAAAGTAAGAAAAATGTATTTGGGCTTTTAAACGAAGCTGCGCCACCGCCTTGTGTCAGCTGTGTATCAATATCGAAATTCCATTCGCCGATGATCGCATTAGCAGCTGGTTTCACTATAATATCCAGAATATTTCCATGCTTTCCATCGATAACGCAACCCCATTCGTTGACACTTCCCAAATCATATGAATCATGCTTCAACGCAGTTCCCACCAAAGTGCCATGACCGTGATTCGGTCGATCATCATCTCGAAGGGTGAAAATAAAGCTGATGGAATCTCTGAACGAGTCAAATGGTCGATTGAAATGGACAATTAATCTAAACGGCTGACCACGGCGCACAACTAAATTAGAAGTAAGTCCAGGCGTTGAACTGCGATGCATTGCATCATAACGATCTGTGTGATGATCAGGCCCATTGGTCTCGAAACAAAAATCCAACGAATGCACCCTCAATGCTCCCGTCGAATTGGCTGCATCGATTGAAGAAACACACATTAATCAATAAAGCACTTTAGGGCAAAGCGAAATCAGTGTCATGTATGAATTTACAATAAAACGAAGGCCAGCGTCCAGCATTCGGTCTAACACGTTGACGCCTACGATGCCATGGTACATAATCGTATACTCTCGTTGAATTCCACCAATCTCGCAAACGGTCCGTCATTTCAACGCTCTTCGAATTTTGGAATTAATTTTTTTGTTCAAAAACAAATGCCAAAAGAGTAAAATGATAAATGATTTCTCTTTTTTTTCACTTGAAACGACAGTTTGGTGTAGAAATTCACACGTTTATCCAAACGAGTAATAAAAATCGCAACCGATTGAGTCGACGTTGAAAAACAGACTAAATTTTATGAGATCAAACAACGTATAAATTGTGTCTAATAGAGATCTCATGCACACACTTCGATAGACAATTAATGTAAGCGAAATTTATTCAAATCGGTAGTGCCCACATTATGAATCGAAATCAGCGTAAACAATGCATTATTATAGCTCTCAATGAAAGGAAAATCAACTTGCAGATCTTTTTTTCTATCGAAAGAATGACGTAAACGCTCCGCAACATTGTTTAAGATAATCGAACCACATATATCAATTACCATAAAATCAATCAGTTTTTGGAAATGATTTGTGAAATTGAAATCGTGCGTTTGAACAAACTTCGGACATTGAAATACACTTCGGAAAAAAGTGATTTATGAGCGTTTCTGGATTGAGCAGTGAGCACACGAATCAGATTTGATTTGGATTCAATCAGCAATTGGATTTGGCGTATGTTTTCATCAGAAAAGACATTAATTCACGCTTCTAATGGCATAACTATGTTAAAGTGTACTTTGGATCAAAAGGCTTTGATCTTAAATTTAGCTGATTCATTTCGAAACCATTTCTGTCAACTGATTTCAATTAAAATTTTCATCCGTTTGACTATGATTTCAATGTAACCGTGCAATTAGCGTGTGACTTTGATTTTGTTGTGTGATTCATATATGAATTTTTTGAAGGCTTCATTGGCCACCTACTCAGGTGCACAAGATAAATTGTAAATTTGATTTGTTAAAGAACAAAATTGAAAATGAAAATGAAAACAAAGGCATTCATTTGAATAGCATAAATAAAATTCAATACGTTTGTTGGCACATTCACAATGGTTTGAATAGAAAATGATGTGTTTTAATGAATTGATGTGACATTGACAGCCAAAAAAGGCACTTACGATCATCGGTTTCATCGGTAGGAGCCACAACGAGACCCATCGATATTGGGCTTGATGTCACAACATTGTTATCTGCCGTTCGTCCATATTTCGGTTTGCTACAGCAGTTGCATGGGCAACATTCACAGCAAAAGTATCGTGAACAGCAATTTTTCAATCTTTTGCCGCACGACATCGGTGCTGTGCACGAATTTCCCATATTGTTTTATTGTTTATAAATAGTTATGGTTTCCTGGGTGCGTCTTTGTTTGCTTTTCAACTCCAAACACCATATGTACACATTGCCATGTTTAATCTGCGATTAAAATATTCTGGTTCCGTTTGCACTTGAAACCACTTCGCACACAAGACGTGAATTTCTCGATGAACTTGACTCACATTGATCAAACCACCCACTGGCCACACACACACACACACACACACTCCAGCTCGTCTAAGCAGTTCGCATAATTTGTCCATTTATGGTCATTCGTCGCATTGATCTACATACATTTCAAGCGAAATTTTTACAGAAAAACAAATCGATTAAAAAAGTGTTCACATCGAGTATGCGAAGATGCACAAAAACGGGTTTTAAAACACACATTAAATGATCGATTGCATACAAAGTCACTTGAACAAATTATGGAATGATCTCAAATCGCTGGAACGTGACAAAGAACTAAACAACAGCACTTATGTTTTGTGCTACAAATTGGAATTTTAAACGCGTTTTTGGCGGCATACACTTCTTAAGGTACGTAGCATTCAAATGCAAATCGACGCAATGATGCAAATGCACACATTCGGCGGCAAAAACACACACACACGTACACTTTGACAAAACAATAAGTAATTCGACCTAAATCCTCCGCTCATTCTCCGAAACAAACGTTGCGAAAAGAGTTTTGCAAACGATCTGAAAATAACTGATGCATTCAGTGTGAATTTTCACTGTTGGATTACCTTTTAATCTAGCGTAAACTTGTGCATTACGCAGATTAAAAAACCTTGACGTGCACACAATTCACAGTTTAATTACACTTTACGCTGACGATTAAATCAAATATCAGCCCATTTGGATCGCATGCTTGTTACTCAAACAATAGAGCTTGCTCGATATGAACACTTTTTTCATTATCAAATATTATTATTCATTTGAAGATACGCAAAGCTAATTTCAGAGATTTTTCTCATTTATTTCACATTTGTATAAATTTGCTTTTACTGAACAACGAATTATGATTTATTAGCTGTGATCAAACGTGACAACGATTACTCGGACCATCAATGAGCATTTTTGACGGTTGCACTTAGAGAAAGAGTGAAAATTTGCATTGCACACACGAAAAAAGTCACAAATTTTGTCATTCAATTCAAAATTGTTCAATTTAAATATGAATCACAAATGTTTTTCTTTCTTTTTGTATGCATTTCTATTTTTTCTCAACAAATCTTTCAATATCACCACAAAATTTCACTTTTTCATCGGATTTCCCAGAACAAATCACACGGAATGCCTCGAGAAACGTACGTTTTCAAATGCGATAAAGAAAAAATGTAATGATTAAAATTAATTAAAGTGATTGAGATTAACAAGGTAGTCAATCGGCTATGATTATTCACTAATTTTACTAGCTACATTTCGACACTCAATCGAGAGGCTGCGTGCAGCGGTGCGTTGTTCACGAACCACGTTCCGACATCAATTGAATTAAATCGGCTTGATTTATAAGCTTGATCATCCGTCATATGGCTGGTTTTCGACAGTCAGCTGCTTTTGGTTTGCCGAAAATGATTAAATTCAAATGTTGTTAGACTAAATGCCGACGGCGGTGTGATATTGATGTATGCAGCTCTTTCCACTTTGAAAATCGCACGAATATCACTTACTTGAACCAGAGATTCTGCTACTAATAAAAGGATTTCGTTGAATAGATGGAATAGTTGCAAAATTCCACGATAAGATACAGTGAAGATGCAAAAGATAAACCAATAGCACTGATCAAAGTAAAACAATCAATAAAATTCATTCAGACCGTAAAGCAGCAGTATACCTCGATCCGAAGCAAATTTCATTGAAAAATGTTTGGGCGGACGACAAATATGGAATTGATATGTGTTTTAAAACAGATTATTATAATGAATTCACACACCGTCTATTGAATATTGCCTCTTGCCTCACTCTTTTTCGATTCTTATTTTCGTCTCCTTTCGCTTCCATCTTTCTATACTAACCGCAAATCGATTTAGAGTGTGGAAAAACGTGCAAAAAACAGAAGCTGATTCAAATCTTAATTTCAAAACATTAGAACTTCTTTTTAGAGACATGACTGAAAGAAGCATAATGTTCAAATTAGTGGATTTAGCGTCAGACAGTCGGTCATCTTAATACGGTATCATGTGTAGAACTAAATTTTTATCGGATTTCATTCAGTCGAAATGGACTCAATTCGAAACAAATGTTTGGATTATACGGATTATTTTGCTAATTTACAGAAAATCTGGTCATATAATTTCAATTTTAAGCGAACCAAAAACAATAATGTGATAGAAAAACAGTACTCTCCGTTATAACGAGCATGCATCTAAAAAGAGAAATCGCATACCTACATTTGTGTTGCACTTGAAGATCAAAGTTTTATGTTATGTTCTCAGGCGATTAGATATTAGATGACACAAATGCATTGTTCAAAACGAAAAGAAAATATTTACATAGGCTTTTATATGACATTCCATTTCGTTTGTTTAAAAATCATAAACTTCATATTTGTCCACATTTTTTATTGTGTTGAGTCAATTATACTATTGATTTTCTTTGCAAAACACTTAACCTTCATTGCGTAGTAGCTATTCGTTGAATATTATAATAATCAGTTTGCATCGTTTCAGAGCTGCGTTAGATTTTAGAAAAAATATCTGGAGGCGCATTGGGAGGTGCATCACCAAAGTCGGAATATTCTTATACACTTATAATGTATTAGTTGTTGAACAGTCAAGCTATTGCATACTAGTAGCGCCTCTAGTGAGTTTCGCAAAGAAATACCGAGAATAACAGCGACAGCATTCAAAACAGATTATGACGAAATATCATTCGTGTCTGTGTGCGTGTGGTTTGTTGTGTCGGTATTGGTGCACTATGTCGGTTTTCGCGCGAGTTACTGAAGGTGGCGGTACTAATTCATTTTTTAACTGTGTACCTCCGTGTGAACTTAGTTAAACTATTATAACTGTTGGCCATTGTAATTTTTGTCTTGTCACCTTAAATTAAGGCCTTTTCTGAAGAAACTTCAGTGAAGTTCTTGTATTTTAGAAGAAAAAAAATAGAATAGATACGCTAAAAGTTCATTCTCTTCAATTAAATCTTTCTTTTTTAACAATTTGAAGTGAACATCTCATGCAATTGGTTTATTAAAGTAAAATACTTACTTTGAGAACTGTGATCTCTTAATGAGACAATTTACCAAATCCAACGTTGCAAATTCGGATAGGTAAAAAATGAATTTTGATTTTAAATTGGTTTATTTCATTCTTCCATAAAAATGTATAAAAATCTTTATAATAGATTAGATTTGAGTATGGCAAGTATAGCAGTGCAATCTTAAAGTTTAACATTATATCGAGAGAGAAATTGACATGAATTGACCTATTACACTTGTGGATCAGTTATATGTTGACTACAAAATTGTCAAAAAAAATGACCAGAAAAATTGAATACGCTGCGAGTTATGGTTGAAAAATTGAAAAAATCGGCCATTTTTTCGACATTTTACTTCATAGCACCTATTAGATGTGATTTTTCATGTATAGTTTGTTCATCAAATTTGTTTATTGAACTCTGCGCTACAACTTTTTTCGAGAAAGTAAGACGATATTTCCGATTCTGGATGAGTTATTGACCAAAAAGTGATGACATCAATTATTAAATTAATTTTTCTGGTCATTTTCTTTGACAATTTTGTAGCCAACATATAACTGATCCACAGTGTAATCGGTCAATTCATGTCAATTTTTCTCTCGATGTAATGTTAAAGACAAACATTCGAAAGAAATTTTATTTTACACTTGGAAATTACACGTTTGGCAAATAGAATGTATGAGTTTGGCATAGTGATAACATGTCAATTCATATCAATTTTTTTCACGATATAAGCACATGTCAGACAAAATTATTCAAAGGGATATTGCAACTTTTTTGACCAGAAAAAACGCCATCTTACGTTGTGCCCGTGAATTATTTTACTGTATGCATAAACTTGGAAAGAGCTTGATAGACTTGATGAAATACATATATTTTATGGTCGTTGCAATACCCCTATGAAATTATTCGAAACGAATTTCATTTTTCACTTGGATCAACGTTTATCGAATGGAATGTTCGAAATTCGAACGGAATTTTTTCTCTCGAATCCTATTAAAGTGGGTTATCGGAGCTGTATCGTTTCATTATAAATTGTAAGTTCAACTAGCCTGCAGCAGATCCATTTTTTCAATTAAATTCAACTTCAACATGGAAACTAAAGGAATTCTTCTAATCGCATGTCTTGTAAGTGGGAACGAATTTTCGTCAATTTTTTCCTTTACAATCTCAAAATGTTTGTAAAAATATCGCCTCTTTTCAAATCATTCTTTCTCTACAGGCCGTTCTTTTGCCCAATGCTGGCGGCAATAGCAGTAAAAAGAATTCGACGGTATTTTTTTTATGAAGGAATATTTACATTTTTAGTCAGTTCAATTAGATAATTTCCAAGGCACATTGGTCTGTGTAGAATATTTAACATATTAAATATGTGTGTCCTCGAAGTTGTAACCTCAACATAATCAAAAATAATCAAATGAAAAATTTCTTCTTTTTATTTTAATTTAGAGTATGTGTGGTAACGGAAGGTAAGAATTTCAACATTGAGACAGCTTTTTGAGCAGAAATTCTTTAAATTCTATTTCTTTTTTATTATTTAGCAAACCTGCAACCTCGGCGTTAGACAAAAGCGAATTATTTGTAAGTCAACCAACCCAAAAGATATATTCAATGTCTTGTGTTGAGAAAATTGATTGGGAATCAATTTCTCTCCCGACTAGACTATGCCGTATATATGCACAAGTTACCGTGGATATCCACGTCTACCCACGCGTATACATGATGTTAAATTTTGCAACAATAATGTCTAGACGGGCAATATCAAATGACATTAAGATGTCAAAGTAATTAAATGCGTAGCTTCATTACTGAAGTGCCAATCGAAATCGACTAGTTCAGTAGCAACGATTTATACGAATTTCAATTCGTGTATTGCCTCATTCTGGCATTTGAATTTGTTCAATTAAAAAAAAATTTCTGTCTATCCGTTGCAACAGATTAAAAAATGGGCTGAAGCGATCGGCTCCGAAGAGAGTGAAACCACAAAAGCTTTGTGCAGTAAAACTACGGTACCCGAAATTAATACAATCAAATTATACTTCATTTACAAATGAATAGGTATATTTTTGTATTCGTAAAACTGATAATTTTGAACTTCAAATCAGGATCAACTCATTCAATACTATGGCTACCAATCAGAGGTGCATCATGTTACAACGATAGATGGTTACATTTTAACAGTATTCCGTTGCAATTCAAAAAAAGCATTTTCGGGTAAAAAGAAGGCTGTGATATTGCAGCATGGCCTTTTAAGCTCATCAGATGATTTCACCGTAAACATTCCAAGCCAATCATTGTGTGAGTTTTGCATAAATTTAGAAAATGTAACATTAATTTTCACGGATTGATTTTGATCCAATTTTTTATGTGTATTTTTTTAGCATACGTTCTCGCAGATCACGGCTATGACGTGTAAATATAACTTACTTCGTGTTACCTCCTCTGCAGGTTTAATGGTTTTAAGGTTTTTTTTTTCCACCTAGGTGGATACCAAATAGTAGAGGGAATTTCTATTCAAAGCGACATGAGGAGTTAGAAACAAGCAATTGGCAATTTTGGGATTTTTCCTGGTATCAGCTGGCTATCCACGATTATCCCGCTGTTATTGACTACGTACGACATGAAACGGGCAATTCGAAAGTTTTGTAAATAAAAAAATTAATCCTAATGCTCAAATTATTGATGGATTATAATTTTTTTGGCTTCCTTGAATTGTAGCTAATTATCTAAATACTTTAATTACATAGTATCGTGGCACATTCACAAGGCTCCACCACTTTAATGACCTTGCTCTCTCAGCTGCCCGAATACAATCAATACGTGGCCGCGGTGAGTCTTCTGGCACCGGTCGGCTACTTGGGCAACTCTGGAACATTATTACAAGCTCTCAGTAAAACTCTCCCGTTGGTAATGGTTAGTCGAATTCAAAAATTTACCTCTCGAATCAAAATATAATTGTTAACTATTCCATTCCAGCCGTGTAGATATATGGAGCTTTTACCAAGAACTGTAGCTAAAATAGCCACGACAATTTGCTCGATAAATTCCCTCGATGTTTCTAAGTTTGTTATTGATGTATTATTCGGTCAAAGTGAAAATCAGAGGAACGAGGTAAGTTAATCTGCATTTATTGTACACTATACAGTGTACAGCTCATAAAATGTGCATATGTGAATTAATGGTATTGTGTTTCATCGCATTACAGACGATGATGCCTTCATTTCTCTGCCATAAACCAAGCGGTGCTTCAACTATGCAACTCATCCATTTCGGTCAAGAGATAAAATATGGATACTTTGGCAAATACATGAACGACTCGAAAGTTCCTGATAATTTTGATCTTTCGCGCATTAATGTGCCAATGAGTCTTCACTACTCACCAATCGATACATTCACCAATCCAAAGGACATAAAACGTTTGGTCCATGAGCTGAATCATACTCTGGCGTTTGTACAAACAGTCGAATCGTTCAATCATGTGGATTTCATCTGGGGCATAAACGCTTCTCCTATCATTTATTACAAAATTCTAGAGTTTTTCACGAAATATTGATAGATATCAAATTTTTTTACAATTAAAAAACATTCGTATATCGTAAATGTTATTAAAATGTAATCAACCATTTGGTATGTGACTGTGGTCACTGCACGCCTCGATCTAAGCAGAAAATAAAAACCAAACTATTTTTGTATTAAAAAAACTAGGTGCTTCAGAATTGAAATAAAGCATAATAACGGGCGTTTAATCAACGATCGTAGGAATAAACTAATGCATGAATTTTTTTTAAAATATATTCCCGTGTGCAAATAAAATGACTAACAGTCACTCAGTTATATGTAGCTGTATTCAGTGATACCCAACTGAAACTGGCTAAGTTGATTAAAATCAAGTATTTTGTATGAAGATAATCACATTTAGTTATTCTTTCAGTCAGTCGACTAATTTGGGACATTTTGACTAAAAGTGATTTGTGATTAAAGTTAACTACAGTTGCATCACTTTTAGTCAGTCAAAATGTCCCAACTTGATCGATAGTCAAAAATTTTTCCACACATATGAACTGCTCTCAGCAAACAATCGTACAAAACAAAATTCGAATTATCCAACTATTATCAATGTTGGCTTACATGAGATTATTATGAAGAGTTGACAGGTAGTTATCACCATAATTAGATTGCTTCGGGCCATGTACAATGTGTACATCATCATCAATGTGTTACAAGTGATTTAAAGAGATAATAACACAATTAAATGTAAATTGTAATTTATTATTCACTTATATTCCATAATTGTGATTATAGTAATTTAATTTTTACCGCAGGGTACACAGCACACGCCGTACATAAATACTGTAAAATTGTCTCGATGAATTCAGAAGAATTACTCGTTTACTGAAAGGAAACCATATTCGATGAACATATCAATAATAAATTTCCAGCGTTTTAAAATTGCTTTGGATGGTGGTTCTTCTTTATAAAATGTTTCTGGGGAAATGTCATCAATGGATGATGCTGTATTTCCATCGGTCAATGCAAGTTTTGACACGAAAATTACGTTTAACATTTCGATTTTTGCATTCGTATTGATTTCGTTCAACATTCTGAAAAAAAACAAATGCCATCTATATCGAGAGAATAAAATAATAGGGGAAATAATTTCTACCACTTACTTATCATTATGTATAATCATCCAATGAACAGTTCACTAATTCCAAAGTTTTCGTAAATTCGGAGTGATAAACACGGATGAATGTTTCGAAGCTGTTCGCCAGTAAACAAGAACAAAATCAAATCACAAACGAATTTTTGGTAAAAATATAGTTGAAAATCATAAATTTTGGCTTTAACTCCCGCATTGTCATCTAAATAAACGAAAACCATTATTTAAAGTAATTATAGTTGCAAAATGGCAAAGTCAAATGATTGTTAGTGATTGGTTTTGTCGTACTACATACTTTTCATAATCATGATATTATTGATCCCCAAATCTCTGAGCGCAATTGTGTTGTAAAAGGCGTTTCGGCAGTGCGCTTCGTATCTCTAGTGAGTTTGTAACAAATTCGCAATTGCTTTTCAATGTTAATGCATAGTTTAGGTGACAGATTTTCAACAAAGTGCAACTCTTTGCAAACGCTCTGGGTTTTGAAACAAGTAAAAAAATGAATCGATTAGAATGAGAAGATTTACTGAAGAATGCCTTCTGAACAATGTGTATTTAAGTCAACCATTTGGGTGTCATCGTCATTTAAGATCAAATTAGCCGCTTCCAAATATGGGCTGGGGCTCACTCGTGCATCAAACAGCGTTGGCTGTAGACGTCTAATTGCGATACCAAGCGCATGAAACTTCGCCAGCGTCTGTAAATGGAAGGTCATTTAAATCAATAAATAAAGATGAACCAACGTTTATTACCTTCAATATGGCTAAAGTTTCTTCTGCATTGAATCCAACTTGCCGGTCTCCATTGACGTAGTTTAGAAGTTTTGTATTTTCTAACAGTACAACGGCATCCGCATCGGCGCATTTAGCATTTAGAAAAACAAAACAATTTCGTATTCTTATCACATTTCAAATCATTTGTAAAATTCGCTCCAAGTTGTATCGCACGCCATATGACACATAGTTTTTATTATTTTGTACCCGGGTTTAATGAAATTCGCGAGCCAAAACATCGAATAAATGCATCGATCCTATCACATTCTGGAACATTCGAAATGCGTTCAAAGTGCTCAATTGCTGGTATGACGTCCAAATAAAAATGAGTTTCTTTGACGAACGTTAAAGCTGGTTGAAAAATGTCAACTAAATATGGATTGGTTACAGCGGTTTTAGCAACCAAATGCAACAGCTCTGCCTGTGAATTGAAGGGTTTCCATCATAAATCGATTCTTTTTTTCATTAAAATATTTGCGTCGTCACCTCTTCAAAATCACTCTTTGCGACCACTTTCACTTCAACTGCTTGGAATACACTCCCGTAATTGTCACCAGGATTTGTTAGAGGTCTCAATGAATACTCAATCACTTTACATCCCGAACAAAGCTCCAAGAATTCAACAAAATTGCGAATTCCACACACAGAATGAGTTGGATCAAACATTCTTTTTAGCAATACATGGAATGTAGGCTACTGTAGTTGTTATTTTTTTTCCCAAGAAAATTTTAAGAGTCCTTAGGCCATTTTTTGGACCATAAATTGATTCATTTTAATATCCATATTTTTTATTTGAAATGAAGTAATTACGCGTAATTAATTGCAAAAATGAAATAAAATCATGTTCTTGTAATTCACCTTTGAGATAACTCAAAAAAAATTTACACTTTTTTCGTTGCCAATGCGAAATAATGTACGATGATCATTCACATTGAATGTACATAAAACACATAAGTGAAGAATACAATATCATCATATAAATTTATTTGATTATTTTTGACAATATTAGAATGATTTGCATACAAAAAGTACACTACGATTAAAACTACATTCCATGTAGTGCTTACGATAATAATTTGATGAGAAACATTAAACCCCTTAAATTTACAAGCTTCAAGAACGCAGAGCGGAGCTAAGAACGATCTGCGGTCTTGTTTGCTATTGAAATGGTCACTTCAATTCAAAGTATTCACAACGACTAACAGCAATATATTCACAACGAAGTAAGAATACTCATTTTTTTTAAAACCAACTATTATATTTGTGTTGAGATATCATCATCACACAAACAAGCTCCTAAAATAAGCTTTTAGTTCGCCGTAATTTGAATATAGAATGATCCGGCATTTGGGCTATCCAATCGCTTGAATCGCCAAGTTGTATTAAGATACATCATACAAATCGACGAATTTGTTTCAGAACCCGCTTAACCTAATGTTTTATTATATTCGTGTGGACAGAGCATTGAAGCTGAAAAAATTGTTCGTTATTACATATTATCACGAAGAGTGGGAATAAACAACATTCTTCTTTTGGAAAAATGTATACGGTTTCACTGCAACTAGTAAAATCGGAACGAATGTAATAATAAAAGAGTAGCCAAATTGTTTGCACAGTGAAAATATTGACAAAAATTAATCAATGATTAATATATGATCAATATTCGAGGAAGTTCAGGGAGAACATCTATTCGTTATCACCGTAAACAAATTCAATTGAAAATAAACGGCAAATATGACGTTGCGTGAATGCATATTTGATGCTACCTCATGACAAACGGTGTGTTGCGCATAAGTAAATGCGTTGAAAGCGAGTATGTATTGTATAGCGATACACTCTCTAATTGTGAACGCTCTATTGATAATATTGCTTCACGCTCCTTAAGCTTTTGAGAATTGTATTACATGCGTCACTACGATGCAGTCACATATTTTATTCAAAAACGCTGACCTTGACCTAATATTGATGCACAATATATTGATATTGATACCGCTTGGATGTATTTGAGAAATAGACTCTTATTGAACTGAATGAATAAAAAGAAGATGATCATAGATCAGAAAAACAGCACAGCAGCTGTTCGGTTGGATTTACACTCGTGTGTAAATCACACAGTGTTACGAGTTTTCTTCTTTGGAATTCGTTTTGAGAATTGGTTTTTTGTAGTATTTATAATAAAACATTAATCGACAGTGTTCTGACTGAGCTCATCTTTATGTTTTCATCCAGCCAAATTCTTTTGCAGTTGGGAAAAAGTAGTGTATATCTTTTTCATCGCACCGATCATTTTTAAATGGCTACAATTTGATCAAAAATTTCACAGACCGGAAGTTGATAAAGACCGATTAATTTCTTCTTTGTTTGGAAATAGTCTTCTGTGGAATGTACGTTTCGCAGAATATCCCGTAAATGGAAGCGTACGAGTGTATCATTCGCTGTTATTCGTTCCTTCGGCGGAACGAATGCAACATCCAAGCATTTGGCGTACTGTGCTTATCATAGTACTGCTATGCTTGAGCGTATTTTTTCTTCTCAAAAATAATCGTATTTTTAATTTAAAAACAAACATACGCAACGTTTTCAATTGATAATTGCAATAGATGCTTTTTCATTTACGTTTTTTTTTACTTAGGCGCAGAATGCCTTTGCTATAAATAGTGTTGATTTGTTGCTGAACTAGTAATTTAAATCGATTTGTTGAGTTGTAAAGATGGTTTCCGTGTGTTCTAAGTCAACTGTCGTGGGTTGCCTTATTCTGGCACTGACTCAGTTTGGAAGTGTTCAACCAGGCTTTTGGTCATCCATTGCAACCACAATTCATGCATTGGCTGGAAAAATGGTGGATATGGTTGCACATCCATATTCTAATGTGACAGAGGTCATACAGAGTCCAACAACAAAGGCTTTGTGCAGAAGAAATACGGTAAAAGGCATTTTATGAACAATAACATTTAAGGAGAATATATTTTTATACTGCCCAAATTGAATATTCCGCATATAAAATCAGGATCAACTCATTGAATACTATGGCTACCAATCGGAGGTGCATCATATTACAACGAAAGATGGTTACATTTTGACAGTATTCCGTTGCAATTCAAACAAAGCATTTTCGGGTAATAAAAAAGCTGTGATATTGCAGCATGGCCTTCTAGGCTCATCGGATGATTTTACCGTAAATATTCCGAGTCAAGCATTGGGTGAGTAAAAAAAAGAACATTTATTTTTATAAATTGATTTTAATTAAATCTTTCTCAAATTCGCATCATGTTTAGCATACATTCTGGCTGACAATGGCTATGACGTCTTTATGCCAAATTCCAGGGGAACTTTTTATTCGCAACAACATGTGACCTTGAATACAAGCGATTCACAATTTTGGAATTTTTCCTGGTATGAACTAGCCATCTACGATTATCCCGCTGTTATTGACTACGTACGACATGAAACGGGCAATTCGAAAGTGTTGTAAATAAAAAAATTAATCCTAATGCTCAAATTATTGATGGATTATAATTTATTTGTCTTCCTTGAATTGTAGCTAATCATCTAAATACTTTAATTCCATAGGGTTGTAGCACATTCACAGGGCACTACCACTTTGATGGCTTTGCTAGCCGAGCTACCTGAATATAATCAATATATAGCTGCGGCAAGTCTCATGGCACCGGTCGGCTACTTGGACAACTCTGGACTGATTTTTTCAACTCTCGGTAAAGTTAATCCGATATTGGAGGTGAGGCAATTCTTTTAATTATTCTTTTGGGCCAAAATATAATCTTTCAAATCTTTTTAGTTGTTCCAATACACCGAATTTTTACCAAGAGCTGGCTTTAGTGATATATCCAAATCATTTTGCTCGATGGATGCCATCGATTTTTGCGATCTTATCCTTGATCAACTTTTCGGTCAGAGCATCGATCAGAGGAATGATGTAAGTCAATCTGCATTAATTGTTCTGCATTGATCAAGGGCATTGATACTAAAAAAAATGATTAAAATTTTGTGTTATTGTGATTGTAATACAGACGATGATGACCTCTTTTCTGTGCAAAATACCAAGCGGCGCAGCAACTATGCAATTCATCCATTTTGGTCAGGAGATGAACTATGGATTCTTTGGCAAATATATGAACGGCTCAAGAATCCCTGATGATTTTGATCTTTCGCGCATTAGTGTACCAATCAGTTTTCATTACTCACCAATCGATAAATTCACCAATCCAAAAGATGTAAGTCGACTAATTTCGAAGCTAAATCATACACTGGCTTTTGTACAAACTGTTGACTCTCCAAAATTTAATCATATCGACTTCGTCTGGGGTAAACACGCTGCCACTATTGTTTACTCAAAAATTTTAGAGTTTTTTGCAAAATATCAATAGATGTCGATCAAATTGTTTTGTTCTTCTTTTAGTTTAATGAAAAAAGTTCCTACTCAATAAATTTAGAAATTGCATTCTGAATATTTAATCACCGTGTCTGTATTCTTAAAGCATATATGCACTGTTTCAATCAATGTTGGTTGCATTTTGAATTGTGGTGGTTTGGTCAAGTGTTGAAAATATTTTGATTGCAATTTTCGATGAAAATAAACTTGAAAAGAATCAGTGTTTGCTTTCATCATTGTGTCATAAAAAAGTATCTCATATCTTCAAAATTGCTGAACAGTTGTTTGTACTCCGAAAATATTGTTATTAATGAACAAATAATTAATACATGATCAATATTTGTAGAAGTTCAGAGGGAAGATCTGTTTTTATCATGATGAACAAACATAAGAAATTCGTATGTTCACAGAATCTGCAAATGACTCAATCAATTGAACGAGAGGGGCTTATTTGTCATCACTAGTCAGATTCGCATATCATCGATTAAGTAGTTTGTCCTTGGGCAAATTAAGTTTTCCGAATTCTTAAGATTTCTGGACGGTTTTCAAAATTAACATTTTTTAAAGAAAAACACCAATATATTACAATGCTATATGTTTTTTGCTTTTATTAATGGTTTTTCGAAGCATCACAGTCAATTTAATCAAATTTGTGTGTAAAATATTCTAGAAATATTTATTTTATTTTTATTTCATTTTTTATTTTATATGTTAGTTCATACTTATAAGTACGGAAAACATATTATTCATTTGATTGCGTAAAAAAGGTTGTGAGTTTGGTTTGTTTCGGTGGTTTCAGTATTTGTTTCATCACAATATCTGATCGAAGTTGAAGAAGATTCGACATGTGCTTGGCAGTCAATCCGCATTCTGCTCGCTCCATTTGATTAACATATTTGCCGCATTCATTGCATCGGTGTATGAAACAGAAACGGAGTTTCCAACAGCACCGTCATCTTCTCCGCTATTAGTTTCATCAACATCAGTTTCATCAAACGCATCAGCATTCCAATTTTCGATTTCATCAATGGATAAAACACAATTTGGTATGAGTTTTGATAATAACTGTAACGTTTCCTCAATTTCGTCACGGTAAGCATCGGTTTCAGTTTGATGTGCCAATTCTGCTAATGGAATGTTGTCCTTTTCGTCGAATTCTCCATCATCCCAATTCAAAATCTTTGCTCATGACTTTTCAATAATGCTAACTGGCAAAACACCCCATGCAGACTTTAAAAACAAAATAGTATTTTTGAGATCATGACTTCGAAGAGCATCGTGAACCGATACATCATCTTGGGCAATGATGTTGGAAATCAACATGCTTCGATATTTTAATTTGACGATTTTTATGAATGCATAAATTGTTTATTTGTGCTAAAAATCGTTTGTTTGATGATCAAAAATTTATGGAATCATTCAAATCTACGTTGCATACAATGAGATTTTATTAAGTTGAACTCAAAAAAATAATTGAAAAAAAATGTGAACCTATTCAGAAAACTTGAGTCAAATCTTAAGATTTTAGGAAGTTACATACAAAGCAAAAACTGCTTAAGTTTTCTGGACAATTAACCCTCTAGTGCATACGTGAACTTATAAGGTTGGTTCATTTAAACCTTTCTATAATGCGAATCATTGATTATGTCACAAAATAATGTATGACAGTTTTCGTTGGAGAACACTAGCGCTCATTTCTTTCTCATAAAAATTTTGTGTGCGGTCAACCAGTGTCAAGTTATGACAACATTTGTACAAGAAAACGACGTTTCCGTAAAAATAAAGGGTAAAACTAAAATCGTCCTAAAACATACAAAAATCGTACTCAACTTTACGAAAATCGTACTAAACTTTCCGCAAATCGTACTCAAATTACCGAAAATCGTACTCAAATTTACAAAAATCGTACTAAAAACCTACAAAAATCGTACTAAAAACCTACAAAAATCGTACCAAACTGACAAAAATCGTACTAAATTATTTACGAAAATCGTACTCAACTTTCCTAAAATCATACTCAACTTTCCGAAAATCGTACTCAACTTTCCAAAAATCATACTAAACTGTCCCAAACAAATTTTAACGAGGCGAGAACTGATATTTATCGAAACCTATTGCTACTAATTGTTTATTATTTTAAATATGTAACAGTCTTGCACTCTTTTCCTGCCAAACCTCATTCAAAACCCACATTATATTCAGCCAGAGCTTGGCGGTGTTTAATAAAATAAAAATAAATGAATGTCCGAGAATGAAAACGCAACTTCTATTCACAACACATATAAGTGAAACAAAAATAATTTTTTTTATTGAAATGAAACAACACAATCGAATTTTTTCAAAGTGTAACAACAAAAAAGATTTTTTT